TTTTTAAGGGTAATCCACGACCTCAAATTTGTTTTAGGTAAATGATAGCTCATCATTTGTCGAGCAAAGGATATTTATAATTCATACTCTGCTCGACAAGCTCTTAATAAAATCTAAAAACTTACCTAAAAACGGCTACATCTTTTTAAGGTGGTTTTCTTTGACTTTTAGAAAAACTTTGTTTTATTTATGTAGCTGTTTTCGAACACAGCTCGAATGGCCAGATAGTTTTATTTTTTCATAAACATCTCTCATAAAAATTTCTCTATATGTAATTTATAAAAAAATAATTATTTTCTATAATTTTTTTCGCTATGAAATTTGTTTTTTCCTAGCGGTAACGAGTAAAACATTTTTGAGATTTATTTTTTTATATTTTTTACAATTTCTTCCGACAGGTTGTTAGATAAAGGAGGGGTGGTTTTCTTTGACTTTCGGCACAAGATTTAAATATCCTTTCCATTTTATTTTTCTAATAAAATTTTTTTGGCTGTCAACGAATGACCGTTGGTTTTTTTTAAAAAAATTTTATTTAAAAAATATTATTCTTCTCCCTTGTTTTGTGCCGACTTTTTAAAGTAAAATTTAAGAGAAAGTAAAAATAGCAGCGCTTTTACGCTTGAGAGCAACGATCAGAAAGTATAGGTGGGAATATTTTTTCACTTTTTTCGACATTTTTTCTCTAAATTATGAACCATTAAAAATTATTTTTTAATTTTTACGCTTTTATTTTTAAATCTTTAGTCTTTTATTGGTCTTTTCACTTAGCTTTCTTTTATTTTTTGTGCCATCTTTCATTCATTTTTCTTTTTCAATAAAAAACATTTCTTCAATCGTGCCATGAAACCTTCCCACCCTCGAAAAAAGGAAAAAATAAGCAACTCAAACACGCGTTCTTCTTTTCTTTATTTTTCCGTTTCCTTTCACCAAATGGCACAAATTCACGCTTTTATATTTTTTAAAAGTTTGTATATCTGTGCCAGCCAAATAATTATTTTTAAATAAAATAATATATATTTTTATGGAGAAATAGTGACCGAGAAATATAAGTAAGCATAACAAATTAAAAAAAAAAATTCTTAAAAAATTTAAAATATTTTGAACGAAAGTCGCAACCTGCCTGACGCGTGCGACAAAACGCATTTTTATGTGAGTACATACAAGGAAAAGTGAGAAGAAGCCGGCTTATTGTAATAGCAATACTATCAGATAAATGAACACACTTGATTTAAGATACAGTTTTTTCCGACTGTTACTATTTATTATTTTATTCCAAACACTACCTTGATAATTTAAAAAATTACATATTAGGATATTCTTTTACTCCTTTAATAAAAATACAAAAGTGGACACCACGGCTAATTTTCAACAAAAAAAGTTATTTTCTTTTTTTCAATTTCTTCTATTTTTTTCTTTTGCGCTCTCGGACGATGGCCGCGAATTTTTATTTTATTTGCTCTCGGCCTTTCTTTTTTTTCTAATTTTTTCTTTTATATTTACTTGAGTAAACGTTGGTTATTCTATTTTTATCAACGAGAATTGAAAGAAAATAAAAGAGAGGAGAGAACCTTTTTTAGGACGCCGCGCGATCTGTCCTGATTTTCCTTTTGCGTTTTTTCCCTTTTCTATTTAAACTTTTTAAAAGTAAAAGTATATATTTATCTATTTTATATTTATTTTTGGCCAAAAGAAAAAACAAAAAAATTGTTTGACTACTGACCGGTCCTCAAAAAAGCTGCGTTTTTTATTCACTTTTACTTTGAAGACGCGCGTTGTGGAAAGGCGTGTCACTCACACCCGATAGAAAATTTTTTTGAGATGAAAATTGTTTCTACTAGCTTTTTCTTGTAGTTTTTTAAAATTTATTTTAATTTTCTTTTAAAAACTTTTATTTTTTAACAATAAATGGATAAAAAATTTTTTTAAATATTAATTGACTTGAAAAAATATCTTAACCCATCCTGATTTATACAAGAATTTTATATATAATTTGTGATTAGATTCTAGAGTTTTAGCCCTAAAACTCGATCTGGATCCATATAAAATTTAAAAAACCCCTGATTTACGGTTTGGAAATTTGAAAAGCCTAACCCTAATATTTTATAAGAAGGCGTAGTTCACACAATCCAAAAATCCTCATTCGCAACAATTTGAACTAAGTTCAAATCTTGTGACTTTTCTGTTATCTTTACTTAAATTAAGATATATCCAACACAATTTTATTATTTAAAGTACATATAGAATGTTGTCATAAAATTTATTGTTTAAATCAGGGTTTCGATATCTGCGGATTTTTCCTCATTTTGTGGTTTTTTGATAGGGCGATGAGGATTATTTTTTAAAATGCGGATTTGCGGATTTTTGTGGTCTTTTCAAGATTATGAGGATTTTTTATATTTTCTTGTGGTTTTTAGCAAAAATGTCATTATTTTTCCGCTGAGACCTTCTAAAATCCTCAAAATTTTTGCCTGCGGCGCTGAAAATGGAAGAAATCTGGCCTCTTAGCCTTCCAAAATTTAAAAAATTTTCGCCTGCGGCGCTGAAAATGGAAGAAATAAAAATTTGCGACATCTTCTGCGACAAAATGCAAGTGTAATTTTGCAAATAGTTGTTGGATTTTCATAAGATGATCATTAGTAATAAAAAAATTGCTTAATTCAATTGTAGAAGATTGAAAATACAATGCATAAAGTGATTTTAATTCAATTTTTGTATTTGATAATTTTTTGCGGATTTTTGATATAAAATGCGGATTTTTTCGATCAATTTTGCGGATTTTTAAAAATTCGAGATCGAAACCCTGGTTTAAATCAGACTTTATAAAATCTGCACTTTCTACAGAATTTCTTTCTCAATTTTTCTTTTACTTTGTCCTATTCTTCAAATTATTTCTTTCTCCATTAAAAAATAAAAAGCTTCAAGACTTTTCCAAAAAATCCAAAAATAGTTATTTCTTCCTTTCTCAATTCTTGACCCATTCATTTCTCTTTCATTTTCTTTACTTTTTTGTTTACTTTACCTAACTGTAAATAGCGTGCGCAGCAACAAAAAGTCGGTCGGACATATATTTTTAAAAGAGAAAAACTTTGGAAGTTCTTTTTATTTTTTACGGACGAAGGGAAAGATTATCTCCTCTCTTTCTTTTTTTGGCCATTACTTTTTAAAAAATCCTTTCATTTTCACTTTTTGTAAAAAACAATTTTTGATGAGATTTTTAAAAGGTTAATAAATATAAATTAAATATTTCATTGTATTATCTCAGAAAAAATAATTATATTTAAATTTATCACACAAAAAGTAAACTCAATTATTCGGAAGAATTGAGTTAAAGTATCTCTAATTTGTAAAAGAATCACAGGAATATTTTTTTAATTTGGAATTTTAAAATAAAATATTTAAAGGGTTTTTAACAAATTGATTCTAAATAATATTTCAATTTTTAATCAACTTTTCTGTTTTATTTTTATTCTATTACCTTTTTAAAAAGAACAAACTATTAAAACGAAATATAAACTAGAAAAACTTAGAAAAATTAGAAATAAACTTTTTTAATTAGAAAAAAATTAACTTGCAAAAATTAATTTTAGATAATATTCCATCTCTCAAAATTCTAATTTTTATTAAATTAAACTTTTCTAAATTTTTTTTGTTAATTTTTATTTTTCTTTAATAACACAATTTATTGACACAATTTTTGAAAAAATTTTTTTTTAATTATTAAAAGACATTATATTATTATGTAATTTTTACGTTTTATTGCGTGTTATTTTTATTATTTAATTTTTATTTTTTTAAATAATTTTTTTTTAAATTTATTTATTTAAAACCTTTTCTTAAACAATTATTTTTGTCCATAAATTTAAAATTGCGAAAATAAAGAGAAGATGCTCTGGGCTTTTATTTATTTATTATCCATTTGTGGGCACTTCTCTCCCCCCCCCCCCCCCCTTTCCCCTTTTATTTTGTCACAATTGCGTGATCTTTTAAACTGTCAGCCGTCAAAACTAAAACTAAATATAAATTATATATTTATTTATTTTTACTTTTAAAATTTTTACTAAAAAATTTTTTAAAAGAAAATGTCAAAAATTTTTTTGTTTATTTCAAAAAGTCACGCAAATTAATTATTTTTCCTTTTAAAAAATTATTTTTTCCTTTCAACACGCAAAAATTACGTTTATTTAGTACATAAAAAAGAAGATTTATGGGGGGTAAAAGTAAAGAAGAAACTTTGGCTTTTTTATTTAAAAAATGATAAAATTATTTGATTGCCTTTTTATAAGTTTTATCCTTAATAAGTAAAAGAAAAATATTTTTTTCTGACCTTGCTTTGGCTATTTGCTGATTTCTTTGTTATTCTCTTGCTGGGGCTTTCTCGTGGCTTCGTTCGAGAAGAGTTCAACCCTTACCATTATTCTTATTTCTAGTTTCCAGGATTTTACAAATTGTCTTGTGTATCTAATAGAGGTCGAGCTGGACCTGGACCAAGGCCTGGGGTTTTCCTGTACCCAGAGTCCAGGCTCAGGCATTTTTTCACCTTCCTGGGGTTTTCCTAGACTATAGGCCCAGAATCCGGGCCAGGTCAATAACTCAAACCCCAGAGTCTAGGAACAGGTCCTGCTGGCTTTACAAAAATCTCGATCTCTAGTATCTAACAATAATCTCATAGGTAAATAACCTTCATAAATAACCCTTCCTTCCTTTATTTTTTGTTTCACAACTTTCTAATCCCTCAGTTCCAAATAATTTTAAAATTCATTTTAAAAATTACTATAACTCCTCAAAACTAAAAAATAAAATAAAAATTCGTACAATCTTCAAAACAAAAAAAGTTTTTTTTATTTAACTGGACATTCATTTATTTTCTAAAAGTTTTTTCCTTGTTTTAACCGAACTCAAAAACAACCCACAAACATTTGTTGTCCATTTCTTCTTCCTTTTCTGTCTTTAAAATTAAGTAACGAACACACACATTGGAGAGAAGGAAAGTGTTAAAATGCTTGGAATGGGTGTCCGAGAAAAAATTGATTATAAAAAAGATGGCTAGTTTTTAGAGCATTTCTTTCATTCTCTCTTTGGCCAATGGCTAGCTTAGCTAGGAGAGAAGATATAATGCTTATAAATAAAAAGTACCCAAATGGCCTTTTTCCTCCTCTTCTTTTTTGCCTGATTTCCCCCTCCAAATACTTTACTCGGCACTACCACCGACTTGTTTTGGGTTTAAAAGGATGGCGTCGACCGTTGAATGGCGGACGTCGGGCACAAAAAAAGGAAAGGGGTTTAAGTCTAGTAGATGCTTCTTTCTTTTAGTTATATCCGCCCCCTCCCTCCACCCGCTGTTCGCTTTCTTTTCGAACCTTTTCATCCCCAATTACAACCGGCAGCCGGCCGTTGCCTATACTTTGCCGACCATTCGAAGATTTTCTTCTCATCTGTCCATTTCTTTCCTTTTTTCACTCATTCAATGTGGCGGCTATTTCATGGCCGTCCAGCGTCTCTCCGTGTTAGTGCCCGCCTAATACTTTTGTTTTGTTGTCCATTTTTAGAAAGCTTTATATTTTTAGAATTTTTATAGACACTTATTTTGACAAATTTTGAATTTATTTACATGCATAAGCTTCTCAATTTTTTATTTGAGAGAGAATTTTAAAAATCATCTCTTTCTAATTTCGAATTAAACTTTCTTAGTGTCTCCGCCTACCTCTTTACGTGACTTTGAGAGTTTCCCTTCACTTTCTGTATTCTTCCATGTTATTTTTTAATCAAGTTTGTCTTACAGTAATGAAACAATCTGTGATTTTCCCAATTTCAAAAATCTCTCCAATCTTAGAAAAACCTTTAGTTTTTCCCGTAGACTTTGACCTATTTTAACTTTAAAGGAGACACAAAAAGAAGATTGAATAGCTGTCCATCGAGAAATTCCGAACTCGTATACACACTACTTTCTCCCCAACGGCCATCTCATTTTGTGTCCCCAACCCCCTCCACTCGTTCCCCAAACGCCTTTTGCGTCCATTTTTCTTTCCTTAACCCATTCAATTTTCTTATATATGTACCATTTCCTCATTCGTCACTTCTTTATTTTCGTTTCTCAATGTGCCTTAAAACATCGGTCGACCGCCGTGTATTTTTAGTAGCGAATATATATTTGTCTGGTCTGCCTTCGGGGCTGCGTGTATGTATGACAGAGTGGACATTAAGGCTATATTTGAGTGGGCAATGGGGCGCGTCCTCTTTTTCCCTCTCGGCGTTGAAGCGTATTTGGCCCTCTATATGTGGCCGAAGGGTCTAGGTCCTTCACAGCCTTACTAAAGCGTTAGCCATCCAAATGAAAAGCCTTAGAGGGTGGAAGGACCTTTCTCAACACACACACAACTGTCCACTACCTTTTAGTCATCCAAGTCATTTAGCTAGTAACCTCTTTATTTTTTTCTTATTTTTTTCATTGCTCTTTCTATTCGCCCCCGATGGGTACGTCAACCACGCCACGCTAATATTTTTTTTCTTATCCAAAACGCGTCAACATAGTCGTCACTAACCGTCCCCTTTTTTTATTTTTTTGCGTCGCTTTCCTTCCTCATCCTCCCGTTCAAACGGTGCCCTTCCTCTCCTTAGCACGCCTTTACTCTTTTTCAGTTCACAACCAACACATGTGTTCGTTTATTATTTCACAACTTTTTATTTTTGCTAAAAAGCTGTTTTAGACAGGGGGAAGAACGTTTAACGTAAAAAATCAGAACATAAATTTTTTAGGGTCAGTTTTGAGGTTGCGAATGAATGGCTGGCTGCTTATTCTGCCTTTCTTTTTTTTCTTACTTACGTGTTTATATTTACGTGTGTGTACATTTTGGTAATTTGAAATTGAGAAATCGAGGAACACATCCCTTCCTCTCTTTTTTTTAATTTCTAAAAAGCTTAAAATTTAGTATTTAGTTTATTCCTTATTATTCTTTGTTGTATGTACAATTTTGTATAAATTTCACGTTGTACAAACATTTGAATAAATATTAGCAGCTTTAGTTGATGTTTAGAATTTCCAAATCATCATATTTTAAATTTTTTTTCTCGATTAATTTTAGCTTAATTTAACTGCCAACTATATTTTTATTTTTTAAAAGTCGTCGTGAAAGCAGAAATTTTCCTTTCGGTAATACCAAGGCTTCCCCCCCCTTTTTTCTGTTTCCATGACCATTTTGAGCTTTTTTGCTTGACATACCATTTACAATATATCATCCGAAAGAACTGTTCGAGTTGGGTAGAATGATACCAATATCGGGTATATTTGGCGATTTTGTACAAAATTATCAAGCAAAATCCTCGATGGACATGCTTTTTGTGATGTTGAAAGGGATTAAGATAGATGCTCATAACTATGTTGATTTAAGTCGGATTTCGATGATTTTAGTATCGTTCAACTCAGCTCGAAGAGCTCTTTCGAATGGATATAATCTGCAAAATGAAAAAAATAGAACAGAAAATAAGGAGGGACCGGCCTTGGTATTACCCTTGGTACAGCCTTGGTATTGCCCTTTCGTCTTTTCTTAAATATTCTTTTCGTTTAAATTTGAAATTTATTTTTGTAAATTAATTAATTTAAGAAATTAAAATAAAGTTTTTATGGATTGTTTGGATAGTATCAATTCAGAAAAACAAGTAAATGCTTCTAATTTATTCCAATTTTCGTCGGATAAAATTTCGAATGAAGAATTAAAATCGGAAGAATTTATGGAATTTAATGAACAAAATAATCAACAAAATATTGAAGGAATAAATGAATTTAGTAGTGGAAATTTAAATTTTGAGGAACAAATTAATTTAAAAAGTGAAAATTGTTTGGAAGATGAGGTGGATTTAAAAAAAATTTTCTTTTAACTAAATTACAATTGGGCAGTACATATATGGGGGAGCTGCCTCTAATAGCTTGCCGGCTCCGGTATCTAAAGGTTACTCATCCGGATATTGTTTAATGAGAATAATATGCTCGAATTCCCTGACAAGATCTTCCCTGAATATCCCCGTACTTTTTATTTACGTTGAAGGCAAGAATTCATACTTTTTAGCTTTCTTAAAATCTGTCAACCTTACTGGCTATGTCTCATAAGATACGATTTTCTAGTCTCAAGGGTCTATTTAATACATAGTTGTGACTGTATGAATTTAGATAAAACTTAAATATACATATTTTCTAACTTTCCTCCAATAAAGCAATTAGTGCTTCTGCAGAAAAACTACTGTATTTGCCTTGTTCTAAAAATTATTTGAAAATCATTTCTTTTTATCAAAGCTAATATTTTTAATATATTTTAGGAATTAAATGGAGTAGATAACTACAATAATAATAATAATTTAATTTTTCAACATCAAAATGAAAGTCAACACCACCAACAACAACAACAAATCCAAACCCCAACGAGGCCTTCGTCTTCTTCAAATTATTGCCAAAAAGAAGAATGTTCAGGGGATGAATTACCTCCAAATGAGGAATTAATTGGGGCTCCTGTACACGAAATACGTTGTGGACTTTTAATTGGGAAATTGCATATGATTAGATTTACATGTCCGGGAATACATAGAAAATGTGTGGAATTTGAGGGTGGGTTGGAATCTTTAAAAAATTGTTTTCTAAATTAAGAAGTATTCTGGTACTTTTTGGATATGCCCCCCTCTCTCTCTAGTTTGTTTATAAGTTCATTCACGGCAATCATTTATTTTCTTCAAGCAATACAAGTGCTGGTGTAGAAAAAATGAATTGTTATTGCTTTACCAACCAAAAATGAAGAAGGAAAAATAACTGATACACAAACTCGTTGGGGGGTGGTATATCCAACTTATTCGAAAAATACTAAATTCTGGAAATAAAAAAAGAAAATATGTACATAAAACACTCTGTACAAAAATTTATTTAAAATTTTTTATTGGGCTTTGCTCTCTACATGCTTTAATTTATAGAGATTTTGTTGGGCGTTCGGCCTACAAGATAACTTTCACCATAAATTTCCCTCAAAATGTCTTTATGATCTTTTTTCTGTCACCCTTCGGGCTTCTAAAATTTTTCTCTTGAAAACCCCCCAATTTTTCTATTTAATTTTTAAGGTAAATTAATTAGTCCAAGACAATTTACAATTAAAGCAGAAAAGGATAAACAAAAAGATTGGAAAGGAAGTATTCGTTTAGGAAAGCATAATTTAAGGTAATTTTTAAAAAATATTTTAAAAAAATTTTCGTTTTTTTAGAACTTTAATGGAAATGAAAACTTTGGATTTTTATGAACACGAAATTAATTGTAGTTTAAAATGTCAAAGTCGAAATTATATAAAGAATAGAAAAGCAGAAGGTGGAAATAATGAAATGAATATAAATTCTGATAATAATTCTGAAAGATTTAGTGAAATGTGTGAAATTAATGAGTGAGTTGTTGGAAATTTATTTAGATTTTACTTAGAAAATTAATTGGAGGTTGTTAGAATGAATTGGGAAGTGACGGGGAAATACAGTATCTGTCTCTCATTTTTCTTCCAATTTCATACTCTAATATTCCCTTTTTCATTCGTTTTCTTCATGTTGGGGACTCTTAGTGTCTGCATTTTCTGATTAAAAATTAGAGACCGGCTCGGGACGGAATTAGAGACCGGCGCGGGTCTGGGATTTTTTCGGTATTTCTCCCTCGGGATCCCGCCCCGGCATCGGTTAAGAAAAAACCCAGACTCGGGATCCCGGAAGTGCGATTTTGCCTGTTGTTAAAAAGCATTTTATTTTTTAGTATTAAATCAATCCCTTCGTCAGCCTGTTCCTCAGCTACTTCTACTCGAAAAAGCTCTTCAGTATTGGAAGAATTTGCTTGTCAAACAGTTCCCCCAATATATTCAGACCATCACAATCACCACCACCACCAAAACAACAATAACCACCAAAATTTTGATTATTTAAATGAAATTGAAGAAGAAGAGGAAATGTTGACATCTCAAAATAATTCAAAAACTTTTTATTCTTCCCCCTCTTCATCTACTCCTTCAACAACAACAACAAATACTTTCCTTCCTTCAACATCCTCAATTCCTTTAAATTCTCCAAATATTCCATCTGAATTAATTAATTTTAAAAAAGGAGGGGAATCAGCTAGTCTTTTAAATAATAATACTTTAAATACTTTACTCCAATTACAACAACACCAAAATAATAATAATAGTCCTCTTAAACAATTATTACTTTTACCAAAGAATTTATCTCAAAATAATGGGATTGCTTTAAATAGGTAGAAATAAATTTTGTTTTGGATGTTTTTTAAAAATTATTTTAAAATCATTCCTTTTTTATATTCTATACTCTCATGGATTCAATCAAAATTTAGGGCTCGTAAAAATAAATTTTAATTAATAAAAGAACAACCTATTATGATTAGCTCCTATGTTGAGGGTTATTTAACAATAAATATAAGGCTGCAGAAGTTTCCTCCCAGCTTAACAGATGATGGAATAGTTAGGCGGGTTAACAAGCTTCAATTGGAGAATCGAGTTAAGGATATGTATAGTATCGAGTCCCATAGGATGTAAAGTAGGATATATAGTTATAGGATCGAGTTTCATCTTATCTTTTGCTATTTTCTAGGGATATTTTCGGTCATCTAACTCAAGAAGCAATTCTTAATTTTCAATACCCCTTTCAAATTCCTAAAATATTTTTATTATTTAATTAAGCAATGGAGGACATATAGAAAATACTATCAAAACACCAAATATTCCAAAACCTTCATCATCTTCATCAATTTCACTACCTTCTACTCATTTACCTCCTCCAATAGAAAATTCTAACAATAATTTGTCACAAGAAGCAGCTATAGCTTTATTACTTCAATCAGTCCAAACTTCCATAATTTTAGAACAACAACAAAAAGCGGCTAATTTAAATCAAAATAATAATTCAAATAATTTATTATTAGCACAATTAGTGTCTACATTAAATGGGAATGGAGGGGGAACAACAGCAACAACAACACTTCATCACAATCAACAACAACAACATTCTTCATTACTCTCAAATAAAAATTTAATTAATGGTAGTTACATATAAATATATTTTAGAAAATTAACAGAAACCTTATGCAGTAAGCATAGATTCCTTTAACTTTTTAAAGGCTTCTCTCCCCTAACAGCTTTTTGGGTTTTCGAACTGGGACTGGAGAATAGCTAGTAGAAATCCTTCAACTTTTAAAAACCTTAATCTTTACCACCTCGACTAGATTCTTTACCTTTGGGCAAGAAAAATCAAGGAACTCAGAAAATCCCTGGATCTTGACACTGAATCCAAGATCCAACCAACCCTTAAAACTTATCTTTTGTTACATGCTAGGGGAAAGATAACTTAAAAAGACAATGAGAATTATGATAATCTAACTTTTCCTATTTATAAATTAGAGACTTTGATATTTTTTATTTAAATTTTTTTTTATTTTTTAAAGGTAACGGAATTGAAAAACTTTTAGCAGCTGCAGCATTATCTCAACAATTACAACAACAACAACGAACTCCATTAAAACATAATGAACAACCAGCAGCTGTTACAAATATTTCAAATATTCGGAAAAGTATGGAAGAAAGTATGGAAATTAATTTAAAAATGTTTTTGGAGAAAATTAATTTTAAATAAATAAAATATATTAAGTAAAAAATATTTAAGTTATTAATTAATTTATTTAGATGCCAGTATGTTTTGGTCCCAAATGCGTAATATGGGTTTACTTGAGGATATGCTAAAAACTTTAAGTGACACATTAGAACGTTTAAAACAAATTTATTTGACTGGGGGAAATGCTGTTAGTGAAGAATTTGGTAAAAGAAAAAAATTTTTTAATTAAAGGGATTCAATTAAACTTTAGTCTTCAAAATATTTTTTTCACATTTTAAAATTGAAAGATTTATATCTAAACTAGGTCTATTTTCGTTAAGATTAAACTATTTAAAATTTGAAAAGTGAGAGGGTTTTTAACCGGGTCTAGTGTCTCTAAATTAAAAAAAAATTTATTTTTACTTTTACATATTTTAGCAGCCCAGCGTTTATCAGGCGTTGCTATAGCTCTAGATTTGTGTTCACTTTTTGGTGAAAAAATTCATTCTCGTTATATACAAGCAACTTTAGAGTCAACATTAATTAGCAAAGAATTATTAGGTAGAAATTTTTAAAAAAATTTTTCAAAAAAATTTTTAAAAGAATTACAACGTAAACAAGACGAACAAAAAAGAAAATTAGAAAATGCAAAAAGAAAGTCCCAAGTTTTTGACCAAATTTTAAAAAATGGAAATGGGACAGCAACATTAAATAAAAATATTATTAATTCAACTTCTCTTCGTGGCACAAATCACTCCTCTTCTACAAATGAAAATGGGACACCAGAAATTAAAAAAATTCACTTGAATATTTAAAAAATATAAGAATTTTGTGCAAAAAAATATTTTTTTTGATTTTTTGTTTGGAATCTCAAAGACATTAAATTATTTTAAAACTCTTCTATATATTCTCTACAATACTTTCATTTTTGTTTAAATTTATTTTTAAAATTGGCATTAAAAGAAGGGGGATCTTGATTTTTATTTACTAACGATATTTTTCTTGTATTTCAAATATTTGTATATTCTTTTGGCCAAATCAAAATCTGAAAAGTCCATTTAATTTCTAAAATTACTAACCAAAATTTAATTTATTTGTAAGAACAATTCATCTTTATATTATTAATGAAAGTTTAGCAGTATTATTTTGGAAGGGAATTTTAATTTTTTGTTTTATACAAAAAATTCCAATTTTTCAAATTTCTTTTTTAAATCCTCACGATTTATTAGAATAATGTTGTTATTTTAGTTAATACTTACATATTGCCCATTCCCTTGGACATTAAAGGAAATATCTATGTATTCAGCTGCTATACATATATATGTACATAAATATTTTTCTGATTTATTTAATTATTTAAAAGCTTTAATTCTCTCTCTATTCCTTATTGTCTCTCGCCAAAAGAAAATTAATTTTCAGAATTTTGAAAAATACAAGAAAATACAAAAATTTATTTCAGAAAAATAATCAGAATTTTTGTGTTTTTAGGTGCACAAACAAAATACAAAATCAGAATAAAACACAAAATGTATTTTTAAAATAATTTCAGAAAATCAGAATTATTTAATTAAAACCAGAATATCCCTTTTTGCATTTTTCTCTTTCTACACCAAAAAATAAATTAAAAATAAAAATCTCTGCAATAAAATTAGCTTTCTTTCTCTCTTTAATTTATAAATATTTATTTTTGTTTCCATTATTATTTTTATTTATTTTTAATATTTATTTTTTTTTGTATTTATTATTTTGAATTTTAGTGCCGTATTGTGTCTGTGCTTTTTTTGTTTATAATTAATTTATCGATAAATTAAAAAAATTGATTTTTGTTTATTTGGTTGGATAATTAAGTTTTTAAATTAAATAAATAAATTTCTAAAAAATTTGGAGAATATTAAATTTCAAAAAAAGAAAAGGGGAAGTTTAAAATATGGAAAATAAAAAATAATAATAAAACTTTAAATAAATATGTGGTCCTTAAGAAGTTAATGATTTTTGGCTCTTGTCTAGTTTATGCGTCCAATCGCAGCTTTATAGTATATCCAATCAACCTTTATACGTCCAAACAAATTTTTATGCGTCTAATAACATCGTACTCGGTTCTGCACTATATTACCACAAAATCTATGGGAATAGAAGCTCACCAGATATAAACTTTTCATTGGACGTATAAATGTGCGATTGGACACTTAAACTGGACAAGAGCCTAACTTTTTTTTCGTAAAATTGTGAAGAAATGGGAGAGGGAAATGTAGGGATTTCGGAGATAAGGATTTCTTCGTTCTGATAAGAAGTGAAGAATATTTGTGAGAATTATTAACAAAACTAACAAAAATCACAACGTCTTGAAAAATAAAAGAAAATTATCTCTGTTGCCTTTGAAAGGAACAAAAATTAATAACGAATATTAAGTGTTATCATGAAGGTAAAGAACAATTTTAATTTAAAAGTGTAGAAAGATTTTTAAATTTTGTTTTAATCATTATTTTACATATTTATTTTACACGAATTTAAATTTTAAATTTGTTAAAATTTAATTAGAAGAAAAGGATTGTGAGTTAGAAAAACTTGTTTTTTTTTATTCGATCGATTTAACAAAAGGAGAATAAAAAGGTTGCACAATTTCTTGTTTTATTTCACATAATAATTAAATAAAAGAATATTTCTAAGTAAATCCATTCTTCTTATAATCGCATTTTTATTCCCCCTTTTGTCTAATTTACTTGTTTTTAGTATCCAATCATTTTTTGAAAGATACCTACACCGGTTATGGCCATTTTTAAAGATCATAGAAATTTATTTCTAAGGGGTTACCTCTGCTTGATTTTCATTAAAAAATTTTTTTGTGAGGGGGAAAAATTTTTAGCTTTAAATAAAATTTTTTCCTCAATTGCGTTTTTCTCGATTTTCCTTTCACAATTTTGCCCTCATTACTTCATATTTAAATAAGATAAAATATTCTCACGGGAAAATATTCTAAATAGTATTTCATGTCCCCAATTCACTACCCCAGCATTTGTCACTAATTTAATCCTCACCCTCCTTAATTAGATATCGAACCCTCTCTTTATATAAAAATATACCTTTACCAATCTCTCTCCTTTCCCATCTCCCCCTTTCAAATGTTGAACCATTTTTCAATTTTAATTTATACCCAATTAATTTATTTGTATGAGTCATGTATTAATCATGTTTTGTGCTTTAACTTTCTGAATATTTTTTATAAAATAAAAAAAAAATTTTTCAAAATTATTCATTAAGCAATCGAAAAAATTAATAAAATATTAAAATTTTGTTAAAAATAAAAGTACATTTTTATGAAATTAAAAGTCTGTCTCTCTAAATTACCTATTTATTAACTATTTACCTCAACATCCTTCAAAGGATTCTTTAATTATTTCTAAATAAAATTAGAGTTCGATTTAGATCCCTCCAGGTTTAAATTTATTTCCATAATTCAACTGTACTTATCCAAAAGTCTTTTTTATTGTAGAAAGAAGGAAAACCTTTTAAAATGATCTTTTAAAAATATCAGCTGATTAAGCCCAGCAAAGTATAACAACAACCCCCAAGAGATGTCACCTTTGGTGTAGTGGGATATTTTTAATTTATTGGGGGATAGAATGAGAAGGGTTCGATCTTGTTTAATGGAAAATAATTTTGAAATTAAATATTTCTTTTAAATTTTGTTATATTCTCTTTTTAAACAAAAGAATACATATGTAGGGCTTATTTAAAAATAGTTTATAGTTGATAGGATTTTTTTATTAATTTACATCTTTTAGTAGGGAGCAGGCAAATGTACCGCCGAGATATAACTTCGTTCAAAATTATCGAATCCTGGACGCCATGTATGGTTCGATTCAGATCACCGAGGGCATCTCAGGGTGCTCGGATTCGATACTTTTGAGCGAAGTTATAGCTCGGCGGTACATCGGGGTGTACCCCTTTCAGTATTATTCATTCATCTCCATTTTTCTCCATTTTTGAGCTAAAAACATAAAAAAAAGCGTGAGAGTCTATGTCCTTATTTTAACGTTGTATAATTTTATATATTTTTTGTTTTCTATAATAAAAAAGCGTTCCTACGCAACTCTCTCCCTCCATTTCAAAAATTCCCTCTCAAATACCACGATGTTTTGCTGGCCATTTCTCGTGGCGTTTTGTGGAGTGCTGGCTGGCTGCTCTCACAAAAGAGACAACCAAAAAAGGAATAGAAAAGAAAATCTTTTTTCTTTTTTTTTTGAGAAAATAGCGGCAGCAAACAAAACGCCGTCGGGGGTGAAATTTAAAGCTTTCCATAAATATTGACCGAAATATAAAGTAATTCACATATAAAATTGAAAAAGAATGTTGGGTGGATATTTAGAGTAGAGGAGTTTTTTGTGTCATCTTTTGAAGTTTTTGAGAGACAATAAGTTTAAAAATTGTATTTTTAAAAATGAAAAAAAAAATTTTTAGTTCAAGTTTAAAACCTAACAATTTTATTAAAATTTCCATAAAAATTTAATATCTTTTAGAGATTTCTTTTTTTAAAAAGTAGAGCTCGAACCTGGGCCGGGCACGGAACCGGGCTTTCCGTGCCCGTAGCCCGGAAACAGGGTATTTTGATAAAATTAGGTTTTTCCGGGTTTTCGAGGTTTCAGCCCGGAAACCCGGCCCGGGTAAATTTGGAAGAAAAAAGCCCTGATACCGGGCCCGGCAAAGTGAAAAGTTCGAGCTCTATTAAAAAGATTACCGTAAGAAATTTATAAGGCTCCGACCAAATGTCTTTTTAACTTAAAGTCGGCCAAACGTCCTGCTCTTTTGAAATTTTGAATTTTATAAAATTTTCAAATTTTGATTTTTTTGGATTAATTTTCACTTTATTTTATTTTTATTTCAAATTTTAGCCTTATATTATTCTTTTTTTATTTGGCACAATTAAGCATTTAATGTCACTTTTTGCCTTCCCTCTTTAATTTTACTCGTTACCCAAATAAACGTTTGTATTTCCTCTTCAGAATTTTCTTTCTAAATTTATTTTTCACTTCTTTTTTGAACGAAGATTTTTTTTATTTTTTTGAAGAGCTAATTGTATAAAGAGGGAATTTTTTTGAGTGAATACTTTTTTTATTTTTTATTTTTATTTCTTAAGGGAAAAGGCGTCCCTTTTGTGTATGTACTTTTTTGTGCCAATTTTTCCAATATAAAAAAGAAAAAAAGCGGAAATGCCAGCTTCTCTCTCTTAAGAAAGGGGCAAAAATCAATTTTATTTTTTTATATATTTTCCAATATTTTTTGACAGATTGAAACAATTCTTTCTTTTTTTCACAAAGACTTCTTTGCTTTAAACAACAAATTAATTTAAAAAAAAATATATTTTGACTACAAAAATTTAAACAACAAAAATGGCTTGGGTCAATCAAGGAATGCAAGCGTTAATTCCGCTAATTAATAGAATTCAGGTTTTTTGTTTTTTTAAATTATAATCTAGAGGTATTAAAAAATTGTTAAAAAAATTTTTTTAAGATTAATTTCAATAAAACCTAGTTTATCTGATATAACGGTTTTGATTTAGTTAATATTGAAGCGTGACCATTTTGTAAAAATATGGGGAAAATTGTGGAGGAAAAAAGGGGTCTGAACGCTTCAATATTTGCTTCATTTCCTTGCACTAAAGTTAATTTGTTACCATCTAACTCATTTCACTTTTTAGATTTTCACAGAAATTTTGTTTTTTTAAAATTTCTTTCTACAGAATTTGTCAGTTATTTTTTATCAAAATTACTGAAATTTGACCAAAAATATTTTCAATAAAAATATTTAACAAATTTAAAAACATTTTTTTCAGGATGCTTTCTCTCAACTCGGTACTACACTTAATTTTGACTTACCCCAGATAGCCGTCGTTGGAGGGCAGAGTGCTGGCAAATCTTCAGTTTTGGAAAATTTTGTTGGAAAGTTGGTTACTCGTTTTTTAATTTAAAATTAATTTTTAAATTTTTTAGAGATTTTTTGCCTCGTGGTAGTGGAATAGTGACTAGAAGACCTTTAATTTTACAATTAATTAATGACCCTAGAGCTGGTAACTAATTTTTTTGTTGAAATTTTGGTAAAATTTTTATTAGAATATGCCGAGTTTCTTCACAAAAAAGGACATAAATTTGTTGATTTTGATTTGGTTCGGAAAGAAATTGAAGATGAAACTGACCGTGTTACTGGTGCGAATAAAGGAATTTCACAAATTCCGATTAATTTGCGTGTCTTCAGTCCGCATGGTTTTTTGAATTTTTTTTTGATATAAATAACTCCCAAAATTTTTCCAATTTAATTTTTTGTCTTCTAAAACTGTAGGAAATTCCCTAAAAATAATTATTTTTTAAGTTCTTAATTTGACATTGATTGACTTACCTGGACTTACCAAAGTACCTGTTGGTGACCAGCCAGTTGATATTGAACATCAAATTCGAGACATGATATTAACATATATAACTAGAGAGACTTGCCTTATTTTGGCTGTAACTCCAGCAAATAGTGATTTGGCAACTTCTGATGCTTTAAAACTTGCTAGGGAAGTTGACCCGCAAGGATTGAGAACAATTGGAGTTTTGACTAAATTGGATTTGATGGACGAGGGAACTGATTCTAGAGATATTCTTGAAAATCGGCTCTTTCCGTTACGAAGAGGTTATAATTTTTAATTTAAAAATTTCGGTTGGATTTTTTGTGGGTTTTTTTGAAATTTTAATTTGGTCCTCAAAAGATTTTTTTGAGTTTAAAAATAAGAATTTGAACTGGGAGTTGACTTTAAAATATTTTAATTTAACGACTTTTCAAAAAATTAATTTTATTTTTCAAGGCTATGTTGGAGTAATTAATCGAAGTCAAAAAGATATTGTTGGACGAAAAGATATTCGTGCAGCTTTGGATGCTGAACGGAAATTTTTCTTATCTCATGCTTCCTATCGACATATGGCTGAGAGAATGGGAACCCCATTTTTACAAAAAACGCTCAATCAACAATTAACTAATCATATAAAAGATACTTTGCCAACATTAAGAGATAGTCTTCAGAAAAAGTTATATTCAATGGAAAAAGAAGTACAAGAATATAAACAATTTCAATTTAATGACCCTTCGAGAAAAACTAAAGCTTTGATGCAGTTTGTTTATTTTTTTTTATTTTTTTTTCAAATTACTCCCATTAGGGCAAAAAAATCTTTAAATTTTTTTATTGCAATTTATTGCATTAATTTTGCTTGAAGATGGGACTTTTTTAATTTTTGTATTTTTCTGTCCCTTTTCTAATTTAAAATTCATCCCATTTCTTTTATTTTTAAAATAATTTTGTAGAATGGTGCAACAATTCACTGCTGATATGGAGCGTTCAATTGAAGGTTCTTCAGCGCGCTTAGTTAGTACAAACGAACTTTCTGGTGGTGCACGTATCAATCGTCTTTTCCATGAGCGTTTTCCTTTTGAAATTGTTAAAATGACAATTGATGAGAAAGAAATGAGACGAGAAATACAATTTGCTATTAGAAATATTCATGGAATTCGGTTTGATTTTCTTTTAATTTTTAAAGAAAATGTATGGGGAGACTCATTTCCAAAATAGGGGATTTTTGTTAAGGTTGTCGGATCCGGATATCCGAAGATTTCCAATGATCCGACAACCTTAATTCCAAGGTGGGAGCTCCTATTACTCTTCCTAACATTTTTTTTTGAATTTTCTTTTCTAGTGTTGGTCTATTTACACCTGATATGGCCTTTGAAGCAATTGTAAAAAAACAAATTGAGCGTTTAAAAGAACCTTCACTTAAATGCGTTGATTTGGTCGTTAATGAATTAGCTAGTGTTGTTAGAGGTTGTGCAGAATGTGTGAACCGCTATCCTCGGTTGCGGGACTGTGTTGAACAAATTGTTACAAATTATATGAGACAACAAGAGGCTTTTGCAAAACAACAGATTGCAATGATAGTTGATTATGAGTTGGCCTATATGTTGGTTTTTATGAATTCTATCTGTCCTCTTAATACATCCTTTTGAATGATCCTGTAATATATATTTTACCCCCCCCCCCCCCCCTTTGTGAAAAAAATGAAAGAATTCCCCTCACCTCCGTGGCGCTGCCTCCCCGAAAATTTTTCCCGTGGCCCTCCCCCCGTCGGGGAACAACTCTAATATTTACGTTTTACGGTTTTTTTTCTTATTCTTTCTTTTCTAAAGGAATACCAACCATGAGGACTTTATTGGATTTTCAAATGCCGAAGCTAAAGCCTCTTCAACTAGCACAAAAAAGAATTTAGGCAATCAAGTAATTAGGAAAGGATGGCTTTCTGTACACAATATTAGTTTTGTTCGGGGTTCTCGAGAATGTTGGTTTGTGTTAACTTCTGAAAGTCTTTCTTGGTTTAAAGATGACGAGGTTTTTTTTAAATTTTTTAAGAAAATCTTAAATTATTTTTAGGAAAAAGAAAAGAAATATATGTTGCCTTTGGATGGAATTAAATTGAAGGATTTGGAGGCTGGTTTCATGTCTCGACAACACAAATTTGCGTTGTTCTACCCCGACGGAAAGTATGTTTTTAAAAAAAAATTTTGTTTTTATTTAAATTGCTAGCAAAAAAATATTTTTTTGCAATTTTAGTGCGTGAGTGACTTTTAAAAAAAATTAATATTTGCAAAATGCCTCTTCTAATACATATTTGATTGGATTTTTTTTGAGTTTTTTTTTAAATCCATTTTGCCGCTTGGGAAATTCAAAAATTCTATTTTTTCTAACAATAGGCTTACTAAAAATATAACAATTATTTTCATTTTTTCTATTTTTGCTTTTTGCAGGAGGTGAGAACGGACAAAATACTTTTACAAATTAATTTTTTCACAACAATTAACCGTATGTATAGATTTTTTGATGTCCAAACGTTGTCCTTATTTGTACTTTATGTTAATTTGCACACTAACTTTTAACGTTTTTTGTTTGTGTATTTTTGTCTTTTGGTTTGATAAGTGTTTGTAATTTTGTTATAGTGTAAGAATCGACCAACTACTTGCCTCAAGTTATTTTTAAATTGATGACTGACTAATTTTTTCTTGTCAGTATTTATTTGTTTCTTTCATATTATTGTTTATTATCCCCCAAATTCAAGGGCGTAGCCAGGGGGGTTTCTAAGCTAAAGCAAAAGTAAAAAAAGAAAAACTAAAGCCCCCCCTCCCCCCGAAATGGGGAAAAGGGAAAAATTTGAGGAGGGGATTGAGACCCCCCTCTCCCCCCGAAATCGACTCCCTGGCTACGCCCTTGCCCAAATTTAAATGCTAATGCCAAATCACACCCTTTTTGTTTATTCTGATTAACCTTATCAATTTATTTCTTTGTGCACAGTTTTCTTTGTTTGCCTTTTTTGCTTTCCTCTTTTTAATTTTATTATTCAATTAAATTTTTCTTTTTTAGGAACATCTACAAAGACTACAAAGAATTGGAATTGAGTGCCAAAAACTTGGATGATGTTGAAGCTTGGAAAGCATCATTTTTGAGAGCCGGTGTTTATCCAGAGAAGGATCATCAACCAATTAGTGACGAAGTTTGTTTTTTTTTAAATTTAATTTTGGATTTTGGGCTAGTAGGTCATTTAAGTAAATATTTGACTTAATATTTGGTTTAATTTGATATTTCAACACATTTCCGTTTAATATTTTTTTCGGATCCCTTAAAGATGTACAAATAAATTTTTAATAAAAATAAATATTTTCTCGTTTAAGCAAGAGGTCAGCTCTCCTTTTAACATTTTAACTTTGTAAATTGTCAAAGGTTTTTTGAATTTATGTTTTGTCCTTTGTCTTGGTGTTTTTTTCTCAATAATCTTATATAAATTTAAATAAAAAAAGGTTTTTAGAATGGTGACACTGTAGAATCTGCAAGCAGTATGGACCCAGCATTGGAACGCCAAGTGGAAACAATTCGTAATTTGGTTGACTCTTATATGCGAATTATTACAAAAACAATTCGTAATAATTTTTACTTTTTTAAATTTAATTCTGAAAATATTTTTGAAGGTGATTTAGTGCCGAAGGCAATAATGCATCTTATAGTGAATAGAGTAAATTATTTAATTTTATTTTTTTAATTAAAAATTTTTTAAAGATGTCAGATTTTTTGCGTGATGAATTACTTGCTGGGCTTTACCAACATGGAGGGGACACGGTTATTTTTTGAGCGACCAATTAATAACTAAAATATATTTTTAGGATCAATTAATGGAGGAATCTCCAATAGAAGCACAAAAACGAGAAGAAATTCTTCGAATGTATCACTCTTGTAAAGAAGCACTTCGAATCATTAATGATGTTAATATGACCACAATGTCTACTGATATGCCACCACCAGTTATGAATGATTGGCGGTTTGTTGTTTTTGTGGAAAGAATTTTTAAAAAATTTATAATTTTAGGAACAATTCTTCTCCAGTCCCCCGCCCGGCACCTGCACCGCCAGGAAATCAAATCCCAGCTAATCGACCCGCTCCAATGCCTCCAATGGGTGTAGCTCGACCAATGGGTGCTGTTGGAGGACCGGGTGTTGTTGGGGGTCCACCAATGCCTATTCAAAATCGACCACTCCCTGGACCTCCTGGACAAGCGCCAATGCCTCCGATGTAAGTTTTTCTTTTTTTATTCATTTTTTTTAATTTGAGAGGAATTCTAAAAATAATTTTAAAGGCGGCCAAGTCACAGTGGCCCCCATCTTTGAAAGAGAGGTAGGGGACTTGTGAGTGCTGTCCTTTTTTGTGTTTAAAATTTTTGTCGTTGGTGTTTGGTTGATAAACATTTTTAGAATTATAATAAATTTTGTCTTGAAGAATATTCAAAAAATAATTTTCTTCTTTTTTCCAGACATGCAAATAACATGGATAGACCACGCATTCCAGAACGACCTCAAATCCCAAGTCGACCTTTTTAGTTTTTAAAATATTTGGTTAGACATACTCACGGGTGTTGAGGGCATTATTTTATTTAAAAATATGATCGACAACAAGGATTTAAAAAATAATTTTTTTATTGTACAAGCAATTGAATTCTCTCATTATTTTAATTATTTATTTTAAAGAGTGACAAAAAATAAAATTTTGGAATTTTTTTGGCATTTAGATTTTTCAGAAAAATTTCTTTTTCACTCTTTAAATAATGTATTTATAATATAAATAATATTTTGTATGTGAAAGAAATATATCCCAGCAATTTTTCTTGTCACATACCTTTTTATGTTTAATTCTTTTCCAGCCATTCTACCTTATTTTTCAACAAATGTCGCATTCATTATTTTTAGAAATTTGTTAAAAATCATGAAATTTTGATGGAATTGGGTTAAAAATAGGGATGGATTTTTAAATGGAATTTTTGTTTGAATTTTTGAAGAAAATAGATTTATGGATGGGCACTGATTTTGTTAATTTTTTAATATAAAATACAAATTTTTAGTTAAATTCTTTTGACTTAAATCAAAAAAAATATTAAAAATATTCCATTTTATTTTAAATATTTTTTAAAACTTTGAAACATTCTAAATATAAAAACTTTTTTATTCTCAAACATTTTTTAAAAATTTTTGTTCTCCAAAATTTGTTTTCTTTTTAATTTGGGCTAAGAAAAGAGACCAAAAAACATTTTATTGGAAATATATTTTTTATTAAACATTTAAATATTTGTATTTTGTTTTATGTATTTTTTTGCTAGCAATAAATAAATTTAAAAAAGAATTTTCTGAATTTCTTTTTCTGAAATAATTCTGGAATATTTAAAAAAAATAATTCTGATTTTTCTTTTTCTCTATTAAAATCCACATTCATGATATACACTTACAAATTCAGTAAGTGCATATTTCTCAATAGCTTTAGCAAGTGATTCATCTGCATTAAATAAATTGAAACGCATTTGTGTTGCCAATTTACATTTATTTAATTCATCAATTGTTTTGTTGCCTTTAAAAAATATTTTTGACAAAAGAAATTTTCTACTTTTGTCATTTTGTTCATCATCCTTTGCAGCTTTTCCACCCGGGACTGTTAAAGATTGGAAAATTCCTAGTTGAAGGGCTGGGTCTTGATATTTGGAAAGTTTGCAGAGTAATGGGGCTCCTGTATCATCCTAAAAATTTAATTTTTGTTTATGTTCAGTGTATATGCACAGGGTGGGTGGAGAAAGGCAAAGAGGTATTTAAGATGGTTCTCCTTCCGTGAAATATTTATCTCTATTCGAGGAAAACATATATCTCTAAAGCTTATATCCAGTGTTTATAAATTTCAGATTTGCTCGTACTCGTACTTCATACCATCCCTAATTTTAGCCTCGTACTCTACTTCGTACCGGCCTATTCTTGGCCTATTTTTTGCTCATACTCGTATTTTGTACGAAGTACGAGGACGAGTACGAATTTTGTTACGAGCTTATAAACACTGCTTATATCTCTTTTCAGGAAATTCCCCCATAAATATAAGCTTACATAACAAGCAGTAAATCCACTATATACATCACTTCTGTATTGATTCAAACCATCATCCTTTGGTGGTTTTTCTAACTTATCAAGGTAAATACGAAGAAGACGATTCTCGTTCAAAAAATCTTCAGCTAAAAAATAATATTTTAGAGATTTTTAAGCTTTTTTGCCTTTCTCTGTTGTAGTAAATCCAACAAAAAAACATACAGCTCCCTCTCCGCTACTTAAGTCAGCTTGACTTACTTCGAGTCGAGGACCGGATGTCAGCAAAGGACGAAAATTAAGACGAGCTACCCATTTGGGGGCTGGGCTAGGTGGGCAAAGCTTTGGAAATTTTTAAAAATTATTTTTTGGGTTTTTATAAACTTCAGTAATGTTTTGTGGGGCAATTCGCAACAAAGCCCAACCATTTTGTTCATTTCTCTCTAATAGTTTGCCAGTTGAACGAAGTTCTTTGTCAGATGGTTTTGAAACAAAAACCACAAATTCATTCAAACTATATAGAAAATATTAATTAACCTATTCCAGTCAATTTCTTCTCCCGCTAAAATTCCATTTACAAAATTTAAAAATTGGAAATAGAGAAACAAAAATATAAAGAATATTTTTGGCTGGAGAATATCAAAAAACATTTTTCTGTTAAGATATCCTATAAGTTTTAAAATAATTTTTTTAATTTGAAGGAAACTTAAAGAATTCTAATGGAGTTTTGTCTATAGGAAAAATTAAAATGAAGGGTGAAATATTTTATAACAAAGTGAATATTTTATAACAAAGAAAACTCTTCCTCTTTTAAATTTTCAAGACAGAGAGGCACATGGAATGGCCCTCCGTTTTTACCTTTCCTTAGTTGAACGATCAACAACACAATCACCACTTGTTAAAACTAATGAAGCTGACTATAAAATAAACTTTAAAGAATATTTTAAACTTCTAAAATTTACAATTAAAGAGCCAGTGCAACTTTTTGTAGGCGCATTAGGTCCTTCTCTGGCAAGAACCTAAGTATATTTATTTATTTTAATTTAGTATTTAAATCTCTCAACCTTTACAACAAATCCATTCCTTAAAAATAAATTCTAAAAAATATTTACCAGATTTTTAATTAACCTATTCCAGTCAATTTCTTCTCCCGCTAAAATTCCATTTACAAAATTTAAAAATTGGAAATAGAGAAACAAAAATATAAAGAATATTTTTGGCTGGAGAATATCAAAAAACATTTTTCTGTTAAGATATCCTATAAGTTTTAAAATAATTTTTTTAATTTGAAGGAAACTTAAAGAATCCTAATGGAGTTTTGTCTATAAGAAAAATTAAAATGAAAAGTGATTGAAGGATTTAACTGGAAGATAAGAAAGTTTAAAAAGTATTTCCCACCCCTTTATAACACTTTAATGTTGTAAAATTCTTTTAAAATATTTACAAAACATTATTACATTCATATAATAAAGAAAACAATAATCTGACAGAATATTAGATACAAGATCGAAAATATAAAATTTTTAACACGCACAATTTCGTAAAATTTTGACTTCGCTCAAGTTTTGCTTCAGTTAACAAAAATTTTAAAGTTCACTCTGTCAGATGAAGCAAGCTTATCCGAACTAGAGATCGGACCGAGAGTAGATTTCGTTCAAAGGTCGAAGTCGATCCTCGAATCTTATCAATTTTAAAATTGTCAGAGGTGTTAAGAAATAAGATTTTTATGTCCTTAAAGAAACAGCCTAGAAAACTAATTTTTGTAATATATTATTATTTTCAATCTTGCCTTTATATTCACAATTTCCTAATTAAAACAAATTTCTATTTTTCTCTTTTAAAATTCACTTTCTTTCATCCAGTTGCCGCTACTTTTCGACCAAAAATTCGTTCCTCTGTCTGAATATTTGAAGGGTCAAATAATTTTGGTGGTCGTTTGTAAAGTATGGGACTTCGAAGAGGTAATGCAACATTCGGCATTTCGTCATATGCTAAATCAACCGATCTTTAAAAGAAAAAAAAATTTTTTTAATACAAAAAACGTCTTCAAACCCAGAAAATGAACGTATACGACAAAAATATGCAGCCATATCCTCAAAAAGATGAGGCTTAATCCCTAAGTCAGAAAATCCAAGTGTTTTCCCGCCAGTTAATACATCACTTGTTGCTTCCTTTAAAAAAATAAAAAAAAATTTTTCATAAAAAGGTTGGACAATTTTATAGTCCTTAATCTTTGCCCCACCTTTTTTTCATAATTTATTTTTAAAAACAAATAAAAAAAGAAAAAATTTTTAAATTTCGTTCTTTTAACTTTTAGAAAGATTAATTAAAATCTTTATTTTCCACTTTTTAAAAATTAAAAAAAAATTTTTTTACCACAAAATCAAGCCATTCCCAATCAATATAAGAACCTCCACCTCTATATACTTTTGTATTAATCCAACAAAGTGCTGACCAAAGAAGGAACCAAGGGTCTGGACGTGAAAAACGATGATATCTAAACATAATTTCCTTAAAGCAGCCAGCCTTTTTATAAATATAATCTGCCTAGAAAATTAAAAATTTGTAAAAATTATTTAATTTTTGTTACAATTTCACAAAATTCATAACAATGTGGGCCAACAAATTCAAAATCCTTTCCAGCAAAAGAAGGGTCATTTACTATTCGAGAAATTCCAAGACCAAAATCATTTACCTAAAATTTTTAATTTTAAAACATAAAAATTATTTAAGTCCTATATCCTTCAAAAGACCGAAAAAAAGGAACCAAGGATCGAAAAAATTAATTCTATAAATAAAAACTTTTCTCAAAAACAAGAATAATTTTTTAACCTCCCCATAAATACTGAAAGTACTAAAAAATTAATTTTTTTACTAATGACCCTACCCTTTATTTAAAATTAATTATTAAATTATTTTAACAAAAAAACAACAAACATAAACAGGCATTTTGTAAATTCCACGTCCTCCTTTATAAATATAAACCCATCCAAGTACTGGACATCGACGCAAATGAGTAGTCATAAATTGAAGAAAATAGTCACATTCTCCGTAGAGAACTGAAGGACGAACAATTGTAGCATTTGGAAATTCATCACGAACAGCCAGTTCTCCTAAGCCTTTAGTGCGAAGAAATTGACCCTAGAAAATTAATTTGTAAAATTAAAAAAAATTTTTGAATTTTTATTGAAAAATATAATTTCATTTTCCTCCTAAACTTTTCGATTTTGGATTTCACGATAGTTGAACTCTATAGCTTACAAGGGAACATCGTTTACTGTCTGCGAATTTGAAAAATTTTTTTATTCCATTCGATAGAGGACCTTCGACTTAGTACTGTGGCGGTTTCCGTTTTTTGCAGACCTATTTTCCATATATAAACATAATACATACATTTTTAAGATATTTAGATTCATGCTCAGGATCAGCACCCATAGCACTGACATGCACTAAACGTTCAACACCCATTTCACGACAAATTCTAGCAATTTTACGAGGCACCTCTACATTACTATCGTGCATTGTGAAATTACTGAAAAAGAAGTTTTAAAAAAATTTTAAAAATCCATACGGTGTGTTAATATAAGCACCAATTAAATTAACAACAACATTGCTGTATTTAACTGCTTTTCGAATGCTATCTTCATCAGTTGGTTGGAAGGGAAAGAAAAGAATTTGTCCAAGCTCACAAGAAACCTTCAATTCTTTAACAAAGAAAGCATCACAACGATAGGGAATAATAATTTGATTTCCTTGTTTGGCTAAACGATTAATAACACTGAGGCCGGTAAAACCAGAAGCGCCAAATACTAAAAAGAATTCTTAAGATTTTTAAAAATTCAAAAAAAAAACCTGAAACAACATTGCCCGTGAAACTATTACGTCCACCAGTTCCTCTACGAAATTGTGCTGTATTTAAAGAACTAATTACTGGCTCTGGAATATTCTCAAGAGAATATTTTTTATCGTTAGAAGTTGTTGAAGAATTTCTAACTGAAGATGCCAAAATCTGCAAATTACTGGAGAGTGGAAAAAAGCGGGACTTTATTGCAATATTCATTATTTTATCCTAAATATTAAAAAAAGAAAATCTTTTCTACAATTAATTTCTACAAATTTCTACAAAATGACAGTAAAAAACCTAGTTAAAAATATCATTAAAACCAATAAAAATAATTAATGAAAATAAATCATTTCAAAGATTTTTAAAAAAAGAAAAATTTATTAAAAAATAAATTAAAACATTTAAACATCATCTAGGTCTTGGGTTTTCAGGTAGAGCCATCTTGGTTTTTCAAGTTTATCTGGGTGCCACTGAAATAAAATTTATTAAAAAATTTTCTAAATTCGAATTAAACAAACTTGTACGAAGAAATCACGACCACTAGCAAACAAAGCCTAAAGTAAAATTTTTAAAATTTCAAAAATGTAATCAAAAAAATTAATCATTTTTACAATATATACAACTAACTGTAAAGTAGATTTTCTGTTCGTTGCGTGCTGCTTTCCTCATGCTACGGCGATCTGGTTCTGGCTGCCCATAGCGTACACACAGCAGTCTTTTATCATCGAATCGTGCTCGTTCCTCTCCTTCACGTATTAACACAGCGATATCAATTTTAAAATTTCTAAGTGGATGTTGAAAAGGTGGTTGTAAAACCCATTCATTGTTTTGCCGTGTAACAGTTTCGATTGGTCTTATATAAATATATAAGTTACGCAAAAACCCAGAATGCAACTAAAATTAATTGTAAATTTTTTAAATAGCAAAAATCTCACAGAAATAACAGGAGATCCTTCGTAAGCCTCAAGAGCATCTATTAAATTTCCCAAAGTTAGTGGACCACGAAACATGCGTAGCTCCTCATTTCCTTTAGTTGAAGAATCCTCCGAATTTGTGGGCAAATCAGAATGACCTTCTCCTGTTTCAGAATTTAAAATATACTTTTCTTAAAAATAAAAATTTTAAAACAAAATATAAAAATATTAAGAGATCGAAAATTCAGATCATTATTGAAAATGTTTTTAATATTTTAATAAAAATTAAAACATTTGTAAAAAAAGTTATTAACTATCCTATCTATCACATATCTATCCTCTTAAATGTTTCTTTTAATGGAGTCTAGAAGGAAAAGAAATATGTGTTGCCTTCAAATTGAGTTAAATTGAAGGATTTGGAGGCTCCTTGTAAGACCAGTAAAACCGGGTGTGAGAAATAATAAAGGAATTTTTACAATTTTAGAAAATTCAAAAAAAAAACCTGAAACAACACTGCCCGTAAAACTATTCCGTCCACCAGTCTCTCTAGGAATATTCTCAAGAGAATATTTTTTATCGTTAGTTGTTGTTGAAGAGTTTCTAACTGAAGATGCCAAAATTTGTATATTACTGGAGAGTGGAAAAAAGCGAGACTTTATCACAAAATTCATTATTTTATCCTAAATATTAAAAACATAACTTTACAATTTAGAATAGATAAAAACAGTAAAATAAAAATACCTAGTCAAAACTATCATTAAAACCAATAAAAATAATTAATGAAACTAAATCAATTTCAAAGATTTTTTAAAAGAAAAAATTTATTGAAAGATAAATTAAAACATTTAATGAATAGTATCATTAAGAAATTTTTTTAGGCGTCATGACGTCCATTCTGATTTTCAGTAGAATCTGGGCGCCACTGAATTAAAATTTTTATAAATCTTTTAATTAGAAATTTTAAACAAACTTGTACGAATAAATCACGACAACTAGCAAAATAAGCCTAAAGTAAAATTTTTTAGAACTTTTCAAAAAATTAATAAAAAAACTAACTGTAAAGTAGATACTGAGTCCGACATGTGCAGCTACCTTCGGGCGCAGGCGATCCGCTTGTGCTGCCTGTCCTCTGCGTATAAGCACCAACCTTTTATTGTCGACTCGTGTTCGTTCCGATGCTTCACAACTTGCAACAGCCTCATCAATTTGAACATTTCTAAGAGGATGATCAAAAGGTGGTTCTAAGACCCACTGTTTGTTTTGCCGTGCAACAGTTAAGACTGGTCTTGTATATATAAATAGCTGACGATTTAAACCAGAATGCAACTAAAATAAATTGCGAATTTTTTAAATAGCAAAAATCTCACAGAGATAACAGGTGATCCATCGTAAGCCTCAAGAGCATCAATTAAATTTCCCAAAGTTAGTGCACCCCGAAACATACGTAGCTCCTCATCTTCTTTAATTGAAGAATCCTCCGAGTTTATGGGCAATTCAAGATGGCCTTCTTCTCCCATTTCAGAATTTAAAACATAATTATTTCAAAAATAAAAATTTTAAAATAAAATAGAGAATGAAGAGATAGCAAATTCAGATCATTACGTTTTCTAATTTTAATAAAAAAAATTATTAAAATAATTTGCGATTCTAGAATAAAATAAATTCATTAAAGTTTTTAGATACATATCATAGGCCAATCCCCTAAATTCACAAAAATAAAAAAACATATTTACCCAAGTAATATTTGGTTAATTGAAAAGACAATTTAAAATTTGAAGACAAAAATATATCAAATTGGTAACTTTAAATTGTTAACTCGTTGAAAATTTTACGATTGACAAACTTTGTTTTATCTATTACCGTTTAGGTGAGAAAATTTCATCGGGAATTTTAAAAAATTAACTGGTTTTTCCTGTTTTTGATTTACTTTCTATAATTCTCGAATAATCATAATTCCTGTCAGCTGCAGAAAATGGTGAATTTTTGTTAAATTTTTATAGTCTTTTAATCCTTTACAAGAATTTACTACTATCTAATATCGCAATCTATACACTATTCACCTTAGATTAAAGTTGGAGATTGTTACTTTCTTCCTTATTAAATACAAAATTCTTGTGTAAAAGACAAAAATCGGAAATTAAAATTTTTTTCTTATTTTGTTTTTATTTTTAAATTTAAATCTTTATTTTTTTAAAGTTTTTGCACCTTCTTAAAAACCACATTTATAGCCACATTATTATCTTTCTTACGCTCGGCGCAGCAAATTATTTTAGACGCCCCGCTGAGCAATTCTGAACTACTACCAGAAAAATACTGACTGCAAAAACACAATAAAAATTTTCCGTAGAAAAGGACAAAAACAAACATGGCTGAAAATACAAATAACATTAACAGCGATAAAGCTATGTCAACAAGCAATTATAACTTTGAAGATGTATTTTATTTTTTTTTTGATTCTTGTTTGTAACTTTTTTTATTCAGGCAAGACTTCAAGCTTCAATAAGATGGCTAATTACTCGTATTTATAATGATCAAAATCAATTGCCGGATTCTCTTTCTGAACCTTTTAGATTGAATAGCGAGGTTTGTTTTTTTTATAAATTTTCATTTTTTAAATCAAATTTAGGATCGAATTGAATTAGCACAACCAGTCATTTTTTGTTTAACTAATGGATCTTTTTATGGTCAAGCAGCGGCGAAAATATTCCATGATCCTTCTTTTTTGAATGTTTGTTTTTCTTTTCTTTTTCTGTTTAATTTTATATTTTAGGGAGATCTTGGTCTTCTTTTCCATGCTTTGACGCAAGCAGGAATTGATGTTAAGGACAAGGATGGGCAATCTGTTACGATAGAATTGCTGAGAAGTCAATCACCATTCAATACGGTAAGTGCTTTAATTTAAGTTCGAGCTGTATTTTGCGAATTTTTGTGAACGAAAATTTTTTTTAAAACTTGTCTGTTAGTCTTGTGAGCAAATGCGTTTAATATCTGCTTTTTACATAATATTTTATCTATTTTTAAGAATTCTCATCTTGTATTTATTGACTCTTTGATGGTAGCTCATCTTCGTTCAATTATCTCAATCGATAGAGTAGTTCAAGCAATATCGTATGTTTTTATCAATTAAAATTTTAAATTTTCAAATTAGAAATTATGCTGTAATTGAGAAAAGAGAAGAACCATTGGATTGTGTTGATGCTTTGTTATTTTGGATTAATAAGGTTTTTGGTTAAATTTTGTTTAAGAATTCAATAAATTTTAAGGTTTGTTCCATCGTTCGTGATGATGTTGAACGTAATTGTGTTGCTTTAACCAATGGAAGAAATGAAAGTGACGAACCTTCAATTAATGAGACAACAATTCCGGAGATGGAAGATCTTTATGAAGACCTTTGTGATGGAACTTGTATCTGTACGTTAGTATCTTTCTATCGACCTGATGAATTGCCTTTAAAAGGTTTTTTGAGGCACTAATAAATTTTAAATAAAATATTTTTATAGAAGTTTGTTTCAAAGATCCAATGAGTGTAAATGATTGCAAGTTTAATTTAGAATTGTTGAGGTTTCCTTTTTTTAATTTTTATTAATTAAAAAATATTTGTTAGAAATTTTTGTGCAACAAATTTGCCTTGGAATCCTTTTCATTTTCGAATTGATGATATTCTGTTTTTACATGAGTCATTGCAGCCGAATGTGAATGCCTTTCTTGCAGATTTGTTTATGTTTTTTGAAGGTCAACAAGTGGTGGATTCTGGTAGTTTTATATTTTATTTTTCTTTAAACAAATTTTTAAAGAGATTGTACCAATCCAACAAACTGTTCAGCGCAATTTTCTTCGAACACAACCACTTCCTGATCAACAAGCCGATGCAGGAATAATAGAAAAGATACAAAGTGCTCGGGACTTAAACAATGACAAAAGAAGAAATAGAGCCTTCTCTGCTGCAACGGATGATGTGTTCTTTCCTGGTACTGGTTCATTACCAAGAACAAGAAATATGTCTATTGCTTCGCCCCGTCAAACTAGACTGGAGCAGAATTTTCCTTTTCAGGTATTCCATGTTTTTATATTGATATGGAAATTAAAACTCAATAAAATTGTTCAATAGTAAATGTTTCATTTTCAGACATCTACAGGCGGAAGTTCCACCCTACATCGTTTTCCCGTCTCAAATCAAGATCGAGGGTTTAATCCGCAATTAGAACCCTGGCGAAGTCAGCTGCCTGGATATCAACAACAACAGCAAAATTTTGGTCAATTTCAAGGATTTCAGAGAGCTGTGAGTTTTTTTTTTGATAATTTGGATATAATTAAGTCACTTTAATTTCAAATTTTTTACATTTTCCAGAATACACTAAATCGTCCTTCAAAAGATGATGACCAAACTCCTCGTCCATCGAGTGTTTTAATGCAATCACAACCACAATTTAACTTGGGCAGTCACAATACATTGGTTGATCAATTATCGGTTATTTTTTGTTTTTTGATAGTTTTAGCTCATTTTCTTCTTTCAGAACCAATTCAACAACAATTTAAAATTTTCCTCTCCTCCTGGTCAACGGCAACAATTTCCTTTACAATTTTCACAACAACCTCTAAGACAACAAGCAAATGTTTTTGGTATTTTATTAATTAAAATAAATTTTACGACAAGAATATTCATAAATATTTAAATTATTAGGTGTGAATGCATTTCCGACTTTTCAAAGTACTCCACAACAAAATTTTACCAATAAACAATTTGCTTCTTTACAACAACAAGATATATCTCCTATTGGACCTCCTCCACCAGATTCAATTATTTATTCAGATTATTCTTTTGCGGAACAGCCAAATACTTCAATGCTTCAGCAAAATATTCAAGGGCAACAAATGCCGCAAACAATGCAACATATGCAAGGGAATGTTAATCCACAACTTTTTCCTGAACAACAGGTTTGTAAGGAAAATTTTTTTCATAGAATAGTTCAAAAATCATTCATAATTTTTTGAAATAATTATTTGCTTTTACTACTTTAAGGAATTGTAATTTAATAAAAATTCCTGTTATATATTTTTAAATTATAATATTTAGCAGCTGTTCCAGCAACAACATTTCCCTTCTGCCTGCCCACAGTCAAATTATATTTCTTCAACAAATTCTAGCAATTTATATTCAACACCAATGCAAACCTTTAATTCTGGATATTGTGGACAACAACAACAACCTTCGGTTTATTATACGCCAACATCTTATAATCAAAACCAAAATATTGAATATATGGGTGGAGGAGGACAATTACAACAATCATTATCTCAACCTTCTCATTTACATTTGCTACATCAACAAAATCAATTGCCACAATTATCTCATTCCATTCATAGTCAATTTGGACAAAAACCATCTTTTCAATATCAAAATCAACAGGTTTGTTGAAATAAATATTTATAATTTTATCTTTTACTTAACAGAATCAGCCTTATAATAATCAAATAATGCCACAACAGCAATACACACCAATTCCTTCATTGCCTTTCAATCATCCTGGAGGTAGCACTGTATTTCCTGTTTCTGCTGATCCATTTTCTCTTACTCATTTGCAAAATTATCAACAACAAATGCAACAATGCAACTCAAATCAACAAAAATCAATTGAACAAAATAATATTCCATTTCGATTGCAACAAGCTAATGTATGAAATTTTGAATATTAAATTTGAAATGCCTTTTAATTTTTATAAAAATTAAGAAAAATTTTTTTGTTAGATACAAGATGCTGATATCGAACCTGACCCAGAAAACGATTTAAGACAAGAACTAGCCAATTGGGGAAAAACATATCGTTTTACAGAAAAGCCACAACGCAAAACTTGGGCTTCTAAAAAAGTTGAAATGCAACAAAGAATTATTGCAAATAACCCTGTGGCAGCATTAAATGCAACTTTGCATGGTTCTAGATCAGCAACAGCATTAGCTTCACAAGGAAAAGATCAAAATGGTTGGAAATTTAAAAAAATTTTATTTCTTAAATAAATTTAAAGATTCCTCTTCTACCCCTAAAAATGGTAGTAATGGAGCTTCTACATTGAGTAGTGATGAAAGGACTGTGAATCAAAATATAAACATATCTTTGGACGTTTCAGACTCGGATAGTACAGAAATGGTTTAATTTAGAATTAATTTCAGAAATTATATTAAAATTAATTTTAAAGACTCCAGAAATGCTTGCAAAACGTCAAGCGTTACTTACAAGTCAATTAAAACGAAAGGAGAGGATTGTAGCAAAAAGTGAAGAAAAGGAACTTGCTTCTTTAGAAAAACGACAATCTGAAATGCAAAAATTAGAATTGGCTGAACAGAGAAGGATAGAAAGGGAGCAAAGACGGTAAGGGAATTTTTAGAGGAATTAATTTTGAAAAATTTATTTTCAAGTCTAAAATGCTTGGAAGACTATAAACGTAAAAAATTGGAGCAGGAATTAGGTGAACAACCAGGTGGTTCAGCACGAATGTGTAGCTCATCAACAATGTCATTAAATAATCGTGGACAAAGTCAACCTCCGTTTAGACGTCCAAAAAGTCAAACTAATGTAAAAAGAAAAGATTTTTCGATTTAATTTAAAAAAAATTTTTAAGCTCAATATAAACCAAACACGTACACTTCATCGTCCATTTAGAGCACAAAGCAGCGTTAATAATGGTGGTGATAATGACGAAAATGCAGGGATTTCAGGCTCTCGTAGTAATGTTCCGGCATCTGTTTTGGGAGAACCTTCACTAAAATTGTATGCCCGACAGCAACCAAAATCTAATCGAACTCTTATACTTAATGCACTGCAATATAGTATTTTCCCTGGTCATGTATCTAATGAAAGTAGACAAAAGGTAGAAAAATGAAAAAATTTTTGTTTAAATTTCTTTTAAAGGTACAAAATGCCATAGCTTCAAGTGACTCTAAACACTTTCTTGTTTTATTTCGCGACCATAGACTACAATATCGAGGTTTATATACATGGGATCAATTTTCCGAGGCTGTTCACAAAATTGGTAAAATTCGGAAAAAAATCATTTTTTATTAAAATATTCACCTTTTCAGAGGGTTCGGGTCCAAAAGTTTGTCGAGAGCCAATGATGACAATTATGTATAAATATGGTAAAAATTGTATTTTAAATAAAATTTGATTAAAAATTAATTAAAGATTCGGGTGCAAAATCTTTTGGAAAGATTCCAACAAAACATCTTTCCGCAACAATTGACGGGTTTGTAATTGCTGAACAATATTGGTGAGAATAATTTTACTAAATATTTTGAAAGCAAAAACGTTTAATATTTTTAAGGCAACGACCAAAAATTCCTTTTAGTGGAAGATGAATATCATCAAAAAATATTTTGCTTATCTACTTCTATATTTTTTACTTTTAAAAAATCGCCTTATTAAAGCCACCTTTAATTTTGGATTTCACTGCTAAAAACATTTACTTGCTATATATTATGTTTGGAACACCGGTGCTCAAAATACTGAATTGATGCTATGTGGCCGTTTGTAATTATAAAAATATCCGTCCTTTATAAACATATATTTACAAATGATATTATTTTTAATTTAAAGAATGGGAATTTTTGATAAATAATTTTTTGGCTTTTGAAATTTACGAGCTAATAGTATAGAGGCATAAATTTCTCAATTCGAAAAGAAAACATGCTTTTTTCACAGCTCAAACATGAACAAGTTCGGAAAAAATACAGAAAAATAAAATGACTGTCAATGTAATCCAGGCTTTGGGTATGGCTTATCTTATAGTCCAAATTTTTCATTAGTGTTCCCATTCTTATCTGCCCAACTTGTTTTCTTATCTCTAATTCCTTTTTTTGTAGCTAATTATAAGAATTCTTTCAAAATATTTTTTGATTGTTTAATTTACTCACTTAAAATGTTAGATTTTCGAATTGTGATTTGTATAGGATCGAAGATATTGTTTTGTGTTTTTGGTGATGGCCGTGTTTCTAATTTTTCGATTTTTTGACTTTGTGCTTTTTTCGATAATCTCGGGCATTTCGCTTTCTGCCTATTATTATATTATTGCTTATATAGGAAATAAATTTAATCTGATATATTTGTTGGTATTGAATCTTGTAAGGATTTAATTACTTTAATTAGGCCATTCCTCAACCTACTCAATTAAAAAGGTAAAGATGTTTTATAAGCTAACTCCGCAACGCAATGTATGACGTTTCTTGATTGTGAGAACATGTTGACGTTGCTTAGTTACAAACAGGCGCTAGCTAAGACAAGTTAGAATAATGCTGACGAACAATGTACTAAAGCACATTTAATAACATTGTTTCATCAATAAAAGAACTTCGAATTAAGTTACGCCAGTCAATGTCCGCACCGCCTCAATATAACGGATACCCACAATATCCTCCACAATACCCACCTCCACCACACCCCAACTACCCACAACAACCGGAATATGCTAGCTATAATCCAGGGATGCAGCAACCACAACTACAATACGCACCGCAATCTTATAATGGATACCCGCCACCACAGCCTCAAGTAATGTAAGTACATAGATTCGATTTTAAATTTAACATTAAAAATAACATTCCTTCGACAGTGTAGTTGAGAGGGACCGGCACAGTGTTTCAGCCCCAGGAGGAGGAAGTTGTTGTTTATTGGCGATGTTGGCTTGTTGTTGCGCTTGTTGCCTCGCGGGCTGCTGCGATTAAAATATCGAAACATTTTTCTAATTAAATGTGCATCAAAAAATTGTATGTATCGTGTGTAAATAAATAGAAGTGGTAACATTTATTAAATTTAGTAAAAATCTGGGCAAGAAAAATTTTTTTTTCAAAATTTTAATTTTAAAGGAAAAATACAAGGAAATACAAGCCAAATAAAAATAATAAAATTTTATATGATTCACACTTTAAATTTTGCCAATAAAATGAGCAAATTTGTCATTTACTGTTTACAACCTTTTTCACCGGTTAAGCCACATAATTGTATAAACTTGCATCTTCCTTATCTCTACTCAAGTAGTCACGCTCTGAAAAATTGAAAAGTTCTTTTTTAAGGGAATTTTATGATTTAGAAAAAATTATTCTAAAAATACTTTTTCGGATTTGTCCTCCTAACACAAATTTTTATGAGAAAGGCAGGTTTCCCTAATGGCACACGGACATATCGGGACGGACATATCGAGATATTTCAATGTACGAACAGTTACCCTACTGACTTCGGGATCTACGGCCACTGGGTCTTGGATAGTAGGAATAGAGTTTTTATGTTTTAGAACAAACGTAAACACGCAAGAAATTATTTTTGTCACACCAATCCCGATATGTCCTCACACCTTACCTAATATCCCATAACCCCCTTCCCCCATAAAATACATAATATTGCCCTTAGAAATAAGTTTAAATTCTCTCCTTACCAATTAAAGACTCTATTCTTTTCTTCAAATCAGTTGCTTTAACAGAGAAACGTAGCTGACTTAAAGTTTCAGTAATTAATTGTGTATGTGACAATCTTTGTCTTGTTTTCATAATTCTTACAACGGCAGCATCTATTTGGTAGAGACGATCTTGGAATATTTGTTCTTCTGTTTGTTGATGTTCTTGTTCCTTAAAAATTAATTTTTTTCAAAATTTTTTAGAAAATTTAGAAAATAACCGTTTCTCTCATTTGAACTTGTGAAATTCTAATACGATAAAGTCTATCATTAAATTCTTCATTTAGAACAAAATTATCATCGGAATTTATATCTTTTCCTTTAGGTTGTTTAATTAATACTCTAAACTTTCCACAGGCAAGTGATTGTAAAGTACGTTTTAATTCAATATCTTCTAAAAATTTTTTTAAATAAAATTTAATATTTATTTTTATAATTATACCAATTTTTGTATTTTCTGAAATTTCTTTAAAATTCCATTTTAATTTTTCATTAAACATTAAAAGAACCATTGATTGAAAAAGAGAGACTTCCAATTCTTTTGTTACCTTAAAAAATGTTATAAGGTAAAAATAATTAAAGAATTTATATCTATTCCTTTTGGAGATCCCGCGCTTAAGCTCCAAAAATTAAATTGGAGAGTTTTTTGTATAATAGTTTTTAAAAGGTTGGATGGTTCGCGACTCATTTTCCGCTCAATTTCTCATACTTGAAATTTTTTAAGAAATCTTTTTAGATATTTTCAATAAAGATGGAATGGGAAACCTCAATAGGTATATAATAAAATGCCAAATATGTGCCTAATTATGTTAGAACAAAATTCAATTTGATGTTAGTTTACAAGGGAACATTCCGAACTGTGACCAAAAATTTTTTTATAAAAATTATACCATCGTGTAGAGCATGGTCGATAGCCTAACCCTATATATTTCTTTTTTGGCCCTGACCCCCATTTCGAAAAGTTATAGGGCTTCAAAGTTTTCGACTTTTGGAGCGGTTGAGTCGCCCTCATAAAGAGAGAGTTTTCTTTTATTAAAGAGAAAAATAAGACTCCCATCCTCCTTTTTTCCTTTCCTTTTCTTTTCAGATATTAGTTAAAGAAAGAGAAAAGGAGGAGAGAAAAGAAAATTAAAAGGCATCTCTGCCTTGCGGCTAATGTCAATTAAAAAGGAAAGAGGAGATGGCAGACATGCCTCTTTTCCTTTCCTTTTCTCTTCTCTTTTTCTCTTTCTTTAACCAACATGGGAAAAGAAAAGGAAAGGAAAAATGGAGAAAAGGAGTCTCACATTTCCCTTTAGGAAGACAAATAATAAGAAAAGTGAGGGCGACTCAACCGCTCCAAAAGTCGAAAACTTTGAAGCCCTATAACTTTTCGAAATGGGGGTCAGGGCCAAAAAAGAAATATATAGGGTTAGGCTATCGACCATGCTCTACACGATGGTATAATTTTTATAAAAAAATTTTTGGTCACAGTTCGGAATGTTCCCTTGTTAGTTTAATAAACTCTTATTAGTCAAATAATTTTATTATAAATTTTATAAATAATTTTATTTAAAAAAAACCTTCGGCTTAAAATTTGCTTTTAAAACTCCACTAGCTAACGAATATTGCCATCGAAGTTTCCTTCCATTATGTTTTGAAGTATAAAATTTAGCACAAATTTGTTGTAATTCTGCTAATTGAGGAGGGATATTAACTTCTTGTAAAGGATAAGTAGGCCAATTCCCCATTGTTAAAATAGCTACATTTACTTCTAATTTTGAGAAACGTTTTTCTTTATCCGAAGCTTCCAAATACTTTAATTTAGAAAAAAATTGAAAATAATTAAAGGAAAAAAACCTGTTTAAAGGTAGCACAAAAATCTTTAGATAACTCCATATCTTTAAACATTCCTTCTAATTTTTGAGTTAAACCAGCTCCACATTCTGTAAATATATTTAACTTGTTTTGGTAAATTTTATTAAAATAATAACGTCCACTGCTTTTTCAATTACATAATCCCAGGTCAGTAGCCAGAGGCTAGGATTACCCCCGAAAATTTTTTCCAGGTACAGGCCTGCATAATCCCATAATTTTTCGTTAGGTATTAAAAATTGAAGGTTTAATTTAAAAAATTTTAGTAGGTAATTTGTATTTTTTGATATTACACAAACAAAAATATAAAATAATTAAATTAAAAATTAAAAAAATATAACCAGTTCTCAATTTCGAAAGCATTGCCTTTTCAGCATCAACAGAAGCACTTCTTCCCAGTAAAAGTCGTTTAGCCAAATCTTTTTTATAAAAAGCTTCAAAAACATCCTTGCCTTGAACAAAACGAAATATTACAATAACTTTATCCATTACACTATCCAATTCTTCTTCTGTACATTCTTTATTTCCCGTACGTAATTTGAGGTCCATAAATTTGGCTAAAAAATTTTAAAAATAAAATATTTTTTTCTTTAAAAAACCTGTCAATTCTGCAATTTTATTTGGCCTAGAATTAATAAAAAAGTCAAAAGAATCTTTCAAAGCATTAAGAAATTTTTCGTTAGAACAAAAACATTTTATAATTATTTGGTCTAATTTTGCCTTTAAATCCATTAATTCTTGGACTAAAGTTTTGTCTCTTTCAGCATCCATAACCATTGCCCGACCAACTTTCTTTAAAAAATACGAAATTGTTTTTAAATTTTTAATCTAAAAAACCTTTATATGTTCAGAAAAAGCATTCTTTAAAGCAATTTGGCCGTCTTTAACACGTGATAGAAGTTGGTATAAAAGTGCCAAATCGTCTAACCTTTGTTCAGAAATTAATTGATATGGACCTTAAATTAAATAAATTTTTAAAAAGGACCGGATTTTGTTTGTGATTTTTCAATCAAAAAATTTTTTTCTCAAAATTCAAAATTAAACCTTTAGTAATTATAGAATCCAAATAATCAGCAATAAAACATTTTTCCACAATTACAATTAATTTTTTGGATGTTGAATATTCCAAATATAGTTGAATTCGCTCTTCTTCTTCTAGCAATCTTTTCTGTGCAAATTGTAAATAATTGCTGATCTAATAAGAAAAAAATATTTTTTTGTAAATTTTAAAACAAACATTTAATTCTTGTATTTGTAAACTACTCTCTTCTCGATAAAAATGTTCTGTTGCTTTGAGAAATTCTCTTTCAAATGAACGGTCATAAATTTGTAGATTCATGAACATTCTCAAAAGTGATTTTAATAAATGTCTGTCAACCTTAAAATTTTTTTTTAATTTTAAAATAAAAAATAAGTCCAAAATACTTGAATTCCCCTTCTATCCCTTTCAATTAATTGTAAAATTCCATTTACTGCTCTAGAACAATTTCCTGAATGTTCAATTACTCTTTGCCGAAAAGCCTCATGTCCAGTATCCCTATAAATAAATTTAAAAAAATGTTTAAATTAAATTATTAACCAAATTGAAACGCCAGAGGTACTCTGTTGCATTCGATAAGTTCGGTCGAGGTAGAGAAATACACTCCTTATCAACGACTTAAAAATGAAGTGATTTAAAAAATAATTTTTAAGGCAAAGGAGAAATTTAGAGTAACCAGAAGTTAAAATAAAAAATTTTCTACCATTTCGACTGACTTAAAAACAGGAGGGGAAAAAGAGAAAAAATACAAATATAAAAATTTTTTTTACAAATTTCTGCACAAGGAAAATTCAAAAAAGGTCTAAAAATCAAAATAAGGTTCATAAATTAAATACCAATTGTTGACAGAAATTATCCCACAAACGATTCAGCATTTCCAAAAAAGTTTCAAAAGAAGAATTTTGGCTCTTTTCAACAAGTCGAGCACATTCATTGTCAGAAAAGTTGTGAATAAGAATTTGAAGACGAGAAAAAATTTCCTGAGCATAATTCATTTGGCACAAATTTTCAACAATCTTTTTATAAAAACAAAATTATCAAAAATATTTTAAAAATTACATTGTAAAGTTCAACACAAGTAACATTGGCACTTTCCCTTTTTTGAATTTTAATAACAGAATCTTCTAATATTGACCAATTTGCATCAAAATTTAAAACATTCGGGTCATTTCTTTCTAAAAATAATTTAAAAAGAATTTTTAAAAAAAAAATTTACGTTGAAATTTTCTAATAACAATTTTCTTTGTTGGTCCATTTAAGGAAGTCGAATGGAGAGGTTGTTTATAGAGTCCATTTGTTGGCTTATTCTGAAAGATTAAAATTAGCGAATGAATTAATTATAAGGTAGACAAATCCAATAGACAAATCCCCCATATCCCGGCTTTTCTTAATGAAATTCAAACAATGGAATTTTTAATTGGGGCAGCCTCTACTCAAATATTAAAAAGATAGCAAAATCAGTAAAAGTTTAATAAAAAATAAAGAAAAATAGCTTACAAAGCTAAATTCAAAGTGAGGTAATATATCTCACTTATGTCATTTTGGTATTTATACAACACTTTGTTTATTTAAATAAAATTGCTTATCTCCAAAATATAATAAAATAAAAAACCTACAGAATATTTAATTCCATCATTTAATGCGGAATTCCCAGCAATTTCATTAATATTTGAACTTAAAAGTCCATTTGGGTTTTCACCATGTTTATCGTCCATTTTCAAAGCTGAGGCAAAACGTGGAGAAAAATCCAAATAATTACTTCTTTTGTGTTCAGGCTAAAAAACAGAATAGAAAAATTAATTAAAAACAAACTTCTTGAATATTGGAAGTTTTTGAATGTCGTTTTCTGTTAATACTCGAATTATCTGTCAATAAGTCGTTATCAATTAAATTAACTTCTTTGGACATCAACTAAATCCTTAAAAGAAAATAGAAAAAATTAAAATATAAATGAATAAAAAAAGAAGAAAAATCGAAGGGAAATCGACGGGAAAAACGAATTTTAAAATAAGAATTTTGTCTAAAGCTTCAATATCCGTCGCTGCCAGCTGAGCAGCGGCAGACGCTAGAAATCATTTACAGGAAATTTCCAGTCGGGTTCAGTTGAGTCCCCTCAGCCTAACGAGACTCTAATGTTCATGTTACTTCCGGAAACGGACACATTGTCGGGAGCATTTTGTCGCAAACGATATTTTGTTGAAATGACGTTTTGATCCAACGATATTTTGTACCGGGTCCATTATTAATTATTTTCCAAAGGCTTTTTCTGTTTAGCTCACATTTTAGCCCCTAATTGTTTTTTATAAAGTTAACATTTTTTTAATTATATTATTTCTTAAACAATCTAATAAATATTAATTAATCATTCTCTCTTTATGATTCATCTTTCTTCCATGATTTTTTTTAATTTTAAAAGTTTACTACTTTTTAGGCAACAACTTCTCAATGCATTTATAAAACAATTAACAATTTATTTTACAAAATAAATAAATGACAACCCCTCAAAACCAAAAACGAGAAATTATTTTTAAAGGACAGTTACAACAGAAAGTTGTTAGAAGATGTGGAATTCTGTTGAGAAGAAAGGTAATTTTTTTTAATTTTATAATTTTTTTAAAAGTTATTTTGAATATTCTTTAACGAATGAAAATTTAAGAAAACCTTTAAAAATGTAAAAATATTTCGAAAATTGGTCAAAAGAGTATTTGCCATGAAAAACTTGATAGGATTAGATGAAGTCAAAATTTGAGAGTTAAAAAATTGCTAACAATAACTCTCCCATTTTTAAATTAGTTTACAAAGATTGTTTTTTGTTTCCGATTTTCTTTGCCTCCTTTCTTTTGGCCCAACTTAAAAAATACTTTAATAGATTGTAATTTCTGGTATTTATTTTTAAAATAAGTTAATTTTTAATTTATTTTTTTAGAAGACAATTTACGAGGACGAATTATGGGTAGTTCTTTGTGTTCATGAGGGAGGAATATGCGGAATTCCACATTTGGAATGGTATTCAGACCTTAAAAATGTTTGTGAACATAATCCTATAAAAGTACAAGGTTTTCTTTGAATTTATTTTTAAAAGATTTTCAAATTAATTTTTAGACTTGTTAGATTGCCAATATGTAAATGTATCGATTGGAGAAGAAAAAACTTTTGTTATTGGATTTACTGACAAAAACCGGCCGATATTAGAATTACATTGCCCTACAATGTTTGGATTTTTTATTTAATAATTTGGGAACGGGGGGATGATAAATTTATTTCCAAGGGAGAATTTTAACGGGATTAGGACTCGAATTTATAGTCTCATTTTAAATTTTGAGAGACAACCGTAATTTTTCTATTTTTTATAATGTATTAATCAAGTTTAAAAATTAAAAAAATATTTTTTAAAGTTTAGGGGATTAAAAACAGACTAAAGCAGATCCAATACCCGATAAAAAAATTTTAGGAGTCATTTCTGCGTTTTTATTTTATTTTTTAAATAAGATAGCTGCGTGGATTAATATAAAAATATAGAAATTTTCATATTAATTATTCTTAATAATCCTTAAAAAAATTCATCTTAAAATTTTTTTAATTTAAGAGAAGAGCGAAGACAATGGGTCACTAAAATAACAGAAACTTTGAGTCGTTTAAATTGTCTTTTACCATTAGAAGATGATATTAATAATCAACAATTAAATGGGGGAGGTAATGTGCCTCGGAAAGAGAATTTATATATTGCAATGAATGAAATGGAAGAAGAAAATAAACAACCAAAAAATGAAAATATATTTAATAGAATTATTACAAATAATTCTTCTAATCGAGTTCCTTTGGTAAATAAATTTTTTATTAAATTTAAAAAATTAAAAAAATATTGGGGGATCCTAAGGAATTTTTTTGGGAATTTATTTTTGATTTTGAGAATTAATTTTTGGATAAAATGGCTGGGTTTACTGGGTTTTATAATTTTTTTAAATTCTTTTAAAAGAATTTTTGGGCCAATTTTGTCTTTTTTATGCTGTTAAATGAATAAAAAATTAAAAAAATAAATAAATAAATTTATTTTTTATTCTATTCAAAAAAATTTTTTCCTTTCTAGCAAATAGCTTCAACATCAAATTTTCACAAATATTCATTAAATACACCAATTTCTTTTAATTCTTCACCTCCATCAAATAATTTATTTATTTCACCCCCACAATGGCAAAGTGCAAGTCTTCGACGTAATTTACCTGCAAATCAAAGAAATAATTTTTTTAACTCCTTACAACGACAACAATCACATCCTGTTAACAATTCTTTTGTTAAACACAATTTAATCAAGTATTTATTAATTTTAATTATTTGAAAATTAAAATTTTGAAAAGAAAAATATTTTTAAGACTTAGGGGGTTAAAAAATTCTCTAAATAAGGAAATTAGAGTTTTATTATGAGGAAATTCAAAAATTAACAGAGTCGATTGAATAAAATATTTGAGCGTTATCTTACAATTAGATAATCTCTTTTAACAATTTTTTAGAGATCGGATCGATATGATTTTTTTTCGATATTTATCAAAAAATACCGATCGACCCCTTCGTCCGATCTCTATTTTTTTAAATGGCCTCAATTTTTTCCTTGAAGAAATTAGACCCTTAGCCGAAAAAATTTTTGTGGAAGCATAGCTACGTTTTTTTATATTTTATTTTTGGAACTAATAGGGTCTGTGTAATTTGCGTGGGATGACTAAACATTTAATTATTTTCTTATAAATTTATTTTTCTTAGTCCTCAACTTGACATTAGAGAGGAACAGACAATTGATAATGAAGTTGATGATAACCGTTCCCCTCCTCCATTGCCCCCACGTCAACATACATTAAAAGGAGATTTGTCAGAACAACAGTCAACTTCCGTTAATAATAATTCTCAACAAACGACATATAATCCCCCAATATTGCCAAGTTCACCAATTCCTTGTTCTCCACCAAAAACGCCAACGGTGAATTTTAATAGAATATAAAAGATTTTAATCATTATTAAGTGGGTATATAAATTAAAGTTTGGGAGGTGAAGATATGCTAAATAAGAAAAGAATTAGGCCATAAGTAAGATTATTTTCTATTAAATTTTTTTGAGATATTCTAACAGTTTATTTGGATTTTTATGATACAGATTTCTTTACATTTTCTATTTATATATTTTTCAGAACCTTGCTTCATCTTCTGAAGAAACAACCCCTTTTAATCGTTCACAATATTCTCAATTAAGTCCTACCCATCAATATCAACAATTGTCACGTTTATCGGGGTAATTAATTTAAAGAAAAATATTTTTAATTAAAAATATTTTTTGAAGAGATTTTGTAATTCAAAAAACAATTACAAATTCAACGTCTAAAAAACAACCAAATGGAGGTAATATTTACAATCAACGTTTATCCCATACTTCTTCCTCAACAATAACAACAACTTCAAATTCTGTTCGGAGCAGTATTGAAGAAGAAAATAATAATAAAAAATTGTTTTCTAAAAATATTCATCAATATGATGTTTTAGTTTCAAATAAAAGAAAGGAATTGTATCAAACAATTTCTTTTTCTGAAAATATTTTTCAACAAAATTTGACACAAACTAAACGTGTACATCTTTCTTTGGGTATTTTAGCTGATAATGTTATTTTTGTTGATTGGAAAGGAAAAGTTTTGTGAGTTTTTTTTTGAAAATTAATTTTTTGTTGGGGGAGGGGAGGTTTAATTTTGTTAATTTATTTGTTTTTTATGGTGCTATATTTTGGTGTTTCTTATTGGCCTATTCTGCATTTTTCTTTTGGTCTTATTTTAATTTTATATTTTTAGAGTTTTTACTTCGTTTAGAAGTTGAAACACTTTTATAAATATTCTTCCCTAACCTGGCCTCTATTTCGAAAAATTTTCTTGGTTGTGTGGCGTGGCGTAAACCGTAATTATTTCTTTTATAACACCCTCTTTAACTTGAGTTCTACTAACTATCTTCTACTACTAATATAATTTTTTTCTTTAATTTTCCTATTTATTTTAAAATTAAAATTTTTTTATTAGAATGGCTGGATGGAAACCTATAGCAGACAAATCTTTACAAAATATTTTACATTTTGGAGATGAATTATGCCAAGTTGCTGGTATTACAATTTATAGTGTTAAACAATTACCAGAAATATATACAAATTCTACACCTGGAATTCCTGTAAAATTATTTTTAAAAATTTATTTAAAATATTTCTTAAAGATTGAATTGGTTATTAAACCTAATTTTAATGCACAAATTTACACGTTAAAGAAGGAAAGTGAAAATGGGAAGGATTTGGGCATTGTATTACATAAAAAGAAAAATAAGGTAGTTTTAAATTTTTTTTATTATCGAAATTTTTTTGAAATCTTTTGAGATATCTACTTAGAGTTTGAAATTTAATTTTCGATCGGGTTATTAAATTTAATTTACCGTAATTTTCCAAATAAAGCCCCATTTTTAATTAGAGCCCCACTCCCTAATACAGCCCCAGTCTGGAGGATAGTTGAAAAATACAGCCCCATGGAGCTGTATTTGGAAAAATACGGTGATTTGCTTTGTGTCCAACAAAACTAAAACTTTGGGTATGAAAAAATTTGCTAGGGATTGAATTGGGAAGGCTTCTATTTCCTATTTGTTCGGGAGAGGATATTAACCTTTTATTTCTATAATTTATAAAATTATAAATTTTTTTAAAATTTATTTTTCAGATTTCTTCAATAATAAAAGGTTCACCAGCTTATTTAGCTTCTATACCAGATTCTCTCCCTTCTTATTTTTATATTCCCGAACCAACAAATAGTCAAAATACTAAACAAATTGAAGAAAGAACAGTCCCAGCAATAATTACTGAATTAAATGGAATTCCTTTAAGTTTATATTCTAAAAATGAACAATTTTTTAAAAGAATAGATTTATTACAAAAAGGAACGGAAATTAATTTAACTTTACTTCCAACTGATTTTTGTGATTTAATTTTAAGACAACTTAGAGCTCAATGTAAAGATTATCAGAAATTTATGCATGATTCTTAAATAGTTTTTTTACTTCAAAAAATTCTCGTCTTGGAAATTAGGGTTAAATTAAATAAATTAATGAAAGGAAATTAGGGGAGGAAACTTTTTTATTGAATTATCGAACCCTTCTCAAATATTACTTTAAGACGAACTTTTTTGGGACAAGAATTGTGACACTATATATGTGTCTATCTAGTTCCGGGGTGAATCTTTCTTGAAACACTCAATTAATTGAGATTGGGGTTTTAATATATTTGATTGGTGGACTACAAAAACAGAAACCTTTATTGACTTATCGAAGGGTTTAACCCTAATTTAAAATTTATTATGTGAAAATATTTTTTAATTTAGTTTTGTATATTTTTTGCCTCACAATTTTAAAGCATTTTTTTATTTTCATTATCTCATTAAATCCTATATTATGATTCTGTTGCCTATATTCGAACGAAAAAATTAAATTTATTTTTAAGTGCCTTATAGAAAATATTATTGTAATTACATATTTTAATTTTTTTTATTATTTTAAAGTAAAAATGAACGAATAAATGAGAAGATACTTGAATATTTTATTTTAATCTTATTTGAATAAATTAAAAATTAGAAAAATTATTATTGCAAGTAGGAGTATTTCGAAAATAAAACAAATAAAATGCAGTTGATTTAGGTTATGAAGAAGTATTTGAGATTTAAAAGGGTAAATAGCCAGCTGATCTTAAGTGCCTTATCCCTCCCTTCCTTTATTACTAGGCTTGAAGAACAAATTCTAATTATGAGGACTTTGAGTTCCTTAATTTCAAATTGAATAGTTGGTTGAACCTAAATCTGGCATTTTTTAATTTGGAATATTTCTGGCTATTTGCCCTTATATATTAACAAGAGTTAACTATGTCTTAAATAAATATGAGAAAATTTTAAAAAATACAAAAAACATTATCTCTTTAAAATCACCTAATTTTATTCTTTTTTATATATTGTCTACAACAAATTTCTTTACAATTCTTAAAAGTCTCAAATTTATTTAGAGTTCCACCACAGCCGCTATACCTATAACTAACACAAGTATCAGTCATTGGATTATAGCCATAACGGATTTGGTTTTCATTACAATGCCCTGGGTCTCTTGGTTGAAGACAAAAATAAGATGGGTCCTATAAATAATGTTTTAATATTTTTGTTTTAAATATATTTAAATATATTTTAAAATATGCTGTATTAATTACCCTGGGTAATTATTGTTTCGATCTCTCGCTGGAGGGGGTAATAAAAGCAGGTGGGGTAATTATTTGAGGGACTTTGATAATTGAACAATATGTTTTCTATTATCGTAATTGATCAGAATTATTTATGAAATTTTGAAAAACATTTCTTGTCTGGCTTAAAATTTGAATTAATCAAAATAAGTGGAGTAAATAGAAGTTTTTACTTAAAGGTTGAAATTAAAGTCGACCTAAACCCATCAAAATATTCTGATAAAAAAAGACATGGATTATTTTCCCCTTTCAAATAAATATTTAGTAATTTCCCCCCACAAATTACCTCACAACAAATCCCAATTTCCCCTTCAGTGTTTAAATGACACAAAAATCCCTCTCCACAGTCTGTATTAACAGAAGAATTTAATCCACACTGTTTATGTTCTAAAGTTCTTCCATTACTTTCTAATTTAGGTTCCCCATGTGGACAAAGCTTTTTATCTAAATAAATTAAATTTCTTTTAATTTAAATATTTTTTTTACTTTTTTTATTCTCAATACAAGATTTTTCGCATTGTTTTTTTGAAAGAAAATTATTTTCATTTCCTCTAATCCCGGCATAATCAAATACTTCACAATTACCAGTTGCAACATTAAAATGCCAACGAACTTGCCATTGTCCAGTATTTACTCCTCTATTTAATGGAAGAAGACAATGATCAATTCCTTAGAAGGAATTTGAGTAAAATGTTTTTACTAATTATAATTATGTTAAAGCTATTTAAATATTTTTGAAACTTTGAAATTTAGAACGGAATTATAGGGAAAAGGGGAAAGAAAAATCTAATAAAGAGGATTGGGCAGTAAGAGAGAGTTAAATAAGAATTATTAGAAAATGACAGATTTTTTTAAACAATTTTTGGTGCCTTATGGATAAGAGATGGGAATGAGACAAGAGATCTCATCCAAAAATCTACCTATATTATTGGGGATTTCTGAAATATCGATCTCGTAATCCCTCAGGTTTGGGTTCTATTGTGGATTGCTTTGTGGACAGTTTTTTCAATCATTTTAAAATTCAAATAAAGAATCACCAGATTTAAGACAACAACCACTCTCTTCAATAGAATTTCCAATATGGCAATAATGGGTATTAGGGCAATTATTATTATTCTCAATATCTTCTCCATCCTCTTTATCATTTTCCCCTTCTTTTTCTTCTCTTCCACATTTTATTAAATTTCCATCAAAAGAATTAATTAAAGGCTCTCCTCGCAAACAAAAATTTCTTTTTTTAGAAAATAAAATTTTTGGTAACCATTTTCCATTAATTTGCCCCTGTTGTTGTAAAATATCATCAGGTATTAAAATATTTGTATTATCTTCACATATTTGTTGACAATGTTCACGTGAAAGGAAATTATTTCTATTTCCTTTTAGACCTTTTTTTTAATTAAAAAAATTTATTTTTTGAAATATTTTTTTGTTTAACAGTCATGTGATATGTCCTTAAACTTTTGAGACGTAAAAATTTGTTGAGAAATTAGGGAAAAATGAGGAATTATTAGGGTGACCCAAAGTTAAGTTAAACAACAAATGTCTATTATAATGAAATTATTTTATATAGAGGGGTTTCTATAAAAATTAATCTTTCAAGTACCTGTATACCAAAACCGACGGCATTTTCGAACTGAAGAATCAAAATACCAACGGTCGAGTCTTTCCGTCCCATTACCCAATTCCAATTTTAAATCACAAACATTATTGTTACTGCCTTTAATTAATAGGATTAAATTAACTAATGAGAAATAATGGGGGAATTTAGAAAAATATTATTTACCAGACATAGTAGGTGTATGTGGACAACAATTTGTGGTGTCTGGAGAAGATCCAACATGACACCAATAACCACTAGGGCATCCAGAAGATATTAAAGAAGCATCGGATAAACTAAAATCAATCAATTCACTATTGCCACAAACTAAGGGTTGGTTGTTATTATATTCATCTATAGGTAGAGGATGGCCGTGAGAACAGGGATTTGGATGGATAAATGCTTTGAAAAGAAAAATAAAAATTTTTGGAAAATTTAAAGTTTTTTTTATTTTAAGTTTTTCATTACTAAGTATGTAGACCTACAACTAAAAGCCCTTAATTTAAGATGTTTTTTTAATTTTGTTAGCCACTTGGAGGGGGAGAGGGGGTTACCTAAACAATAACCCCAGTCTTAGATATACTTTCATGTAAGAGGCACAATTGTTTCCTCTCCAAGATTTGGACAACTAAAGTGTGAAAAAATCAAAAATAAGTATATTCTCTTTTTATTTTTTGACCAAAAAATGCCCTTAATTCCTTCCAAATTAATTTCAAATTTCCAAATAATTACCAGAACAAACATATTCACAATCATTTTCAAACAAAAAATTATTAGCATTTCCCAAAGCTCCACGATAAATAAATGGGCGACAACGACGTTTTATTGAATCAAAATAAAAACGTTCAAGTTTGGAATTTCCTTCACCTTCAGATAATGGTTGTATACACGGCTCTCCATCTTTTTTTAAATTAAAAATTTATTTAAAAAATAATATATAAAAAATATTAGAGGCCCCAAAAGAAGAAAAAAATTAAAAGAAAATTCTCATAGGATATTTTTTCGTAAAATATAATTTAGAGGAAATAATTTTTAGACAATTTTTGAAATAATTTGTTTATTTTTAAAAAGAAAAATAAAATTATTACAAAATAATAATTAAGAAATTTTGCACTTTAAAAGTTTATAAGAGTATTGGACATGTATATAAAAATAATTAAATAATTAAATATGAATTTATTTTTAATTTTAAAAAATGAATAATTATTTTATTTTAATATTTTTATTATTAATTTATTTAACTAAAGAGAATGAAATTGGTAATTAATTAATTAATTAATTTAAAAAAATATTAAATAAAGAGGTGTCTGGACATTGGAGTTACCCAAATGATTACCCCCCCCCCCCTCCCCCCTCATAGGGATATCACGGGATGAGAAAAAAGTTGGGTCGGGATCGGATATGCATCAGGGGTAAGCCTAGTCCCACAAAATACGAGACACGAGATTCCAGAAGATAAGAGACTAAACCTGCCCCTGGTATGCATCCCTACAACTTTTTCAAACCAAAAGGTATTCTAAAAATTTGATTAGACTATGGTTGTCGGTTCCTGGAAAATCTTTGGATATCCGAAACCGAACCGAAAAACCGAACCGAAAAATCCTCGGTTCTTCGGTTCGGTCCAGAACCAACAACCCTAGATTAGACTGTACATATAATTTTTTCAGAAGAAGAAGAAAATGAAATAATTATTAAAAATTTTAATCAAGGTTTTTTTAAATATTTTATTTAAAAAAGAGTAAATACTTTAAGTTCGAGAAACAAATAAAGATAATTTCGAACTTTTAAAAATATTCCATAAAAGATTTATTAAAAAATTAGTTAAATTTTGTGAACAATTTAAAACAGATAAAGAAGAAATTGAAGAAATAAAAAAAGAATTTTGTGAAAAAGTAAAAATGTTTAATAAAGCAAAAGAAAATGCTTTGAAAGGATTAAATGAAAATAATGGGGAATTTAAGTATTATTTTATTTATTTTGATGATTTTTGGAAAATTCCCCATAAAATAAAAAAGACATTTAATCAGGACCATCCAATTTGTAAAAAATTTATTTTTGAAGAAAAGCTGTCGGAAATTAAAAGTAAAATTGGGAAAATGACTTATGAAGGAAAAAATATGAAAAAGAATTTAATAGAAATGAATAAATTGTTGAAGGTAAAATAAATTATAAAATTGGTGAATATAAAGAAAAGTTATATGAGAGACACCTCTGAGAGATATTGGGGAGTGACTGGAAATAAATGGTATAGAGCTGGGGGTGTCTTAGCTCTTTTATTAACTTTTGCTTTTTGTCCTTCACTTTTTAAAATCACTTTCGGCACACTTCTAGTGTTGAGCTAGTAGATAAGGCAGGTCTGGTTGTGGAATAGTAAACTCAGAAAAATTCATGGAAGGAAACGCTTGATTAGAGTTTTGGAGAGGTAAACATATTCTTATCGGACATGAAATGAAAAATTTAGTAGAAGTTCCAAAAATTATTTTTTCTTTTATTTTTAGGAAAATGTTGATAAAATAACATTTTTATTTAAAAAATATAAACAGACAAAACAAATAACAAATAAATATTGTAATAATTATTTAAATGGAAATGTTGTGGAAATAATTAATGAAAAATGCAAAAAAGATTTATTAAAAATAATATTAGAATTAGCCTGTGAATGTTCAACTATAGCAACACAAATGTGTTATTTTGGGGCTCCAATTAATTGTTTATTTTTTAAAACATCTTTAACATTATTTTATATTGAATTACTAATTTATTCTACAAAAATTCCCCAACTTTCTTTAATTACTGAAAAATGGCCAATTTTGTTTTTTGATGAAAATAAATTGAAAGAAAATGATTTGTATAAATAAAAAGAGGGAATGAAGAAAATAAAGAGAAAAAATAAATTTTAATTATTTTTGAGAGTTTATTTTGTAATAATTAGTACCAAAAAATAAAATTATTTTAATAATTTAATTAATTTTATTTAATTAATTTGAGGCAACACTTTGGAGAAGGGTTGGCGGATCCTGAAAAATCCACGGAACCCGTATACAAAAATTTCCGGATATCCCAACTCTTTTAGGATCCGGATCCGCTAACTCTACTTTGGAGATGCTCTACAGACTTTGTTTTTCTTCATACACAAAAAATAATTTACTAAAACATTTTCCATAGAGCTTTGGAAAAATTTTTTTATTCCAAATTGAAAGATTCAAAAATTTAAATGGAGGGAATAATTATTTTTTGGTTGAAATACTTGAAGTACTAGTTATTTTTAAATAAATTATAATAAACATTTTTTTAATTTTTGAGATTATTTTTGACTTAAATGAAAGTTTCAAATTTTAAATTTTTGAAATTAAATATTTTTTTCTTGAAAGATGCTTATCAAAAATAACCCGAATTTAACCAAAAAAACTTACTTTTAGGGCAACATTTTTGTGATAAATATTTAATATCACTAATATGACAAAAATGAGTATCTGGGCATCTTTGCTCTGGCGAACATTCAAAAGGTAATAAATTATTTAGATTTAATAAAGGTTTATTTCCGTTACTACAAGGATTTTCTATTAAATTAATTTCTTTAATTATTAATTGTTGTTGTTTTGTTGGTGTTGAGGGTGTTGAAGGAGAGGGTGATGGTGGGGGAATTATTTTTATTTTTCTAATTCCTTTTGTTTTTAATGTTGTAGTAGTTATTGTTTTTGTTGTTGTTGTAAGCAATGGAGTTGTTGTTGTCGAAGTCTTTTCTTCTTCTTTAGAATTATCTGGACAAGCATTCATACAATCATCATAATCAACATAATTATTCTTTTAAACAAAAAAAATAATTTTTTCTTTCAAAAAATTCTCTTTTCTATTACCCGATTTCCCCCAATTCCTCGATAAATAAATTTTTGACAATTTCCATCTTTAAAATTATAATACCAACGAGAAAGAAGAGCGTTTCCAAACCCCTCAGCAAGTGATTGATTACAAGCTTTACCTACTAAAATTCGAAATAAATTTGTACTTTGAAATTTTTCTCTAATAGAGACTATGTTCTGGACCCAAATCTTGATGTTTTCTGGAACCAATCAGAATTTTAAAAAATTTATTGAGAAAAATTTACAAAATTTAATTTATTTTAGAACCAAAAAGAAAGGGGAAAAGGGTATTTACTCCTTAAAACGGGTATTTATTACGCCGAATTACCCTGGACTCCGGAACTCCGGAAAAATCCGGTCGGATCGGTCTAGTGCCTTGCTATTTGATTATTAAATGAAGAATAATCAGATAAATACCTCCACTACTACAACAAACAGTAGTTTCAACATTAGCCCCAACATGACACCAATAATTAGGCGGGCATTGCCCACTTTTTGTGGAATTACAACGTTGTGGTTTTCCTTCCTTATTTAATAATATTTGTCCATTTTCTGAACAAGGATTTAAAGAGATTGGACAATCTGATTTACAACGAGCTTCGCATTCTGTTTTTGTTAGAAAATTGTTTTGATTTCCTTTCATTCCTTTAAAGAAAAATAAAATTTATTGTTTAGAAGAAGTAAATAAAGGAAAATTTTTAAAAATTCTGTGTAAACCTTCTCACAAGGTTTACACAGAGATTCCCATCTTTCCTGGTTTCCCAGAGTCATTTAAGCACACCTCTGTATTGAAATGGACGACATTCACGCATACAAGGATCTTCTAAATTAACAGCATACCAACGAGTCAAGTTCTCTATTCCTTGTCCCAAATCTAAGGGAAGTTTGCAAATATCAACAACAGCTAGAATTTTTAATTTAAAAAATTATTTTTAAATTAAAAACCAGCAGGACAACAAGCAGTTGTTTCTATTTTAGACCCTATATGGCACCATTCTCCACGACCACAACTTTGTCCATCCGTCCCAGTACATTCCTTTCTTTCACCCAAATCGTAATGCATTGGACAGGGATTGGGTAATTCTTTAATTTTTAATTAAAAAATAAATTAAAAATTAATTTTCTAACTTTCACAAATAGCTTTACATTCATCAATAGTCAAAAAACTATTTTCATTTCCTTTAATTCCTTTATAAACAAATTCTGTGCATTTTCTTGTTAAAGTATTGAAATAAAAACGCTTAAGATTTGCAATCCCTTCACCAATACGTAAAGCCAAATTGCAACGATTTGAAGCTTGAAAATTAAAAGAAAAATATGTAAAATCGGGATGGGAAGAGGATTTTTGAACAAAAAGTTTCGGGATATACATCAGACGGAATCTTGATTTACTCCCCCAATAATAGACTTCCTAGTTAATACGTAATTTTTATTCGGTCCAGAGAGGGTGGCTGGCCCAATAGGGGACTAATCCGGAAAGAAGAATTAAAATAGAGCAAGAGTATCTTTAAGGATATATTTATTTTTGTCTTTAGTTACTAAAAAGCTCCAGATAAAATAAAGTTATCTCTCATTTTTCTTTTACCTGCAGTTGAAAGTTCACAACAAACATTTAAAGTAGCTAATTCCCCCAAATGACAAAAATATCCCGCAGGACAGCGAGAATCTGACGTTCCACAAAGAAATTGTTTTCCAGCTAAATCACGTGCTGGCCACCCATTTGAACAAGGATTTCTTGTTGCCGAAGCTAAATAATCATCTAAAATATACATATTTATCTTTAATTTTTAAATAAATTAAATTATTTTTAACTATTTTCACAAGTTTCGGAACAACTCATTGCTGTAACAAAATTATTGGCATTTCCGTGCATTCCTCGATATAAAAAACGTTTACATTTGTGTGCTCTAAAAGAAAATAATATTTTTTAGATCAGAATATGTACGTAGACAGTATTTATTCTCATTTAACCATTTCTAATCTAGCCAAATCCCTATAAATACACGGACAAAATTTTAATATTTCACACCGTACAGTTTAAATTTATCCTTTTTAAATGCCCGTCTAGTTCTAATAGAGGTAAGAACCAGAGGTGGGTCGGAACAGTGAGAGGTGTCGGAGGAAGAGCCGGAAATCGGAACAGGCTCAAAAGTTGGAACTCGGAAATCAAAATTTTTTTTTGGGAAATCGGAAGGAAACCGACTTCTTTCAAATAAAATTAATAAAAATTAAAATCACCCAGCATCGAAGTACCAACGAGGAATTAATTCATCCCCCGTTCCACCTGCACGGGGTAGTTGACAACGAGATTCTTAAATTAAAAATATTTAAATATTAAAATCAAATTATTATTTTCTTTTACTTGAATGATCATTATATGGACAGCAAGTTGTTGTCTCATAAGAGGCACCTTTAAATAAAATCTAGATAAATTTTTAAAGGAAAATTAGTACCTGTATGGCACCAATAATTATTTGGACAACCACCATTTGGTTTAACAACAAAATTACAGGTCATAGGGTTATGCAAACCATTAATTAATGGTTGTCCTTCAGGACAAGGATTTGGACGTTGAAAAGAGGATACAACATCTAAAAATTAAAAAAAAGTTTCTGGAGTTTTTAGAGGTTTTCAATTTACCTCCAGGAACGTTTTGTGTATAGGGAGGGGGTGTGGGTAATTCTGAAACAACAGAACTTGTAGTAATTGAATTTGTTGTTGTTTGTAATGTTGTTGAATGGAATATTAGACGAATTAGAGCACTTTGAATGTTTGCAGATTGTATTGGTTGGATTGTATTGTTAAGTTGAATGACAATAGGTGAAGGTTCTGGGGATATTGTTGTTGTTGGAGGTGGGGGAGATGAAGAGGAAGTATTTGGTTGTTGAGGGCGATTTGAAGAGACTTAAAAATAATTTTAGAATATCGTTCTAATATGTACTAGCTAGCTCTCCCTCTCCTCCTTACTCTTAAAAAACATTAAAAATTAAGGTCCCCTTTTAACATAAAATCCTCTTTAAAGGAACATTCAAAAATGCATTGATATTATTTGATGAAAGCCCCCTTCCATTCTACTCTAGTTCACTGAGAGAATACAGTAATAATTTGTACGAGGTCTTAAAATAAACTTTTACTTGCTCCATTCCATCTATAAGTTGTCCAACGATAAGGCTGGCATCTGCTTATACAAGGATAGGAATTAGATAGCCTTTGCTGATTGTTAGAAGTTTGTGGGTAAGGAAAAACTAGTGGATGATTACCAAATGTTAAATAAACTGTTGGCTGTTGTTGCTAAAAATATTTTCTCTTTCAAAAAACATTCCCCAAATATTCCCCCTTTACCGCATATAAAAATGGATTTGACAAATTATTTTGATAATTATTAAAATAATGTTGGTGACACAAACAAGTAGAAAATAAATTAATTAAAAATAATTCAAAAATAAATTTGTTAAAGTTGTAAAACATTTTTGAAAATAAAATAAAACTAAAATTGAATAATAACCAATATTTAGTATTGAGTTAAAAAATAAATGAAAAGCTTAAAAAATGAAGTTAAACAACGAGAAAAAAGTTAAGGAAGAATAAACATTTTTAAATCCGGTCATTGCGAATAATGACGAGAAAAGTGTTTGTAGCTTAAAAAGAAAGGTCACGACGTAAAGAACGGAGAGAAAATATCCTCTCCTTTACCCCAGAAAAGTTCTTTTGGCCACTCCTCGTAGTCAATATTTTTTCGGACATTGCCAATAAGAGATCAACTAACAAAAACGATTTTTGTTTATTTTTATTTTTCAAGTGTCCATCATCTGACTAATACAACAAAATCCGCTTATTTAGAATACCCCCCCCCCCCCCCACTTATTTTTTCTTTCCCTATTATAGTTCACAAATAGTATAATTCAATTTTACAAATAATTTAAATGTACTAGTATATTTCAAGTTTTTAAAAAGATGTCCTTATTCTTAATATTCTTTTACTTTTCTACAAAAAATGGTTGGGTGGTCCTCTTGAATTTTTAAAAGAGAATAATAAATTTAAATAATTTATTTTTTAAAACAATAAATGCAAATAATAAAAAGAAAATAAACATTAAATTAAACCACTTTTGGCACATCCCTACAGCTACCTATTATATTATCACAAAAACTTAGCTACAAAAACTTAGCTGGTCCTACATTTTTTCTCGGTACTTTACTTCATTTTTTCGCCTTTCATTTATTTTTTAACTCAATACCTAACTCATGACCTAAGTTATTAATGGAATGTTGGACCAGGTTTATCAAAGAAAGATTATTAAACAAATTTTAATCACATCCTTTAGTAGTTGCTGGCATGTTCTTTCTGTGCTCTCTACAGCTTTAACAATTATGTGCTTCATAAATGATTTGTGGGAATAATATCGCTAGCAGCCATTTGACTGGACGTAAATGTTGTTTTGACAAAGTCCAAATAAAAATTGTCAGTGCTGACAGGCCCAGGCTATAAATGAAAAGATTATAAATGGAAGGCAAAACCGTGCACGGGTTCAACTCCACACATTTCGAACGTGGAGGTGCGTACTTTAAATGCAAAACGCTACAAAATCAGGTTAATAATAAATTTTAAAAATATCCTAATTTTTTTACTGACAAATCCTAATTCCATAATTTCTTTAGAAAATACCAATCATGCTGATCCACTAGTTGTCGCCATCATGTTTTCTTCAGTGGACTCATTAGCACTTATTGTAATAATTCGAGAGAATTCGCCACGAACCCCACGCGGTATAACATCACTTGCTGCAGTTTGTGAAGCGCTCATAGCTGTATGAACAAACTCAATAATGGCTCTATTCGGCCAAATCTTCCGCTCCATAAAATAATGAAAAATGATCAAAAAATGTTATTAATACCGTCGCAGGACGCTAACTGTACTAGTTGTATTTTGGGTTTATTTGATTAAATACACTACAATTGGCGTCCTGCGACGGTATTAATAACATTTTTTGATCATTTTTCATTATTTTATGGAGCGGAAGATTTGGCCGAATAGAGCCATTATTGAGTTTGTTCATACAGCTATGAGCGCTTCACAAACTGCAGCAAGTGATGTTATACCGCGTGGGGTTCGTGGCGAATTCTCTCGAATTATTACAATAAGTGCTAATGAGTCCACTGAAGAAAACATGATGGCGACAACTAGTGGATCAGCATGATTGGTATTTTCTAAAGAAATTATGGAATTAGGATTTGTCAGTAAAAAAATTAGGATATTTTTAAAATTTATTATTAACCTGATTTTGTAGCGTTTTGCATTTAAAGTACGCACCTCCACGTTCGAAATGTGTGGAGTTGAACCCGTGCACGGTTTTGCCTTCCATTTATAATCTTTTCATTTATAGCCTGGGCCTGTCAGCACTGACAATTTTTATTTGGACTTTGTCAAAACAACATTTACGTCCAGTCAAATGGCTGCTAGCGATATTATTCCCACAAATCATTTATGAAGCACATAATTGTTAAAGCTGTAGAGAGCACAGAAGAGAACATGCCAGCAACTACTAAAGGATGTGATTAAAATTTGTTTAATAATCTTTCTTTGATAAACCTGGTCCAACATTCCATTAATAACTTAGGTCATGAATTAGGTATTGAATTAAAAAATAAATGAAAGGCGAAAAAATGAAGTAAAGTACCGAGAAAAAATGTAGGACCAACCGAATGACAAAATTAAAAGCTCGGAAATTAGCTGTTTTTGGGATTTGTGGGAGTGTGCCAAAGTTAAAAAAGCAAAGTAAATACAGAAAACTTAAAATATTTAAGGTCTAATCTTCTCAAACCGAAATTGTGATTTCTGATTTTTGTTAAAACTCAAAAATTGTTGCCAAACATACTCAAATTCCTTAACTGCAAAATCATAGAATTCCCTTTCCATTTTGTAAATTGAATTTTGTTTAAATTTATTTTCAACTTCTAGAGATGGCAAAATCTTTTTTGTAGTATGTCGAAGATGTTTCCTTTTTTCTATTTTAAATTTAAAAATATTTTTCTTTAAAATTAAATTTTACCATTAAGAGAATTAAAATGTTCACTAGCATTTCTAAAATATTCCGGGAGTAAAAACTCCAAAAGTTTGATCATTTGTTCCATTCTGTCAGTCGTTCCAACAAGAAGATAATTATTAAGAAGATTATATTTTGCTTTATTAAATGCTTGTTGATTTCCTGGGTCACTAAAAAAGAAAAATAAATTAAAAGAAAAAAGGGTGGATTTAAATCAGGGAATTGATCAAAATCATAAAATAATAATTCTATTAATAAAAAATAGAATAAGAATCATTAGGGAATTAATAAAATCTTACTTATAGTTAGCGAAGGAAAAAGAGCAAAGGAAATGGACATCGGCTGCTAATGAACAACAAGATTCGCACCAGTCGATAGGTGGATGGATGGCCGAAGGCCGCAGTTTGGTTAGAAGGGGCCCTGGATCGAAGGACAGCAGTCCAAACCAATTTTTAACAAAATCACACTATTTATTTGCTAAAAATATTTTTCTTACGTGCAAAAATGTGCTGTTCCACAGAAAAAAGGAATTTGTAACCAAACAGAAGATGGATCACATTCTTTATTTTTATTCAAAAAACACTCGTCAAAAGTCTAAAAATAAATATACAAAATTCTAATTTAAAATAAACTAACCTCGTTATTCCCAGCTTTACTTCTTTTTAGACCAACACGAAAATTATCACCATGACGAAGAAAATAAAAATAAGAAACTAGACGTTCAAAAGGTTCACGCAATAAATTAATCCAAATTGGTGGAGGGAAGCCAAGACTGAAAATTTTTTACAAATTATTGTAAAGGGAATCTTGGGGACAAAACTTGGGAAAGCTTAGGCTATAGCAATATGCAAGATCTAACAGTTAATTCTCATGAACTCTCATGAAATATTTTTCACCAATATTTTACAAAAATTAATTTTAAAACCTTTGAAAATCAACAAAAGAGAAATGTCCATGAAGAAATAATGGTTGAATATCCAACCATTCCGTTATATTTTTAGCCAACAAAAATTGATCCATTTTACTCATCTGCATTCGACTCTTGGTTAAATTAAGATGGGCAACGTGAAATCCATTTCTTTGACATAAATCATAAGCTATAGCATTTGTAAATGTTGTAGAGGCTGTTTTTGGAATCTTTTAAAAGAAATGGAATTCTTTCCAAAAAATTTTATTTTTTAAACACTTACTCGATTATAAATAACAATTTTTCTTCTTTGAGATTGTTGTTGTGGAGTAAATATTGTAGTACATATTTTTGAAAAATTTGAAGAATTATTCCAGTAAATAATGAAAACGATTAGTAAGACAAATATTGATAAAAGTGTAAAACATTGCTTCGTTTTTGATAGTTTCATTCATTTATTTAAAATTTTGATGGTTAATTTTTGAGCTAAATTTAATTTTTAAAAATAATATTTTGAGTCCTGAAAGTAAAAAATTCCTCAATAAAAAATAAATTGAAGTACTATCAAACTTCTACAATATAACAAAAATCCTTCCATTTCAAATTTTATCTTCTTTATTGCAAAATCTATAAACACAAAGTTAAAAATGGCAAAGACTTAAAGAACAGACACAAAAAGATGGAAATTTTTAAGTATTAAAAGGAGGTTAAAATTAAATAATACAACGGGGATTATGCCCAAAAAATCAAGCAAAATAATCAATATAGCTTAAAATAATTCATAAAGAAGGGCTACCCTGTAAAGAGAACTTTAATTAAAAGAATGCATTCTCATTAAAATTTTGAAATTTATTGTGAGGTTAATTTTTTTTTGTTCCGCACATTAAAAAAGAGATGAAAATCAAAGTTACAAGCCAAGAACAAGGTGGCAAGTTTTGAGAAAAATAATCAAAAAAAAAGAGAAAAAGGATTGCATTCGTTTTAAATAAAGTTCAACAAAAACATTAAAATTATTGAGCCTTATACTCTTTAAAATTTAAATACTAAGAATTCGTTTAAGTTTTTCATTAACTGCCTCAAGAAAATCCATTGTGTACAAATAAGTCCCTTCTTTCGCTCCTTTAAGCCCGTGAATGCAAATAGCCAAATCTTTTGTCATTTTTCCTTCTTCAATTGTAAGGACACAGGCCTGTTCCAATGAACGAGCAAAATTAACCAAAGCGTCATTTTTGTCAAGTTTTCCGCGATGTTCTAATCCACGAGTCCAAGCAAAAATAGAAGCAACGGGATTTGTTGAAGTTGGATTCCCCTTAAAATAAATTTATCATCGATATAAAAGGAGAAAAATAGAGTGATCGAAAAAATTGGCCACAACAACCCATTTAGAAAAATAATTTGTTTGATGGCAATGTTCTGAAACTTGGTCTCCAGGTCTTTTAAGAACATATTGTTAACAAGGTTAACACCAAAAATTTCACAAATAAAAATTATATCAACGTGTAGAGCATGGTCGAAAATCGATTAACTATTTTTTCTTTTTTGGCCCTGACCCCCATTTCGAACAGTTATAGAGTCCAAAGCAAGTTACCTCCAAATCACAATTAAATTAAAAATTACCTTTTGATGTTCTCTAAAATGACGAGTAACAGTTCCATGAGCTGCTTCCGCCTCAATTGTTTTTCCATCTGGACACATCAAAACAGATGTCATCAATCCAAGAGATCCATAACCTTGAGCAACAACATCACTTTGAACATCGCCGTCATAATTTTTGCAAGCCCAAACAAATCCTCCTTCACCTTTCAAAACTTGAGCAACCATATCATCAATTAAACGATGTTCATAATAAACACCCAAAGCGTCAAACTTTGCTTTATATTCTCTACAAAATTATTAAAAAATAATCTTTATAATAAAAAACTTAAAAACCTCTCAAAAATTTCTGCAAAAATATCCTTAAAACGCCCATCATAACGCTTAAGAATTGTATTCTTTGTGCTCAAAAATAGAGGAAATTTTTTGATCAGAGCATATTGGAAGCAAGAATGGGCAAAACCACGGATTGATTCGTCTGTATTATACCTAAATTTTAAATAAAAATTTAAACTAAAATTAAATTGATTATTTTTAGAGAATTTTCTCAAAAAATAAATGGAGACATAAAAACAATTTAAAAACCGGTTTAATCTTTGTTAGAAAACCCCGGTATAAAATAATTTTAACCAAACTTACATTCCAAGAACAACTCCACCCGAATCGGCAAAATCAAAAACTGGAACTTTTTCAACTTTTCCATCAGAATGTTGAATATTTATTTCAAATTTGGATCCCTTTGGAACAATAATATCTGTAGCTTTGTATTGATCTCCAAATGCATGTCTTCCAATAACAATTTCCTTACGCCAACCAGGGACAATACGAGGAACATTTTTGCAAAGAATTGGCTCACGGAATACTTAAAATTGTTTTGATATTTTCAAAGAATTTACTTTCCAAACCTGTTCCACCCAAAATATTTCTAATCGTTCCATTAGGGCTAGGCCACATCTTTTTAAGATTAAATTCCTTTACTCTTCAAAATTATATTTTAATTAAATTTAGAAAAACACTGAGAAACCTGGCTTCATCAGCCGTAATTGTTGCGCATTTAATTCCAACACTAAACTTCTTAATTGCCTCTGCAGCATCAAAAGTGACTTGATCATTCGTTGCATCTCTATTTTCAATGCTCAAATCATAATATTTGATATCGAGATCCAAATAAGGAAGTATTAACTAAAATAAAAAAAATTGAAAATGGGAGAGTTTGTCGGTACTCCTGCAGTTTAAGAGGGCCGCATTTCTTGACTATAATCTTGGCAAAAAATTTCAATTTACCCGAACTATATTCGTGAGAAATGTTAGTTAAGGAAGATAGATTTTGATCGATAAAAAAGAGAATATAATACACTGGTCTCATAATGGTCAGAAAACTGCGGCTCCCTTAAACGGCAGGAGTACCCAAAAATCTGTTTAGATCAACAAAATTTAAAAACACAAAAAATAAATATACTTTGTCCTTTATTCCAGCCCAAATAATTCTTGTCATTTCATCTCCATCCAGATCCACAACTGGATTTTCAACTTTAATTTTTTGCATAGCAGCAACTGATAAAGAAAATGAACGTTTAAATATTTTAGGTGTTGTCTGAAATAATTGACGATTTAATGGTTTTGTTGTTGAATGAAAGAATGAATCAAATATAAGCAATGCTGGTGTAAGTTTATTGGCGGCGCGAAAATGGGAAGAGACGAGAGTAATAACCATTGTATACACAAAGAGAAGAGAAAATTATTTTATATTTTTAGACGAGATTTTATCAGTTTTAAAAGTTTTAAATGCAAAATTGTACAGAATATTTCCTTTTTCAATGACAAATTTTAAATGTCACAAGTAGAGATTGTTGGGCAGTTAAAGGAAAAAATGAAAAAAAGAATGAGAACTTGTAATCTATAAATTAAAAAGAAATTTTTAAGATTAATTAATCGTTTGAAAAATCTCATGGAATTGTAATCAAAGAAAACATTGACATTGATTTTATCAGACTTGAAAAAACCTAGAAAAAAATTAGGCCAAAAGGAATTTTTAAAAGATAAGCTAAAAAAATTTTCCGAATAAAAAAAGACATTTTGCCAACAAAACCAAACTTCTACATAATGCCAATAAATGCAAAAACTAAAAATTTAAAAGGAAAGGCAAGGGGAAATCTATTAAGATTACAAGGAAGATGTGAGGATGAAGAGGATAAGAGTAGATCGAAGAAGTAAATCAATAGAAAAATTTTCAGATTTTCACTTAAAGGCTAAATGTCCATATTTAAATAATTTATTAATTCTCTGCTACAAAACCTTTAAAATTAAAAATTTCGTTTAATTTTAAAAGTAAATAAGAAAAATAAATGAACATAAATTTAGACTAAAAAACTTAAAAAAATATTTAAACTTATAAAGACTAAAAACTAAACCATCACAAATTAATTGGAATTCGTCTGGGAAAATTAGTGGAAAACAAAAAAATAAGGAGGGCAAGTAACAAATGACATTTGTTGATTGAAAAATGTGAGAAGAAGGATATTTGAGAAGGTAATTTGAAATGACTAGTTGATTAGACTAATAAACATCAATTTGAAAAAAGTTCAAGAGCTCATGAATTTATTTTAAAAAATAAGGGGGACAAATGTTTTTTAAAAATATTAAGGTAAAGAATGATTACTAAGTAGTTAATTATTTAATCATTAATAAGATAATTTTTGATTTAACATAAAATTAGAGAAAATATTATAATTACCTACATAATTCACAATCTTTAAAAATAATAATCTAAATATTTATTAAAATTCGAAGTTTATAAATAATTAATTTATCAGTAATTTTGTATCGAATGATTACAAGTTTTTCAAGAAAAAATTATAATAGACAACATTAATAAAATTGAAACTATTTTTACCAAATTAGACAATCTTTAATAAATGAAAAATAATTTTTAATAACTTTTTTTGAACACAAAGTATTATAACAAAGATTAAACATGAACAATTACCAAAAAGATAAGGAAAGACAGTAAATATGATTGTCATATTTTAATTTATTTTTTGCCAAAAACTCAAATAGTATATAAAATAAATTTTCTTTAATTTTTAATAAACTTAATGGGGAATGTAAAAATAAATTAGTTAAAATGTATTATAGTAATTTTTGATTTTTTAAATACCTTCAACTTTTTTGCAGAAGTTATTCAGGGACATTTAATATCAATACAGTTAGACAAGAGATTTCAGAAAGGCTCCTAATTCAAAAGGCTTTTTCGGGAAATAAAAAAGGCTTTTTCAGAAGGCCAGACATTTAGAGGAATATCTCAAATTTGTGGATTTTAATATCAGAGACTAATAATGAACATAATCAGATATTATATTACAAAAATTAATTTTATACAATTTATTAAAAAAAATTTTTCAATAAATGAAATAGGAAAATAAAATTAATTTCTACACTATAATTCAATCACATAATTATCAAAATTTAGAGCAATAATAACCCCCTTCCTGGCATATCCCCCGGTCGGAAAAGAATTGTAAGACGAATTTGCTCAGCACCTCTAACTGGCAATTCAACACGACGATAGGCCTTCAACATTTCAACAACTGAATTAAAACGAGGTCCTTCTCCAAGTACCCAACGGTCGCAGCGATATTCTAATTTGATGTGCAATACACCTTTAAAATTAGTATAGTGCTTTTAATTAAAAATTAAAGGGATAATCGCGCCCAAATCCGATCGGGATTCCGATACCGGTCAACATTAATCAGTAGTCAAAAAATATTTAAAATTTATTTAATTTACCTTCATTTGCTTTAAGTGATAATGCTAAACTTCTGTCCGGTCTTCTTCTAAGTAAATGAGAACCTAAAGGCATGGCACCAAGTAATAATTCAGCCTCTGCCCTTTCCATATTTTCGTGTATTAAATTGTTGTTTAACTTTTCTTTTTCACCAAATGAATTTTCTTGACAAAATGTGAGGACCTTTTGAAATAAATTATTTTAATACTTCAAAGTTAGAATCTTAAATTTTGATTTTACTAAATGAAAGTGGAAGAATAAAAAGATAACTAAAAAATCGAAGCATTAATTTCTAGTAAAACCTGACCGAGAAGAGATTTCCAACGAAAGTCTAGGTAATCAAGATAGGTATTTTTCGAGATATCTCAGTCCGGGATCTCGCAAAAAATTCCTGTCCGGTTTCTAATATTTAATGATACCCTAATAAATTTCTAATGGAATTCAATTAAGCAAATACTGAATAAGTATTAAATTAAAACCAAAATAAAGCGCAGTAAAAACTTAGAAAGAGTTTACCTCATTTTTATTTTTTGTAGTTAAATTTACGAGAGGATATTTACGTGAAGGAGCGGATCTTTGTTTTATATTTGGTGATAATTGCTTTTGATTTTTAATAATAATAATATTATTTTTATTTTCTTCTTTTGTTTCTTTTTGTAAATTAGAACTAAAAAAATTTAAGAAAGTATAAAAGTATTTGTTATTTTTTAAAAATAAAATTTAGGTAATTTAATTTACAAAAAATATTTTCTTCTACCAAACAAATTAGAATAATAAATAATTATTTATTTTAAAAAATACCAACTTTAAACTTTTAATTCTTTCGTTTATTAGTTTTTGTTGTTGTTTATCTCCAATTTTTATCAAATTTTGATTATTTAAATTATTTGGTGAATGAAGAAAAAAGTTTGATTTTAAAGGGGATAATGGTGGTTTTGAAGGAGATTTAGAAGGTAAGTTAATATTGTTATTGTTTTGTAGTTGTTTTAAATTATTTTTGTGAGCAGGTAAAGGTGGAGGGGAAGGAGATTCTTTGTTGTTTTTAATTTTTAATTCCAGATTTTTATTTGGTTGAAGATTGGAATTTAATTGCTGTTAAATGATAAAAATGTTTTAGAATATTTACATATCTTTCATAAGCCCCACTCCAATAATTCCAAATTCGGATAGAAGTTTGTTCGTTAAATAAATACCACTCTCTAACAGGGTGGCCGTTTCCAAATCACCAAAATAGGGAACATTCCCTCAAAAATAAGGAAAATCCTCTATAAATATGGTAAAACGGTCGCCACCCTTAGAAAGCCTACCTATGCCGAACAAAAACACTTTTATTTAAAAAACTTTGTTAAAAATTCAAAAAGGATATATTTTTAGATCACATTATTTTGTTTCTTTATCTTGAAAAAATTTATTTAAATCTTTACCCCGTCATTTTTCATTTTTCCCTTTCTTGTTTTAATATTATCCTCTAAAATTAGTTGTTGTTGAATTGGTTGGTTGGAGAAATTTTTCGTTTTTAATTCTTCCATTTTGGAGAAATTAGCTGGAAAACTCAAACGGTTTCCATGTTCTACTGTTGCTTCACCCTCAGATCTTTCATTTCCATTATTTAAAATTCTTTGATTGTTGTTGTTGGAATTTGGAATATTTACTTTAAAAAATAAAATTAATAATAAATATTCCGTTAAAGAGAAAAATATTTTTAGAAATTAATTTAAGGACAAATAATTAAAAATTCATCGAAAAAATTTGTAAAATTAAGTAAAGGAGGTTAAATCCATCCGTGAATAAAAGATTAAAAATGGATTCATATCAGAAGATACCCAGGTTATTGTTCCCTTAACTACCCCAACATCGATAAGTGATTTTTTTATTTTTTACTTTATTAGACCGGTCTCAATATGAGACAATTGTGGTATTTTATTTAATGATAGGAGGACCTGATCTTCCCATTATAAATAAAACAATTAGAAAATCTTGATTCCAAGAATATAAAATATTCTAATCTTCAGAATCTTGTTTGGGGTGTATTTTTGATAGTGGCAAGACTAAAAATGGAATATCTTGATGGATATAGATGCAATCGAATGCCATTCGCAATCGAATGCCTTTATGCCATTCTAAAGATCATTCAAAAATTTCAATTTGTTCATAAACAGGTACTAGTAAAATTTTTTTTGATACCTATTAATTTCCCCACTGAATTTAACAAATAAAAATATTTTTCTCTTTAAAAACTTAATTTTCTTTTATTTTTTATCATTACCTTCATTATTTTTTGGATTTTTAATTTGTATTTGTTTTTCTAAATGTTTTAATTGTTGTTGTTGTTCCTGTCGTTGATTTTCTAAAATTGCTGCTAATGTCCGATTTTTAAATTCCCAAGGAGTATCGTAATGATCAGAATTGGGGGAATTACTTCGATTATTTATTTGTTCTAATTGTTGTTTATTTGAAGGGGAAAAATGAGAGGAGGAGGAAGAAGAAGAGGAAGGGGATGAAGAAGAGGAAGATGTTGAAGAAAAATATGGAGTAGCTGGAGTGGAGGCATCAAAAAGTGCCGCCATATTATTCTAAAAAATTTTTGACAATTTTAACAATTTTTATTCTAAATTTTGACAATTTTTATTCTAAAAAATTTTTGAATGAAAAAAAGTTTTTGTTAGCAGCATTTTTTAATTAACAAATTAGCCTAAGTCTCAGGTAATAATAGAATTTACTATTTTTAGCTGGATATTTGTAGAATTATTATGAAGAAAATATTGAATTTACAGTCAACTTATAATTATGTTTCAAAAGAATTTTTTAAGTTTTTAAAAGATTTAAAAGCATCCTTAAATAGTTACTCATTAAATTTGGAAATTTCTATATTATCTTTTACTTAAAAATTTTTTTCTTCAAAAAATTTCAAATGCAAAAAACCCCCAATTTTTAATTAAAAACAGAAGCATTATTAATATTAAAAAATGGACGGCAAAGTAGGGAGGAAATAAGCAGCCACTTTTATTTTTTATCCAAATGATTTTCTAGTAAAATTTATTTTTTATTTTTCGTTGCTTGGCACGCTTAATATTTTATTTTATTTTTTATTATTCAAAATATGTACAGATGTGAGGGAGGATTGAATAGACAAGAAAAGAAATTATTTATTCATAAATGTTTAAAATAAATATTGAATTGACTATAAAGTTAATATTAAATTGTTTTTAATAGATAATAATAATTATTAAGGGGACAGGAAAGGAGGAAGTGCTACAAATTTAATTTCCAAAAATTAAAAAAATTTTCGGACAGATTAAAAGATTTATTTCTAATTTTTTGTACAAAAATATTCTTAGACAACATAATATGTATCAACTAAAAAATGCATGTAACCAGAAAAAAATCTACTAGAATAGTAAAATGGATGTAAAAAGAACAAAGAGGTTTTGAGTAAATGAGGGGTAAAAAATGGAAGAAGAAAAAAAAAGAAGATTAGCTTTGTCCCCAAAAAATCCTTTTTTTACTTGTCCTCTAAATTCTTTTTTTTTCTTTTAATAACCACAAAGGATGGAAAGGAAATTACAAATTTTGTAAAATAACGGTTGTCTTTTTTGTGGAAAATTAAATTAAAAAATGTTTTTAAAAATAATTTGGAAAATTTTTTAGCGTTAATAAAAAATACTAAAATTTGGGAATTGTTGCGAAAATTTGTATTGGAGTATTAGCTAATTTTCACAGATTTTTTTTTAATTTAAAAAAAATTAAGTAAAATATAACGAAAATGCTTTAATATAAGCGGTAGGCTTATGTTTTCCAATGGGTCATTTTAGCGGGCCTATATTGGAGACTGGGCTTTTATTAGAGACTGGGCTTCTATTTTTCGATAGGTCTCCTTCTGTGGGCATATATTAGAGCATTTACGGTATTTGTTTTAAATAAATAAAAATAAAAAAACAATATTAAAAATTAAATAATCATTTATTGGATAACTTTAGATGAACTTTTCAAGATCTTTAATTTTTTGAGAATCAAGGGATATCTAAAATAGAGCTCCAATTCTATAAAAATTTTTAATCTTTTTTAATAAAAAAATTTTTTTCGATTCTTTCTTCAATTTAAATATACAAACAAGTGAATTTTTGGTAAATTGGAGCAGATGTTCGGACATTTCCTCTTTTACTTAAACTAACAATTTTGGTTTATGAAGAAAATTTGGTATTAAAAGCCATGAAAATATGCAAAATATTAAAGGGGGGAAACGGAAATATAAAAAATAAATTTAAAATTTAAAAATAAAGCGATAAAATATATAAAAATATATACAAAAATACATATTTCGAATATATTTGGAATTTAAATTTTCATAAAATTGAAGAGAAAAATTATTAATTTAATAATAACATTTAATAATAAAAAAAATTTTTTCTAAATTTATAATGACAAAAATAATTAAATTCAACAAAAATATACTCTATCAATTAAAGTTTATTTAAAATTTTATTGTTAAAAATGGATCTGTCTTTTTATCCTAATTAATTTAAAATATAAATTTAAAAATAAAAATCAATTTAAATAAATTTTGTTAAACATTTAGGGAGCAATTTTGCTTTTCTTTCTTTTTTTTCTCGTTAGTCACCCCGCTTTTATTCAACTTTTAGTTTATTTTGAGGGAAGCATTAAAGTAGTAGACAATGTATTTCTAATGTTTCGCCCTCTTTTTTTCTGGCCAAAAATTATTTTTGGATGGATGGACTATTGATGAATACTTGCTCTTTAAATATTTTATATTGAAGAAGAGAATATTTGGACTAAAAAATAAAAATTTTTTTCTAAAATTTCCTAGGCATTTCTCGACAAATCAAAAGTCTTTTCCTTTTTTGGAGTGAATAAAAAGGCGTTATTTTTGCAAAATTAAGAGAGAAAATAAAGCTTCAATTTCAATCCAATTTTATTTTTTTCCTTTTCAATTTTCTCTAGGGAATTTTTTAAAATTTTTTTGATTTAATTTTTAAATTTTAACAAAATTTATTAAAAAATAATTTTAAATTCCTTTAAATGGTGGTAGATCACTGCGTAATTTAAAAATCATTTAATGATTTTACTTTTAAATAGTAATTTTATTTTTGCATTAAATGTGCTTTTGGGCTGCGCAATTTAAAAATTTATAAAATATTTAGATAATAATATTTTTCTCTCTCTAATAAATATTTTGGAGAAATTAACGATGCAAGTACTAAAAATGAATGAAATAAATGACCAATTGTTGAGTTTCGCTGACACCGTTAAAATATTTTAAATAAAAGAATTGACAACAATAAAGGGGATATTAAATGGGTATTTAAATAAATTAAAATAATAAAATAAAATATTAAAATAATTCTTAAAAAATAATACAAAAATATTAAAGAAATTTCAAAAAATAAACTAAAAAATGGAGATGGTAAGAAAAAATTGGAGAAAGTTTCTTTTCTCTCTTTTTTTTGTTTTCGGATAATATAATTTAGAAAAATAATTTTTATTTTTTTTATTTAGATTTTCTTTCATAGATAAAAAATCCAAAATAACCTCTAAAAAAGATATCAACTTTTCATATCGCCGCATTCCTTTGTCCGTTGTACTCCAAGAATTTATTTTCTTTTAACACCCAAAAAGTTGGTTAGTTTCTCTTTACCTCCCCCACCACCCTCCCCTCCGTTCACAACTAAATTTTTATTTTCTTTTTTATTCTGTTCATTTTCTTTTGGTTAAACAAAATATTCTTTAAGTAGATAAAATAAATGACCGGTCATTAATTTTAAGAGATACAATGACAAAAAAGTAAAATAATAAATATTTTTTGTTAAAATTTTTTGGGCAAATTGAGGAAAATTTTATAAATAAAATTGAATTTTTAATATCTTTTGAAAAAATTAATTAAGACTAAATATTTGCGATAATTGATTAATGGAAATTTAATTTAATAATGGAATTAAATGAAATATTGAAAGATAACATAAGAAAATCAGAAAAAATTACAGTTAAGTTAGTTAACCCGACTCGAGAAAAAAAATCTGCCAGAAACCCCCGAAAACAACCTCTCAAAGAATGAAAACTCGATAAACCTGAAAAAATCTACTCGATAGACTGCGCTCAAAAAATTCATTACAATTGACTCGACCCGACAATGGATACACAATTAAAAATTTGGAGTAGCCATTTGTAATTGACTACACAATTAGAAAAAATACCCAGAGCAAAAAAATACTTACTAAGTTTTATGGTTTTTGACTTTTGCCTCACATATGGTAAATTTTCTAAAAATAATAAAAATTAAGGAGACCAAATTAAACATTTAGAGAATTATTATCCATATATGTATGTTTGGAGAATAAAACCAATTTTTGGTAATCACGCCAATTTTTGGCCAACCCAAGCTTGAAAAGAATACTCAAATTTTGCCAATATTCTTCATACTAAATTACTATATTTAGATTAAAATTTAAAAATTATTCACGTGTTTATAGCAATTTTTGTTTATTTAACTGAATATTTATTTAAATTTAGTAAAATAAAAATTAATTTTTTTTAAAATTTTTAAAATAATTTTTAGTACGCAATTTTTAATAAATTTTTATTAAAATTTAAATAAAATAAAATTAATTTGTATATTCAGGCAATTTATTTAAAGTTTTATTGGACATATTAAAGGTAGGGGATTCTAACAAAATTACCAAACACAAAAAATAATAATTTTAATCCTAATTATGTTTAAAATTTGGATATTTAATTTTTATTTTCTTTTTACTTTTTTTGATTTAACTAAATCCTTCTTGTGTCCCCAATTAAATTCTACCCAAACCCCTAAAAGTAATTTGGATGAAATAACCGATAAATTGCCTGGACTTAATTTTAAATTAAATTTTAAGCATTATTCAGGTTTTTTAAAATTAAATATTTAAATAAGAATAAACACTCCTCAATTTTCAAAATAACTTTATAGACTCCCTAAAATCAAAATCTTGCGGATAGAAATTTTTATTGACGATTTTCAGTTCGGTCGGCAGGATTTCTTAAATAAACCCTCAAAATAAATAAAAATAAAAAATAATTTCTACTAAAAAAAATTATTAAGGATATCTACAAGTTTCTGATACCAGATTCTTACACTATGTTCTAGTAACTTCAAAAAGCAACCCAGATAAAGCCCCAGTGGTAATTATTTCTGAAATTATTTTTATTAAAATAAATTTAAAAAAGGTTTTCTGGTTCAATGGCGGCCCTGGGGCCTCCTCTCTTTTGGGATTATTTTTTGAATCGGGCCCTTATTTGGTAAGCAATGATGGCACTAGATTAGTTGAAAATGTCCATTCATGGAATAAATATGCCCATAAAGTTTTTCTCGAAACTCCTGCTGGTACTGGCTTTTCCTATGTAACAGACGGAAATTATACAAACGATGATGATCAGGTAATGAGGATCAGATTAAATGAGGATCAGATCTTTAGTTATAACATATTTTTCTAAAATAGTTTTTAGGTTGTGAGAAGCTCATATACGATTTTATTTTTTAAAATCTTATGTTTACGGTTACTGTTTAAGGGGAGCTAAATATCCAACCTCTGATAATAACCAATAATTACTCATCTAAAATTAACCCCTTATAAAATTCACAGAAAATAGGTACATTAATTTTTTGTAGTGTATCATACAAAAGACAATCTAAGGGAAATAAATCCAATATTTAAAAAAAATTAAAAATAGAAAACTCCTTTAAATAATTTTTATTCCTCAAATTTTTCTCTGAAATAAACTTCGTTTAGAGGTTAATAAAACAATTTTCATATTTCAATAAATTAAAAGATAACAAAAGAGAATTATAAAGCAATTCAAGTATTTTATGAAAAATTTCCAAATTTACGTTGTAATAGACTTTATATTGCTGGCTCATCATTTGCTGGGCATTATACTTCAATGCTTGCATCAACAATTGTCGATAACCAAAAAAATTATCAAATTAATTTAAAAGTAAAATACTTTCTTAAATTAATTTTTAATTTTCTAAAAGGGTTTGTTAATCGGCAATGGATTAGTTAACGCAGAGACGTCTAGTGAATCAGCTATATTATATCCGTATTTTCATGGATTTGTGGAAGAAAGGGAAATGAAAAATTTTATTAATAAATGTTGCAATGGCAATCTCGGTAATAGATTGAAATAAATTTAGAAAATAACTAAATAAAATAAGCCAATAAATAAAAAATACTTTAAATAATCACAATTATTAAAGAAATTATACTTTGTAAGCGATCTTTTTGGTTAAATTATAAAAAATATGGGGTGGCCCGGAAATCTTACTGAACTATAATAATGACATACGTGTCTAGTTCGGTGTCAATTTACCCTCTACAATGCAGAAGGTGAATCCACAATTATAATAAAAATCCCCAAAAATTAACACTCAACATTCGACACTATTGAGGAATTAGTTAATTACTCAATTAATCTATTGAGGAATTAGCAATAATGATAATATACTGCTTAAAAAATAATTTATTCTGTTGTTTAGAAACTTGCAATATAATGGATGTGTACAATGATGATAACAAAACTGATTGTCAAAATAAAGTAAATTTTAAGAATTTTATTAAAAAATATTTTTCTTTAATTTTCAGATAGATAATTTTGCCAATTCAATTTCTAATGCAAATGTTAATATTTATAATATATACAGTGTTCTTCAACGTTGTGGTATTTAATAAATAAATAAATTTATTTATCTATTACATATTTACATAGATAATAAATTAACAAAGGTTGGCAAAGATTTTGATCCTTCCCCAACTGCTTGCATTACCGGTATGTTGTAGAAAATAATTTTTTAAATATTTAAATTTTAATTTTTAGAGGATGCCAGAAATAATTATATGAACAACCCGAAACGTAATTTTGTTTTTGATTTATAGTTTATTAATTACTAAATATCTCTCCTCCATCTCTCTGTTAATTTCCTTAATTTTTCCACTCCTAAAAAAGAAAAAAAGATGTTTTGTCTGCAAAATACTTGTCCAATTCCATATCAAATTTAAATTATTTTTGGTAGAAATTTATTTTTCAAGTTAAAGTATTTTACAGTTCAAGTACCCGTTTTCAAATTCTAATCGGTGAGACATAGGCCTTAAGGGATAAGATATAAATGTGTAAATTCATAATTATTTTTTTAAGTCTTAAAAGCTTTACACATTCCAATTGAACGAAATTTTACATGGAGAATTGGTAGTGATAAAGTTAGTCAAAATTATGAAACAACTCAAGGTTAATTCACTTAAAACAAAAATAAATATTAATTAAATTTTAGATGATATGTCCCCTTTTATTACAAATGTTTTAAATGCAAAAGTACCAGTTTTGCTTTATTTTGGAGAAGCAGACTCGGTTTTAAGTTATATAAGTGGGCAAAGATTTTGTGAAAGACTTGGACGAAGGGTGGGAAATATTAAATTTATTTGATAAACTTTGTCCTAACTGTGATAGGGATATTATAAATAGGAAGATGTAACACTTAGTTCCTAGCAAATAAAGGAAAAATGGAAAGATCAGCCGGTTGTGGGATGTTTGAGTGATTAACAATCTTGCATCCGAGAGCTCCCAAAAGTTTTCTGTGATAGGTTTAGCCGTTTTAATTTAATAACCAAAGTATTCCGTCACTTAAATTAGAGAGAATATTTTAAAATAATTTTTGTTAATTAAAAACTCCATATTAAGATTAAAACTCCAAAAACTCCTTGGGTTTTTGACAAACAAACTGCAGGAATGAAAACTGAATATGAAGGCGGATTGACATTTATAACGGGTATTTTATAAAAATTATAGCCTAAAAATTGTTGTAATTTTTTAATTTAAAGTTTTTGGTGCTGGACATGCGGTTTTATTTATTTTTAATTTAAAAAATAAATAAATTTTAATATTTAATTTTAAGGTAAATGGTGGAGTACCTGAACGTTCCTTATATTTTTTCAAACAAATGTTGGACAATAAACCAATATAAATAAAAAAATTTTTGGGGGAGATATTCTTTTAAATTCTATCTAGAATTAATAAGAAAAAAATTTTTTGGGGAAAATATTCATTCTAAATTTTAAAATTAAAAAGAACTGGGAGCATTTAATCAAATTTTATAACAATTCTTTATTGATAATTTGGTAATACTATGAACTTGAATAAAATTTTTCTTTAGATTTTTTTGTTTAAAAAACTCTAAAAAATTTTTTTGGGAGAAATATTCTTTTAAATATGTGAATTCTCTCCAAAATTACTAAATCTATTGTAAATACACTCTTAGCGTTTAAACAATTGTGTTTTATGTAGAAGGCTATCGGTTGATTTTAACCGGCGGTCATGGTCATTTAATCAGCAACCATGTTCTTATCTATCTACTGGGATGGCCGAAATTTAAAAAATTGTATTAACTTAATAATAATTAATAAACTAAAATTTATTTTATTTAGAAAATACAATTTAAAAATTAAATTTTAAAATTATTTAAATATTTTAATTTTAAAGTAAATTTCTTTTCGTGCCCCCTCGAGAATCACTACCACCAATTCTTAAAGTATTTCTACATGCTGCTGTAGCCATAGGCCCAATCCCTATTCTAGTCTTTTGTTGTTTCCTTTCATTACTATTTGGAGAATGGGGTGAATGTCTACCAATTCCACTAATGCCTCTTGGGGAGGTTGAAGAATTACCTCGATGATTTCCAGATAAAAAAGCTGTTGTTGTAGGTATTGGGTGGGGAGAGACTGAACTGCTACTTGTTGAACGACGATTGCCAAGAAATTGGATACTTCTATAAAAGAATTTTTTTGGAATTAATTTATTTATTTTATTTTCTCAAAAAATAAAAATTTAAGTTGAAAATCCTTCTATAGTTTGTGTAAATAATTAAATAAAAATAGGTGCAGGCATACTAAATTGAATTTTATATCCGGTGGAGGAAATGCCTATCATTACAACTAGAGCGGTTATAGAGATCAAGTATTTTTCGAGATCCGAATTCTCGTAGACCCTTCCAGTCTGATCTCTAATTATAACCAATATGGAATGAAATGTATCTGATCATAAAAGTTGCTATATATCAACATTAAGTTTTCACGTTCAAACTAGGGACAATTTAATGATTAAAGGGACAAATGAGAGGCTTCATAAAGATAGCTAAGTAACAACATATCAGAATAGCCCAAAGTCAGTAAATAATTAATTGGGCTTTAATTATAATTAATTTAAACACACCTAAATTTTCTAGTTTTATTCATTAATGGAAATCTAGGTGGCCAAGTAGCTCTACTATTTGGAGGTTTTTCACAATTATCTTCATTTTGTTGTTCACTTGTAGAAGGAACAGTTTCAGAACGGGCACTTCTCCAGCCATCAGAACTAGCTGTAGTTAATGTATTTATTGAATATTTTCTTTTATCTTCATTAATAATAAGGGGTTGTTGAACCTTTTTAAGAAAAAATTTTTTCAATTAAAAATTTTTTCTAAATAATTCTTTACTTGTGCCTGAACTTGTTGTGCTCTAAGATATTCTAAAAGACGTTGTTTTTCTTCTTCATCTTTATTTTCTCCATTTTCTTGTTCTTTAAGCCATCCAACATACCCTTGTATTTGTTCTGTTGATTGTTGGTCTGTTGAAGATTTAATACATAATTGGCGAAGCATTTCAACTGGATCTAATGAAGAAGTTGAAGAAAAGGCTGCAGAGATTGAAGAAGATTCTGTACTGCTTGGACCTGATACTAGTTGCTGGAAATAAGAGAGGATTGAATTGATTAAGGAAAGATGGGATGTCCCCATACACTTAAAAATTAAGATGAGATCCACGTTGATTCTCCTATAATCATCAAAATTTTAGTAGATGTTTTAGTATTTTTGTAATTATTCACAGAATTTGAGAATTTATAGTTAAAATGCCCAAATTTTTCATAGAATAATTTATTCCAAAAACCAATAAGAGAGAAAAAATTCCACTAAATTCTTAAGGGTTCAAGTCCTAAATTTTAGCATTTTCTGTCATCCCTATAGAGCACAATTTTTTAAATTTACTTGTTCAACAGAATTAGAAGAATAACAAGCAGAATCACTCGAAGTTGATGGTGGTGAATGTTGTTGAGAGAATTGTGAAGGTAAAGATGAAGTAGCAGTAGGGGAAAGGGAAGAAAGTAAAGGTGGTTGTTTGTGCCTAATTTGTTGTAATTGTTTTTGTTGAAGCAATAAAAGTCTGTTACGACGATTATTTATTGAAGATGTTGTTGTTGTTAATTGTTGTTGTTTATGTGTATCATCAGGAGAAACACAAAGTTGGGCGTCTAAAGAAAGTCGGTGTTTTTGTTGTTGATATTGTTGTTTTGGATTGTGAACAAAAGTTAACAAAACAACTTCTGGGCCTTTAAATTGTGAAAGATGGACAAGTTCACCTTTAAAAATTATTTTATAAAATATTTTTTCCTCGAAATTATTTTTTACCTCCAGGAAGTTGTAAAGCATCAAATCCATAATGTTGATGTAAAGTAAAATATACAGAATTTAAATGGGCAACGTGATCACGTAAAGAATTTTCCAAATCCTTAAAAAGAAAATTAAGTTTTTTGAAAATTTAATTTTTGAGATGAAAAATTCCAAAAAATAAGTAAAAACTGGAATTTATTTTAGGATCGTAGTAGTAGTGGAAATTCTGAATCTAGAAAATGTCTGGAGACCGCCCCAAGCTAAAAGCCTCCCCAAACTACCTTCAACCAGTTGTGAGGATACTAGAATCCATCTGAGAAATAAAGGAAATTCTTTTTTTGATAAATTATTTAAGTTACGGACACATTGATTCTATAGTGAACTACTTATTCCTAGAAAAATTCCATTAAAGGGCATTTCTACCTGAATGTTGTGGATCTGAAATCCAAGAAAGTACTTAATTCTTATCAAATTTATCAAATCCTTTTTATTTTTCCAATTATTTATTTTATTTTCAAAAATTTACCTGCACTCTATTAGTCAATTGTTGATTTTCTCTCATTAAAACAGCATTGCTTCGACTTAATTGGCCAACTGGAGATTGAGCATAACCGTTTGGATCGAGCAAATGAGGGGGCAAAGTAGGGAAGTCAAACATCATTGGATGTGAAGAATTATTTGCCAAAAAAGAGCCAAATATTCGGCTATTAAAGAATGAAAATGAAGAAGAGGATGCTCGGGTAGAAGGAGTAGAAGAAGTTGGGGAATTTTGCTTAAAAAATATATAAGTATATAATTATTTTTTAATTAAAAAAATAAGAAAAAAAATATAAACATGCGGCATGATTAAAAAATAAGTTTTTTAATAAGTATATCCAATACTTTTTGTAAATTTAATTTAAAGTTAAGGGGGGATATACATATAACATTAGAGAGGATAATTATACAATTTTTAATATAAACGTCAATTTAATGTTTCTGTTCTAAAAATGTAAATAAAATAAAATAATTTTCTTAACAAAAGGTATTGGTTGATAATTTTTGATACATTAAAAAAATAAAAATAAAGATTCAAACAAAAATAAAACATAAAAAAAGAATTATTTATTTATCCTCTTTATTTTTTAAAAAATAATTTTTTGCTCTATTTTTACGCATTTTTGGGCGATAATAAATAGACCATATAAATATATATTTATTATTAATTGAGCTTATTCATTAAAGCAGAAAAATGCTAATTATTGTTATTTTTATTATTTCATCATTATTTATCACTCATCTCATTATTATATTCTTTTTTACTTTTTATAAAAAAATATTTTTTTAAAAACAAAAATATTCTTAAAATAAAATAATTTTTAAATCATTAAAAAACAAAAAATTTGGTACAAAGTATCACATTATCTCCCCTATTTTCTTTTGTATATTTCTTTTTTAATGACGGCATAATGACCAGGGTTTAATATAAAATAGGGAACTTGACAAAGGGGAACCGAATTTATTTTGTAAAAAATAGAAGCTTGGCTTCCAAAATAATGATGACAATCGCTTATTTATTATCTTAGAGATATGTAAATATCACATTCGAGGGATCTCACATTCAGGATTTTCTATAATAATTGTCTATTGATAATTTATGATTTCTAGAAGAGAAGGAAATGAAAGAAAATCAAAAAAAGGAGGGGGGGATAATGCATTAGTACCAAAAATTTTCTAAATAATTTTAGTTTTTGCTTTATTTTTGGTTAATTTGTTGTAGAGAAGTGATTTAGCTTAAATAAAATTAATAATTTGATATTATCTCAACGAATTTATAATACAATTTAGGCTTAGAAAAATAAAAAAAAATATTTTTAAAAATTATTTAAAACAATTAAAAACCAAAAATATTTTTGTGAACATTTTTAATAAAAGAAAGGAGAACAAAAAATATTTTTAAAAAAGAAAAGAGAGAAGAAGGTGGCGGCTATATTTTAAAAACTTTAATTAAAAAAGATTTAAAAAACTCTCTAAAATCTTTGTGCAATAAAAAAACTCAGCAAAAAAAGAAAATCTTTTTTTTTCTGACTGATTGATTGATTGTTATGTCCAATATTTACTTTTGTAATCAAAAATAAAAAATTTTTTTCTAAAAAAATTGTCAGGTGTTAAAACACCTCCTAGCCCTCTCTATTTATTTTTCCAATAAAATCTCCACTCTTCTCCTCTCTCTTTTTGTCTAAGAATAGCACCAAAATGATTAAATATATTTTTATTTAATTTTTTCTTTTAAAAAGACCATTTGTTGTGCTTGATCTTAACTCTTCCTTTTTTTTATTTCCTCTGAAAAATAATTCTCTTTTTTTCCTTTAAATTAGTTTAGGAAATGGAAACAAGAGTCAAAAAAATTTTGAGAAAATCATAAAATTGACATTTTTATTTAAAAAATTATTAAAAAAATTTTTTTTTGATTTTTTAAATGAAACATTAAAAAGAAGTAATTTAAACATTTTTTAAAAAATTATTTAAAATCTATTTTTAAAAATAAAATTTTAAAAGATTAAAAGACTTGAAGTAACAAGTTGTAGGTAAAATATTTAAAAAAAAGATTTTTAATTTATTAAAAAAGGGATTAGTAAAATTAATTTAAAAACCACAAAAATAAATTAGAAATTTTGGTTTTTAATTTCTCTATTTATAATTTTGATTCAGATTGGTTATTAAAAATACAGAAAATCCCTTGGGGTTGGGGGATAATAACGAGTAGAGGGGAGGTGGAAGGTGATAGCTTTTTTTAATTTTTTTATTTTTGGTAGAATTATTTTGCAATTAATTAAAAGATTTTAGAATTATTTAAGGTATATTTTAATTCTAGACACAACAAATGAATCCCTTTGAAGTTTAAATCCCTAAGTTTTCCTGCCTTCCATAAATTTTTCAAAAACAAATAAATTTAAATTTTTAATTAGAAAATCCTCTGAATTAGAGTTGGGGGTCAAGTCGGCATTGAATTTTGGCCTAAAAAAGACTCGGTCGGGCTGATGACTCGAACGTCGGCCCGACTTGAAAACCCCAACCTTACATAGAATTAAAATATAAATTAAAAATAATTCTAAAAACTTTTAATTAACTGCAAAATAATTCTGCCAAAAATAAAAAATTAAAAAAGCAATAAAATTAAATGATCAAAAATTAAAAATGTGCTGATTAAAAAAGATATATATTAATCTAAATTTAGAAATAAAAAGAGAAAGAAGGAAGGGAGTGGAAAGAAAATAAATTAGAAATAAAATTAAATTAAAAGAAAAACGTCAGAGAGAGAAAAACCTTTTTTGGAAGAAAATTTTAATTATATAAAGTCTAAAAAATTAAAATAAAAAAAAATAAAAATATATTTTTAAAATTAAAAACGTTAAAAAAGAGAGAGAATTCTTTGAATTAATTTTATTATTAGATTTTTTAATTTATAGATTTATAATAAATAAATTTCAAAAAAATGGGCGACCGAACTAATCCCAGAAAAAGCAGAAGATAGGACAGGACTTGATCTTGAGAGCCCTCCGATGCATTATAATTAACTGCTCAACTATCTCACCAACGAATAAACGTTTTTATTTTTGCTTGATTTTCAGGCTGAAGGAAAACTTCGCGGCCTTGCAATATAATTCTACATATAGGTGGGGGCACTATACCAAACTAACTTTAAAAATCTAATATACAAAAGGGGGAGATAAAATGAGGATATACAAACATGGGATATCCATCTTTATTTAAAAACAATTATAGAAAAAAAAGAATATTTTGGGCATTTTCCAGATGTTTTTTTCTTTATTTTTTTATTATTTTGTACTTATATAGGAAGAAGAAATATTTTTGTTTGTTTCCCCCCAAGGGAAGGAAAATGAATGAAGACGAGAAAATAAAAAATAAAAAAGCTCAATGAATGGGTTCAGATGGTATTAATTAAATTTTAAATAAATAAATATAGAAAATGGAAATGGAATTGGAAGGGAAAGAAAAAAAAAGTAAAATTAGGACTCAAAAATTTATTTTTTTTAAATTAGTTTAATTGAGAAGTAAAAGAAAGTTTAAAAAAATAAAAAATAAATTTATAAATAAGGGGATATATAGATATTGAGAAAAATTAAAATAAAACTTAGTAACTGATCAAAATTTCTAAAAAAAGTTTAGATTACAATCAAATTTTGATTGTAATCTAAACTTTTTTATTAAATTTTTCATCAATTACTAATGTTTATTTAAATACCAAATACTCTCTATTAAAAATAAAATTTTTTAAATTTTGTCTGGTCACTAGATGTGGGGGGACCTATTTAAAAAATAATTAGAGGGAAAAGCCAGTTAAAGTAAAAAACTAAGAAATTTCCTTATCTAATTAAAATATTAAATTTAAATTCTAACAAATTATTTTTTAATAAAAAATAATTCTAAGCGTCATATAAAAATTAAAATAATTCCAGTTAAAGAAATGAAAAAAGAGAAATGCAAAAAAGAAATTAAAAATAGAATTTAAAATATTGCAAAAAATGACTAACAATTAAAAATACAAAAATAAAATAAAATTTTTGAAGAAAAATTTTTAGGTTAAAAATAGAAATAAATAAATTTAAAAAATAATAATTTTTTGTGTTTTTAACTAAAACAATAAAGAAAAACGTTAATAATTATTTTTCTGAAGAGGATAAAATGAATGAAATCATTTAAATAATAAAGGTGCTTAATGTGTTAATAATAAATAAATAAATATTTTTTGTTAAAAAAGAAACAAAAGAATAAATTTTAAAAAAGAGGAAAGAAAAGGGAGAGAGAGAAATTGAATGAAGAAAATATTTCTTAAAATTAAAAAAAGAATATAGAAAAAAATCATATTTAAATTTTTAAAATATAATTGATAAATGCCAATATATGTTACTGATTTAGGGTTGCCGGTTTCAAACCGAATCGAACCGAAAACACGAAGATTTCCGGTGGAAGAATTTGATGAAACCGACAACCCTACTCTCATTTTCATCTCAAAAAATTTTGTTTGTTGGAAACAGAAGTGAGTGCAAAAGACAATCTTTAAAAAATACTAAACGCAGCGCAAAGCCAAAAATCAAGAAAAATAATGCAATTACTTAATTTTTAATAAAGAATAAAAAAAAGTAATAAAAGATACAAAAAGGTGTTTGGTAAAAATTAAAAATTAAATTTATTTAGAGAAGGAAGAGAAATATTTAAGATTGTTTCCGGATATTGAAAAGAATTTCTCGGAAAATCTTATTGAGGAGAGAATTAATTACTTTTCCAATACAAAAAATACTTGAAAGAATTAATAAATTAATTTATAATATAAATAGCCAAACCTTTTTAGATAAAAATTTAATTAAATAATTTAGAGAAAATAATAATTTTTATTTTTTATTTTATTAAATGTTAGAATATTTTAAAAAAAGGTTTGGCTAATTTAAAAAATATTTAAGAGAACTAAACCAAATATTTATTTATTTTTAAAAAAAGTTTAACAAAAAATAATTATTTTTGGTATTATAACAATGATTATTATTTTTTATTTTATTTTTTACTCTCACAAATATCTTTTGCCCAAAAAACTAAAATAAGGGGAGTGTTTGTTTAAATAATTTATATCAAGAAAATAATTGAAAAAAAAATAGAAACAATTGGGGGAGAGGAAACAAACTTCCCCCTCCTCCTCCTCCTCTTCCCCTCCCCCTCTACCCCCTTTTTCCCTACCGCCCCCCCCTTCCTCCCCCCCCTCCTCCCCTCTATATATTTTTTACCAATGTCAAATCTTTTAGATTTGAAAATATTTTATTAACCTTGCCCGAAATTTTGTCCATATATTTTTGTCTTTATTTTTTTAGGCCCGCTCAAAAAAATGTTAATTATGGCGGGCTCAAAGGCCTTTCTTTTGAATTTTGCACATTAAACGTTTGGTCCCTGCTCTCTTTTCTCCCCATTCGTTTAAATCTCTGGCCCACTCAATTTAACTAGGAGAAGCTCCTTTGTATTTTTGTGTATTTTGATCCCGTCTGAAAAATGTCCTTTCTCTTCTCTTTCGTTCTATCTTTGCAACCCTTTGCACGGGTTATTTTGGCCAACTAATTCTGGATTATAATGTGCAAACGCCTCCTTATTTTTGCACCTCCCAACCCGAATATATAAATGGAAATTTGAGCAGTTTTGGCTCAGTTTTTGAACTTGTACCCTTTCCTTCCAGTCAGATATTCCTCTCCCCGTTTGAAGTTAAGAGTTTTTTGAACTAAAGTTTATGAACTACTCCTTCCCCCGATTTAATTAAAAGTTTTTGAACTGTTTTATGAAATTTGAAATTCCTTCTCCCCGTTAAAAGAGATTTTTTCTGTTTTGTTTCTCCTTCTACCCGTTTTATAAAGATAATTGATAGTATTTTGATTTATACAATATTTTGTTAATTCTGATTATTTGTGAGGAATTAAACCGATTAAAGCTGTTTGTTTGATATATTGAGAATTAGAAATTTTATTTAAATGTTTTACTTAGGCTTTTCCTCTCCCTTTATTAAAATTCTGCTTAGAATTTTACAGCTCAGCCGGTGACCGACCTGAATACCGTTATTTTTTTCTTCTAAAAAATATTTTTTTAATTCTTCTCCCCCAGTTCTAATCCAACTTATTCCTTCAATATTTTTAAAATTTTTCTGTATTCCTTTAAATTTCGATTAATTTTCTACCCCTTTTATTCTCTTGAAAATTATTTATTTTTCCAACTAAATTAACCAATGTCTTCCGGATTTAGAGACCGAATCTCCCAACTCTGTGACGAAGCTGAGAAGATTATCGGTGCCAATAAAGAATTTTCCCTCCCTATTAAAACTCCACCAAGTTCTGATAAACAATATTATAATTCTGTCCAAGCATTACTTAATCAACTTAATATTACCTACCAAACCATTACCAATATCCTTACTGATTATAAAAGTTGTCACGATTCTTGGATGAATTTAAGAATGTCAATGACAGAAACCGAGAGAGGTCATGATAGCGTTATTTATGAATCCTTTTTGAGGGAAACTTCCTATATTAAGAAAATGTATGAGCTTAAACGTTACCGCCGAATTTTACGTAATTCCCGCCTTATTTTGGAAAATAATCTACCTAAAATTGAACCCCACATTGACCATTCCCACCTCCTTCCAGAATTAAATTTACCCACTGATTTAATTAGTTCCCAGAATACAATTAAAGAAATTTTACAAAGCCCATTAAAAGTTAATTGTAGCATTTCGAATGATTATTCTCTTCCAACCCGGACACATTTCCAACCTAATTTATCTCTCAGTATTTCAAATACAGAATCAAACACCCAACAATTGAATGTTTTTGAAAATGTTTGTTGCTTTCCCCAAATTTTGAGTGATAAATCGAATATTAATTATAATGCAAGACCCATTAGTCCACCTCCAGGCTTCCCCTCCCTTGAAAAGATTTGTATTACTGATAAGAATAAGTATGATGATTTTAAATATTCTGTTTGTGAAGAATTGACCCGATCACTCGAACTTATAAATGAAGGATATGAAGACGAGATACACATTAATTCAGAAGAATCAACCCCAGATCAAATCAGTACCTCCCCTCCAGATTCTTTAGTCAATCCCCCCATTATCTGCTCCCATAATATACAAAATTCTATTTCCTCCGAAACAAATCATACAACTACATCAGAAGATATATTGAAAGAAAAGGAAGTAATAGACAACATTATTAATTGTGAAGAAATTGTATTAACTACCCAAATTATAAATTTAAGTTTTGAAGAAGAAAAATCTGTTAGATTAAATGAAAACATTTTTAATTCGATCAACGGCACCGCCAAAAGTCCTGACCCGATTAGTACTCATACTTACTGTAATAATGTGACATTACCCAATGAAACCTTTACGAGAGATAATAACCCTTCCTCTAAAGAATTAAAAGGGAATAAAATTGTAAATTTGAGAAATTCCGACTTTAAGAGAATAAAATCATTGTCTGAGGATTTTGTTGAAGATAATCCCTTTTTGTCCCGCAATTTTAAAAATAAATTGTTAAAATTAAAAGCCCGAAAGCCATCAAGTATTTATGGAATTAAATTGCCACCCCTTGCCAATATTCCTCTGATATGTATTATAGATTCTGGAAATCCCCTATTAGATAAAATCAATTATTCCCTTATTAAACCAAAATACGAAAACGAGAATGACTCAGACAAGAATTCAATACTTCCCTGTACCTTTCCTTTTGTATTAAATAAAAATGATTTGACCGAAGATTATAATGGCTCTATCCCTAGAATGTTAAAGAGTCCTCCTCCCTCAACAAATACCTTTACTCCTGAATTCTCCCCTCGTATCGAGATTGAATTTATGAATATAAACTATAAGCCCAATTCCCACCGGTACCATCTTTTTAAATCATTTATATTCCTTTTGTTGAAAAATCCCATTAACTTTTGCTCTGGCTCAATATGCTTTGGACTACATGGTCTAATACAATATGCTATGGATTTTACTGAAACTTCCGTTCCTCCTCATCTAACTACAAGTGGTATCCAAAACGGTAATAATAGATTTGAATGTAAAAAAACCTAATTCCCAAAATTTACTCTCTTCTCACCGTTGCTCCTTCCGACAATATGTTATGGCCTAAAGAATGAAGTTGGAAACCCAAATGAATGTTTTGAAAGAAGATAAAGGAAAAGGATGAAAAAAAATGACCAGTGCCGTAAATTTATTAAATTTAAAACGTACCTCCCCCACCCTTCCTTGCAACTCACATAAACCCATATTCCTCAAACTGCCCTATGCCTTCATCTAAACTTTTTTTGGTTTCTCCCGAATGTCAAATCTTTTAGATTTGAAAATATTTTATTAACCTTGCCCGAAATTTTGTCCATATATTTTTGTCTTTATTTTTTTAGGCCCGCTCAAAAAAATGTTAATTATGGCGGGCTCAAAGGCCTTTCTTTTGAATTTTGCACATTAAACGTTTGGTCCCTGCTCTCTTTTCTCCCCATTCGTTTAAATCTCTGGCCCACTCAATTTAACTAGGAGAAGCTCCTTTGTATTTTTGTGTATTTTGATCCCGTCTGAAAAATGTCCTTTCTCTTCTCTTTCGTTCTATCTTTGCAACCCTTTGCACGGGTTATTTTGGCCAACTAATTCTGGATTATAATGTGCAAACGCCTCCTTATTTTTGCACCTCCCAACCCGAATATATAAATGGAAATTTGAGCAGTTTTGGCTCAGTTTTTGAACTTGTACCCTTTCCTTCCAGTCAGATATTCCTCTCCCCGTTTGAAGTTAAGAGTTTTTTGAACTAAAGTTTATGAACTACTCCTTCCCCCGATTTAATTAAAAGTTTTTGAACTGTTTTATGAAATTTGAAATTCCTTCTCCCCGTTAAAAGAGATTTTTTCTGTTTTGTTTCTCCTTCTACCCGTTTTATAAAGATAATTGATAGTATTTTGATTTATACAATATTTTGTTAATTCTGATTATTTGTGAGGAATTAAACCGATTAAAGCTGTTTGTTTGATATATTGAGAATTAGAAATTTTATTTAAATGTTTTACTTAGGCTTTTCCTCTCCCTTTATTAAAATTCTGCTTAGAATTTTACACCAACTTTATATTCTTTTGTTTGCAAAAAAGAACAAGTAAAAAAAAGTTTTGTTTTAAGTAAAGTTTTTATTAACACTTTTATAAGTTGCTTATTTTAACCGGAAATACATCAATTACATTAAAAACAAAAGAAGTATTGGAAGAAATTGAAAGAAAAAAAAAGATTTTTAATGTTTAAAAGAAAATTGTTTTGTTTTGTTTTGAAAAAAATTTAATTTAGAATTTATGCAAAACTTGTAAATAATTTTATTTTTGTATTTTTAAAAATAGGGGGAAGGGAAAATAATTTAGAAAATCAAAGTCTAAAATAAATTTGAAAAATTAACAGAATTATTTTTAGGAACTAAACGAGATTAAAATTTTAATAGAGATTAGCTTCTTATTTCTTTGACTTTAGATAATATAAAAGAGTAAAGGACTGTGAGGATCGTACAAGAATCGAAGAATAAATATCCTGAAAGATATTAATCTCGATATCCCAGATTTTTATTCGAGATCTCCCACATCCTAATAACTAAATAATTAAAGAATAACGATACCAATTTAAGGGAAGTATAGGTCCTAAGATTAGGTCCTATTTTTAGGTCCTAAGTATAGGTCCTATTCAAAAAAATAATTTAAAATTCTCAAATTTAAAAACTATTAAAGTGTGTCAAGAAATAATAAGCCTTTAAGACAGGGCTCCGATTCGTACTTTTTTAAAAGTATTGTACTTTTTTATCGACCTTCGTACTTCCGAAATTGAATTTGTACTTTTTTGAAAGTATGTACTTTTTTATCAACATTTTTGAAAAAACGAAGAAATCTGGCTTAAGGACCTCCAAAATTCTCAAAATTTTCGCCTGCGGCGCAAAAAATGGAATAAATCTGGCTTAGGGACCTCCAAAATTCTCAAAATTTTCGCCTGCGGCGCAAAAAATGGAAGAAATCTGGCTTAAGGACCTCCAAAATTCTTAAAATTTTCGCCTGCGGCGCTGAAAAAGAAGAAATCTGGCTTCTTAGGCTCCAAATTTCAAAAAATTTTCGCCTGCGGCGCTTCTCAATGGCAAACATTCAATGGACGAAGGAAAGAAACTCGCTTGAGGTTGACTGTCAGAGCTTTGCTTCATGTGACAGCAAATTTTGACATGTCATGCAATGAAATGCACAAAATGCTCAGTTGAAACAAGAAATTATTAGAAAAGATTAATTTAGGAGAGAAATATAAAAGATTGATCACGAATAAATATTTTCAAATTTAATTTTGAGTGTACTTTTTATTTGCAAATTTTCTCCCTATGTACTTTTTTTACAGCCCTGCTTTAAGAATATCTCAATAATTTCCTTAAAAATCCCAAACCTCTAATTTTAAAAAAGGGATTATTAGCCCAGAAAGGATTATGTATTTTATATCCATCGCTTAATTTCCTCTTAAGCTTAAACATTAAATACAAAAAAAGATTTATTTAAATGCCCCACTTATTTAAAATAATTTTTTTAAGATAAAAAGGATTTTTCAAAAATGCCGCATTTTAAATGCATGGAGAAAAGGATTAGAAAAAAATAAAACATTAAAAAATATTTATTTTGCAGGAATGGAACGGTAAAAAATTTGTAATATTAAACGAGGATTATAAAAATAATTTTTATATATTTAGTAGAGGTTTGTAATCGTTTAAATTTTAAAAAACGGAAATGAGAAATGATGTGAACAGTGGAATTTTAAAATTTAAAAAAAATAAAAAAAGGTTTTATTATGAAAAAGAGCTTGTAATAAATAATAGGTTTGAATGGATAGGATGAATATAATAGGTTAAGGGAAGTTGGGGAGGGGGGGGGGTGTAAAATAAACAATTAAAGCTCAGAGATAAATTTTTGATAGATAATAGTACACAAAGTTCTCTTTAATTTTTGTTGTATGTATTAACGGGGAATTCACGGTACTATGTAAAAAACTATAGATGATAAAACATTTTTTTATAGAACATTGAACTTTCTTAATATAATTTTCGAAATAATTAACAAAAATTCTACAATTTTTAGAGAGATTAGATATAAAAATATAAAGATTATCTCTGTAAAGTTGTTGTTATAAATAAGCAATTGGTAACTTTCTGGATTTGATTAATGGTAATTAAATCCATTAACTGCTTCCTTGTCAAATCCTTCAGATTTGAAAATATATTTTTTATTTATTAACCTTTGGCCGAAATTTTGTCCATATATTTTTGTCTTTATTTTTAAGCCCGCTCAAAAAAATGTTAATTATGGCGGGCCAAAAGGCCTTTTTTGAACCTTGCATCCCTGCTCTTTTTCTCCCCATTCTTTTAAATCTCTAGCCCGCTCAATTTAACTAGGAAAAGCTCCTTTGTATTTTTTGTGTATTTTGATCCTGTCTGAAAAATGTCCTTTCTCTTCCCTATCGTTCTATCTTTGCAACCCTTTGCACGGGTTATTTTGGCCAACTAATTTTGGATTAAAATGTGCAAACACCTCCTTCTTTTTGCACATATCAACCCGAATATATAAATGGAATTTTGAGCAGTTTGGCTCAGTTTCTGAACTATTCCTTCCCCTCGATTAAAGTTAAAGTTTTAAAGTAAAGTTTTTTGAACTTCTTACTCATTCCTTCCCCCAGAAAAGAGTTGTTCCCCGTTCAGTTAGATTTGAAGATTTGCCCCTTTTTATTTTCTTGATATAAGTTTGTTCTCTAAAAGATTTGGCCCCATATTTTGTTAAAAGAAAAGATAATATTCTGTTACTTTAAATTTGTTTGTCCCCTTCTTTTGTTTGGATTTTAAAGAGATTATTTTGTTAACTTTACTTATTGGTTTGGAAATAAAATTGTTAAAGCTTTGTTAAATCATTGAAGATTAAAGTTATTTTTGAGTTCAATGTATTTTCCCTCCCATTTATTAAAATTCTGTTTAGAATTTTACAGCTCAGCCGGTGACGAGCCGAGATCTTTTTCTTTCAACTCTTTTCAGAAATATATATTTTTTTCTTAAAATTTTTTGTTTTCCCGTTATTTTATAAAAAGTTATATTTTGTTTGCTTTTAAAATTCCGAATTATTTGTTATTTTAAAAAGGAATGTCACTAACTTTTCGGAATCAATTGTCCCAGCTTTGCTCCATCACTAAAGAAATACTTCTCCCTAGCCCTTTCTCTGCTCTAATAGAAGATTATGATAATTTTAAAACCCAATCTCCCGAATCTACCCAGACATTAATTAATGAAATAGACCTTACCTCCCAAGAGATCACCAAAATCCTAAATGATTTTAAAATAGCCCACGATTCATGGCAAAAGTTAAGAATTGCAATGTCAGAAAATGAAAGGGCAAATGATAGCCAAATTTTAGAGAAATTCCTTCAAGAAACAGATTATATAAAAATTATGTATGACCTTAAACGGTATCTGAGAAAGCTTCGGAATTCCCGACATGAAGTAGAAAGTAACTTACCTAAAACTAAACCTCAATTTGACCATTCACATCTCCTTCCTGAACTTCCTCTTTTAAACCCTTCCCAGAACAGACCTTTTAATGAAAATACTCAAGACTCGTTAAAACCAGTTTATACAAATACTAGTGATAAATCTTATCGAAACCGGACCCTCTCTAATTTTTTCTCGTATCCAAATCCTTCGATTACAGAAGAATCCGATGAGAAACTAGCTAATATTCCGACCCCCTCCATTAAAAGTTATATTAAAGACATGAATAAATTAGATCCAATCCCTATCCCTCCTGGCTTTTCCCCTCTAGAAGAAATAAATGTTGTAGAGAACCCTAACGATTTAAACAATCAGATGAGTGAAGAAATTGTATTGGATAAAAGAATTACAAATGAAATTATTAATAAAAGACCCATTAGTCCCCCTCCCGGCTTTACTCCTATTGATGAAGTTTGTATTACTAAAAATATTTGTGAAGAATCTACCCCCTTACAAGAGATTATAAATGAAGATAATAAAGTTAGAGCTTATAATTATTCTAAAGAAATGCCCCTTGTTTTAACTGACAACTTAATTCCCGATTTATCCTCAGAACGTCCACTTATATCTCTTGAAAATTTACAACAGTCTATCTTATATGTTACTTTTAATTCTTCAATTGGAACTACGAATATTAATTCATCAGAAAATGATTATATTCCTACATCAGAAGAGATATTGGAAGAAAATAAACCATTACCCCCCACTCTTAATTATCTGGAAATTTTTTGCCTAGAAAAAAGAAAAGAAAGCCCAATGTCTCGTAAAAGACAAAGAAAAAAATTGCCCAAACTATTAAACCGAGAACCAACAATTATAAACAATTCCCGATCCGATGTTACTGCCTGTCGAATTCATCCTAAGAGTTTGAAAATAAGCCCTCCGAATAACCGTAAATACTGTATTAATCCCTCTAAGTTTAATGTTCTTTTAAATGATTTTGAACAAATCCAAAAAGAGAATCCTTGCTCTCCCCTACCTTCATTAAAAATGCCCCGGATAAAAGGAAATGATATTCTTACCCCTAAAACCCTGTTTTCTACTTTGTCTAATCTTGATTTGTTTGAAATAAAATGTGTTCATCATTCTGTGATTAATTGGAAGGAGATTCTTTCGAAAATTAAACAACACGATACGTTGATGCATATTATTTATTAGGCCACGACATGGATGAGGAACATGACCGAGAATAAACTTACCGTCAACAAAAATTGGTAAAATTAAATTTAAATATGAAATAATTCCCCCAAAATTTTACCCTTTTCTTAATGGACCAACAATGCTTATACGAAGAATATGAATATGACCCCTCTAATCTTAGAACATGCCGATAAATGAAAATAGAAAAGGACGAGAAGGGCTGATCAGCCAACCTGTGACAGAAATTTGGAAGAATTGAAAGGAAAATAGATGACCAATTCTGTTGAAATTTGTTATACTTACCCGGACCCCCTCCACCCGTCTCTGCACCTAAACCCTTATACCCACATCTCCTCTACGCCTTCATCTAAATTTTTTGGGTTTCTCCCGAATGTCAAATCTTTTAGATTTGAATATTTTTTAATTATTAACCTTTGGCCGAAATTTTTGTCCATATCTTTAAAATAGTTGCCCGCTCAAAAAAAAAATGTTAATTATGGCGGGCCAAAAGGCCTTTTTTGAACCTTGCATCCCTGCTCTTTTTCTCCCCATTCTTTTAAATCTCTAGCCCGCTCAATTTAACTAGGAAAAGCTCCTTTGTATTTTTTGTGTATTTTGATCCTGTCTGAAAAATGTCCTTTCTCTTCCCTATCGTTCTATCTTTGCAACCCTTTGCACGGGTTATTTTGGCCAACTAATTTTGGATTAAAATGTGCAAACACCTCCTTCTTTTTGCACATATCAACCCGAATATATAAATGGAATTTTGAGCAGTTTGGCTCAGTTTCTGAACTATTCCTTCCCCTCGATTAAAGTTAAAGTTTTAAAGTAAAGTTTTTTGAACTTCTTACTCATTCCTTCCCCCAGAAAAGAGTTGTTCCCCGTTCAGTTAGATTTGAAGATTTGCCCCTTTTTATTTTCTTGATATAAGTTTGTTCTCTAAAAGATTTGGCCCCATATTTTGTTAAAAGAAAAGATAATATTCTGTTACTTTAAATTTGTTTGTCCCCTTCTTTTGTTTGGATTTTAAAGAGATTATTTTGTTAACTTTACTTATTGGTTTGGAAATAAAATTGTTAAAGCTTTGTTAAATCATTGAAGATTAAAGTTATTTTTGAGTTCAATGTATTTTCCCTCCCATTTATTAAAATTCTGTTTAGAATTTTACATCCTTTTCATAAAAATTGTTTATTTTAGAGATATGTACATAAGTAGAATATAATATTTTTTAGAAAGATTACTTGTTCAAAACCAATTACCTAACAAATAAAGGAACACCAATTAAATAAAAAATTTTAAAACCTAACAAAATTTAAGGAAATAAAAAATTTTATTATTAAAGTGTGAAATTAGGTGAAATAAATATTTTAAAATTTAAATATAAAATATAAATTGTTTAAAAGATTTAATTATGCAGAAAATATAAATTGTTTATTAAACTTTTTGGTATATCAAGCGTGACAAATTATTTAAAAAATAATTCGTAAAAAAATTTTTTTAATTAAAATTACAACATTTTAAAGAGTAAAATGAAACAAAATTTAATTTATGACGATATAATAAATATAAAAATTAAATTTAAAAATATTAAAATCACGCAAATTAAAAAAATTAAAATTAATTTACAAGTAAAAATTGCAAAAAAAAATTTTTTTTATTAATTTAATTTTTTTTAATTTAATAAAAATAAATGGAAATAGAAAATTAAAATAAATCTAAAAATTAAAAAAAAAGGAAATAAAAAATGTTAAAAAAATATTTTTAAGTAAATTATTTGCCAAATATGTTTATTTCCAAGTATAGAAAGAGTACTTAAAAATAGTATACTTAAATATTTTAATATTAGAAAAATATTCTTTGGTCGTCCTCATTTTTATTTTATAAACTAAAATTAAACTACAAAATATTTAGGAAGTTAAGGAATTTTCAAAAAATATTTTTAGGTTATTTATAAAATGATAGAGCTCAAGATTTAAAGATTTCATATAAAATTTTAAAAAATTATTAATTAGTATATTAAATATTTGGGATATAATCTAAAATTCTTCTAGTTTCTTTCGATTTTTAACTCCAGAAAATCAAGAATAATAAATGAAGAAATCCTGATAGGTTAATGAGAAAAAAACAAAATCATTAAAATAATTATAATTTTCAAGTTAACTGAAACTTTATAGAATTTAAAATTTAAATCCAACCAAAATAGTATTCAAATAAAAATAGAAATTTACCCAATGACCGGCTCGTGCTCTTAATTCAGTTTCTAATTTTAGTATATCTACATATACTCATTTTTTAGTCCTTTCTCAAATAATTTTATGTTTAAAATAACCAAAAATTGAAATTTTTCAACTCCTCAATTTCCCCGAATCCAAATATCTCCGAACAAAAATTTTATTCTGAATTGTTGACTATTGGGGTTTTGATATTGTGGGTATAGGAAAAGTAGATATAAAAAATAAAATGAAAATAAGAAAATGAAAATTTGGGAGAGGAGAAAGGGGATTTTTAAATTAAAAAATAAAAAAATAGAAAAAAGGAGAAGATATAAATTAAGTTTAAATAAATTTATTTATTTAATTTTTGGGTTTTTTGACTATTTTAGAATAAAATTAAATAAAAACAATTTAAATAATGGAATTTATATGTATATTTAATTTTACCTTAAATTTATTAAATTTGTTTGGAGAATAAAATCTCTTGTAATATTTTAGAGACATTATTGTCTCAACCGATATCCAGGTTAGGGAATTAATTAGGAATTAAGGTCAGGTTAGGAATTAAGGTCAGGGAGGATGTGTCGGGGTACGAGATCTCTAAATTGTTTCGGGGGAGGGTTCGGGTCGGGGAAAATTGTGAAAAAATCGTTCGGAAACGGGATCAGTGTGCAACTCTACTTACTAAACAACCCAAAAATTGTTTAACATAACTTGGTATAAATGTCTGGTTCTAATTTTAAAATAAAATTTTTAAAAAATAACGAGTTTGGATAAATATAAATTCTTTCTACTAACCCCGCAAAAAAGTAAAAACTAGACAGATTTATTAAATTCTGTGTTTTTCCTACCTTTTTATTTTGCTGTTTTGCTGACGATAATTTACGTTCTCCATTACTTTCATTAATTTCTTCATTACCAGAACCACTAACTTCAGTTCGTTGTTCCAATTCAAGTCCAGAATCGGGGGACTCTCTTCGATTTGTTAAAACGGTTCGGTAATTATTTTGTTGAGAATTGTTGTTGGTGCAGAGGGCTAAATAAAATTAAATTAATTTTTTAAATTTTTCTAAAAGAAAAAGCACCTTTTTGTAAAATAGCAATCAATCCATTTCCAAAATTTATTTTCCCATTATCTCCATTTTCAATATTATTATTTAACCAATGTACAGTTGTAGAACTTGTAGATTGTGAAAGTGATCTGTGGGCCTTTCCTGGGAATAATTGCCTTCTTTTATTTGGTAATGAAGGGCTAATAGGTCGAAGATATAGTAAAGAATGTGTTGGTGAAGAAGTATGAAATAATTTTGTTGGGGAGGAATGTGTACTGCTACTTTTATTATTTTTATTTTTTGGAAATAAAGTAGGAATAGAAAGTTTATGTTCTGCCATTTTATTTTTTTGAAATCCTGAAAAATAAAAAAGAAATGATAAAGGAAATTATTTTTTGGATTTGGATTAATAAATTAAAAGATAAGTATTCGGACAAGCTATATTTCTTTTTAAAATTTTGTAATTAAAATATACTCAAGTCATACGTGAGGAAGGACCACGGGGAAAGTTTTTCGGGGAGACAGGCACGGGGGGGCGGGGACAGGGAATTTTCAAAAATTTCTCAAATTCCCCGACTTACGGGAACATTTTTTGCCTGTTTTTTATAAACCAACCCTAATAAATTTGTATACTATTTTTAATATTAATGGTAAATCCAATAAATATATTTTCGATGTTTTTCATTTATTTATAGACTCGTTGCCATAATTATTTTTATTTTTTCTCCTTTAAAATCTTTAAATATATTAAAATAATTAAATAAAAAATTAAAAGAAAAATATTAAAAACACACACAAATTTTCTTTTAAAAAAAGCTATTATTATTTGTTTTGTTTGGTGTAAATGTTATTATTTTTATAAATATTTTTATTTGAATGTAAATGTAAAAAATAGGAGGTCTCAATTTCTAATGAAAAAAAAACGAATTTTTGCCTTTTTTTATAAAAAATTTTTTTGGCATTTAACTCAAAAAGCATTTAAATATAATTTTGAAAACTAGAATTGTCATTATATAAGAAACAAGAAAGAATCAAAATCAAAGAAGATTATTAAAAACACTCAGCATTTAATTGTAAGTAGGGGGGCGGTTGTGTCGGGGTACGGGGGTTTTCGAATTGTTTAGGGGTGGAGAACGGGTCGGGGAAAATCTGAAAAAAATCGTTCGGGGAACGGGGTCTCTAGGTAGAAATTGAGGAATCAGGAATATGAAGGATGTAAATATTAAAAAAATGAGGGATTACTTCCTTAAATCTTAAAAATAAAATTTTATTTAAATAAAAGTATAAAAAAATTTAAGGTTAAAATTTAAAAATAAAGTGCACAAATAAAAAATCTTTCAAAAAAAAGCAAGAAATCAAACAAAATCTCCCGTGGGATTTTGTAAAAGTAGCAAAAAAATAAATAAATATTTTTGTCATTTTCTAAAATTAAAAGAAAAAAAAAGTCTACCTAAAATAAAAATATTTTTTATTTAATTAAAAAAAAGTTTTTCTTTTGGATGACGCTATTTTTTAATGCTAAATTAGTAAATATTTTTTATTTTCTTTTAATTTTAATTTGACAGTCTGACAAAGATTTAAATTAATTTTGATTTGGAAATTTAAAAATAAATTCTTAAGTGCAAAAAAAAAGAAAAAAAATAAAAATAAATTATTGTTCAGTTATTTTTATTTTTGAAAAATTCAGAAATAATTTAATAAATATTTAATGGATATTTGGGTGATTTTGAAGCAGTAAAAAATTGAAAAAAAATTATAAAAAATTTTTTATAGACCTCTTAGTAATAATTTTGAGAACAAATAATATGTAGTAATTGGGCAAATTAAAGAAAGAAAAATTATTTCTCCAAAAAATAATTTATTTGCTTTCTTCACTAATTTTTTAATCAAAAATTTTTTAAGATTTTATTTTATGAAATTATTTTAAAAAATTTAAAGTAACGTCACTTTTAAACGGCTTTATTATTTAAATTAATTAATTTAATAAAAAAAATTTAATTTTTAAAATAAATTAAATTTATTTAAAAAATTAATTTATTTAATAAAAGTTAGAATAATTTAATTTTGAAGAAAACAAAACTTGAACATTTTACATATTTTAAATTAAAAATAAAATAAATAATTAAATATGTAAACTTTTAAATGAAAAAAAACAAATTTTCTATTTAAATTTTATACTAGCTTTAATTTAATTTAAAAAATTACCTATATTTAAATTGTTTTGAACTTTTGTTCTTTTTGAAAAAAATTTTAAAATTAAAAATAAATTTTCGAATAAAATACATTGACTTTAAATGTTTTTTCCTATTTATTGCTTTAAAAGAAAATTGTTAAAAATAAAAGTATTTCTTTGAATATTTTAACAATAAAAAATAGCAACCAACCAAAGGCATAATTGATTTGGAGACCCTAACATTTTCTATAAAAAAATAAAAAAATGTAAAAAATGCTGGCGCGAAAATGTTGAAGGAGAAAGTTAAGGAGTAGATAGCTCTAAGGAAAAGTGCCTAAGGGCGGCTAAAAAATAAAATATTTTGGTGGCATTTGGTGTAAAGAAGAATATATTCCGAAATAAAATGATGTTTGAATTGAAAAAAATAAAATTGAATTTTGATTTGTTAAATTAAAAATATGATCAGACAATTTAATTTTAATGTATATTAATTAAAATAAAATGACCTAAAAAATAAAATGACTAAATTAACTTTTTAAATTAAATAAGAGTTTAGCAAAAGAGCAGGATTCAGGACACCGTGCAGGATTCGACCCAACGATCTCCTGACAGTTATTGCTAGGCGCATTGATAGGCGCTTCGCTCACCGCTTATAGGAGCTCTACCACAGAGCTATCGGGGCATCGACTAATGCTTTCTCTTTTATTCTTTTAGATCGCTTAACCTCCGCGTAAGCGTTTTAAATACTCTAGGTAAATCATCCTTAAATAATTAATATTCTTTTTCATTATTCTTAAAAAATCTTATTAGTTTTTGGTTAGCCAATCTAAAGAATTTTTGTGTAAAATTATAAAGTAGTAGCTGAATATAAAATTATTGAGAAAATTAATGACTCCTTTAACAAAAAAATTAAAAATTAATCAGAATCTAGGAACAAATTTTCTATCTAAAATAGCAAATAATTATATTTCAAAATTTTTTTAAAATTTTCATTTGTTTAATTTCTTTTTAGTTTTTTGGCATTACTTTTCTCCTTATTTAGTTTTTTTGGTTAAACAAATCTCCTTTGTGTTTTGCCCTTTCATTGGAACCCAAAAATAGGAAAAGTCAATTTTTTGCAAGAAAAAAAACTACTCGCTGCTCTTTCCATTTTTGGCATTCATTGTATGATATATTACGTAAATAATTCGTATACATTTCAAAAAAAATTTGTCCGAAAATATAATAAATAAAATAAAAAAAGAGGTTTCCATAGAAGGACAGTAAATCTTTATTTTTATGAAAATATAGTAAAAAATTGTTTTAAGATATTTAAATATAGCAGGGATTCTTACGACATTAAAATAAATTCTAAAGTTTAGAAATTGGAAACAGGACAGCAAGATCCAGGTATACATATCCAATCACAAAAACTGAGTAAAATGAGAGTTAGGTATATTTGTTGGGATTTTGAGTTGAAATTTAAATAATCGGATCTAATTATTTATTTATATCAGGTACGATTGGGGTGTTTTGAGGTTTTTACTGTGCCTATTTAATAAGAAGAGGAGTGATCTGTCTTAATTATAATAATAGGGTTGTCGGTTCTGGACCTAACAGAACCGAACCGAAGAACCGATGATTTTTCGGGTCGGTTCTTCGGTTCGGTTCTGGATATCCGAAGATTTTCAAAGATATTCGTAAAATGCAATACTTCATAAATTCAATAAAATTTTTGTGTTTTTAAAGCGAATTTTAAGCAAAACATTATTTTTATTAAAGTTTATGGAAGTAAAAGTCCTTCCTTTATAAGAAATACAGAAATTAATCTTGCTCACTTTTTGTTCCTCTTTTTTTGTTTTTCAATAGTTTATATCCCAACCATTCTCGCTAACATAAAAAAGTGGTAAAAAATAGTGGAGGAATTATTCTCTAGAGAATTTATTTTTCTTTTTTATTTTTAGAATCATTTTATGGCAAAAAATTTTTGAATTAAAAATTAAGAGAAAATATTGAAGAGAAAAACAAAGGGAAAGATAATTAATTTATTGATTTATTTTTGAAAAACAAAATTTTACTAAAATTTTCAACTTTAGATTATCTTAGAAGATAGAATTTTTAAAGGGAAAAATTCCTTCTCAAACAGTCAGTTAAAAATCTTTTTAAATTTTCACTTAAATTTAATGTCAAAATAAGTGGGACACGCCCACCTTGTCGCGCGGCCACCTTGTCGCAGAGCCATAACTTGCTAAAAAATTTCTGGCCCTTATCAATTTTGGTACCAATCTCTTTGGCTCGATGAGAGGTCTCGTTTAATACTAAATTTGGTAAGATTCGGAAAACTTGAAGGAAGTTATGGCTCTGCGACAAGGTGGCCGCGCGACAAGGTGGGCCGTACCCAAAATAAGTGTGGCATTGTGTTTAAATTTTCGACATTTTATCCATTCTTTTAAAATTTGTTTTAAAACTTTTGTGTTACTCATTTTCAAGCTTTCTTCTTCCCGTTTTCTGATTTTTTCTTCGATTTGATTTGGAAATCTTCAGTCTGAAATGATAGTGATATCTAGATAGGTTTTTTATGCATTTAAGCTTGGCGCTAGTATAACCAATACTATTTATCTTTCTTTTGGTTTTAAGTGGTTTGGATTCTTTGTTTTATTTAAACTAGCTTTCCCTATTTCGCTTGTAAGTTCAGACCGTTTTTAAAAATAACTTGTTGACTCCATATTATTGTCTATTTCCCTGATAAGCACTTCTTGAAGACGTTTGTTTCCTTTCTAGTTTAATTATCTAATCTTTTCATCCCCACATTTTTTCAATTATCAATTTTATAATTTACTTCTTACTTTCAGTATTACATATTATCTTTTTACGCTTAATTTTATTTCAAGAATAATGACGGAGACAATGTTGGATTGCTCTGACAAGGTGACTGAGTCCAAGGTGGAACTTGTACAGCTTGCCAAACTCGCCGAACAGGCTGAGCGTTATGATGACATGGCAGAGTCAATGAAGAAGGTTACCGAATTTGGAGACGAACTGTCCAATGAGGAGCGCAATCTTCTCTCGGTTTTTATCTTTTTGATTCGTTAAATTTAAGTAATTTCAAAGGTTGCCTATAAGAATGTTGTTGGGGCTCGTCGCTCCTCATCGCGTGTTCTCTCATCTATTGAGCAAAAGGCCGAAGGGGAGAAGAAGACGAAGACTAAGGAATATCGTGAGAAGATCGAAAGCGAATTGCGTCACATTAGTAAAGGGGTTTTGGTAAGTTAAACTTTTTGTTGAGTTGATAGTTGGGAACTTCTAAACCAAAAAGCGCTTTTGAAATAGTTTGGATTTTCGGTAATCCTTAAGATGTTAGGAACGATTAAGCTTTTAACTCAAAAAGCACTTAGGAAGTAGTTCGGACTTTCGTTTTATTATGATGCTGGACAACTTCTTTCTGGTTCCACTTAATGTCCTGTTTTAGTAAAGTGATACCGTTGACTTTAGAATGCTTGAATAATTTCAATTCATTTTCAGAATCTTCTGGACAAATTTCTTATTCCGAAAGCTGGAACTCCTGATTCTAAAGTGTTCTACCTTAAGATGAAGGGCGACTACTATCGTTATTTGGCTGAGATTTCTTCTGGTGATGAGTTGACTGGTTTGTTGAAAATCAAATTATTGTTTAAAAATCATTTACTATTCAGATGTTGTCGACAAATCACAACAGAGTTACCAAGAGGCTTTCGGTTTGGTCATTTATTTTTGAAAAAATATTTTTTACTTAAAAAGATATTGTTAAGGACTAAATGCAGCCAACTCATCCGATTTGGCTTGGTCTTACACTTAAATTTTCGGCCTTCTGCTTTGAGATTCTCCACAATAATGTCAAGGCTTGTCAGTTGGCTAACAATAATCTACTATTGCCGAAAAGCTGCACTGAAAGCACAGATCGGTCCACATTTTGTTTATTCCGTATTTTGGTCGTTCCATGATTTGGTAAGACTGTGATTTGTCACGGTTTTTGTGGTCGTATTTTGCGGACTCTTTTGTATATACAGAATGGTCAGTCTTCCTCTTTCCTCAATTTCACTATATTTCACTATGGCATTATTCAATGAGAGGCAAACATGATTTAAAACTCGGTCATTTATCTTTAAAAATAATCCTTTCTTTATTGCCTCTCATTAAATAATGCCATAGTGAAATAGAGTGAAATTGAGGAAAGGAGGAAGACTGACCATTCTGTGTATACAAAAGAATCCGCAAAAACTGGTTTGGGATAACTCACAAGTACCTTTTTGGCGCCTTCGGCGCCAAAAATTCCGATTTTTTGCACCATAGGCAAAAATATTGAAAATTTTGTAAGGTAAAGAAACCTTACTAGCGCCGCAGGCGAAAATTTTGAGAATTTTTAGGTCAAGAGGTCAGATTTCTTCCATTTTTTGCGCCGCAGCCGAAAATTTTGACTCTCATTGACCTTAAGTCCTTAGAATCTCTCCATTGGAGTGAAATAGAGGAAAAGTGAAACAGAGAAAAATATTTTTACGTTCAATTTTGGTGAAATTTTGGTGAACTAGCCACATATCTCTTTATATCCCCTCAATAGTATTAACACCCCCTATGCAACATTAATTATCCATTGATATCTCTCTATTACTGCAAATCCCTCGTTATCTCTTTAAATTCACCATAATCCTAGTAAATCACCGAAATCTTCTATACTACAACTCCACAGATTCTTCAATTTTCAGCGCCGCAGGCGAAAATTTTGGGAATTTTAGAAGACCAAGAGGCGAGATTTCTTCATTTTTTCTAAATGAAAATATAATTTTGTCAGAAAAATCTATCCTTAGGGGTGTAAAAATTTCCCGACTTAGTCGGGAATTGACACCGGGAGTCGGGATCGGGACCGTTTGGATTTTTTGTTCCCAATACAACAACGAATTTTCAAATTATGCGAGACGTAATTTAGACATTAAGTGATAAAACAATTATTTTTTAATTTGAAGAATGGACCAGAACATCAAGATCTGTTAGAAATAATTGTGGTTCAAGCTTTGGATAATGAGAACGATCCTGTGGCTTTGTTGCCTCCTGGAAATTATGGGCAGTTTGTGTTTCGTATTCAATTAGATGCGTCCAACAGTCTGAGAGAATAAATGGTTGCTAGCATGAGCCAGAATCAGAATAGAAAATCGAAATTTTTTAAAATAACTAAAAGAGTATTAAACAATCCGCAATATGGAGATATGGGTTAATCTTGAAATATAAGGGGACTAATTGTGTTAAGGGTAGTCTTAAGGGATATCAGTGATCGGAGGGAGATACAGGATTAGGGGTTGATTAGAGAACAATTAAATCCGCACCCTAGAGCTCTTTAAATCCCTTATTCCAATTTTCTACTTACCCCTTGATACCCGTGATATCCCGTCCACCTATATATATACTTTTGTAAATATTAATATTTAATGTATTTTCATTTTTAAAATAGTGAGATAATTTAAAAGATTTTTAATTATTAAAAATTAAATATTTATTTTGAAATATTTTGAATAATTTGTGTTAAGAAATGATTTTTTAACTGTTTAACTGATTTTTTAATTGTCAAAAACAATGCTGAGTTGGATTCGTCGGATCTCGCGGTTTTTTTACAATTCTGTTACTGCTGATTTATTGGTTACACCCTCAAACATTGTCCACTTAAATGCTGCTGGTGAAAATATTGTTATTAGTGTTCGGAATGTGGGAAATGTAATAAACAAATAGTTTAAAAAATCTTATTAATTATTTCAGAGGCGCTACGCATATAAACTACTCTGTACCAACAATACTGACTATAATGCTGCAAACCCGTTTGGATTTTTTGTTCCTAATACAACAACGAATTTGCAAATTATGCGAAACGTAATTTTAGACATTAAATGATAAAATAATTATTTTTTAATTTGAAGAATGGACCAGAGCATCAGGATCTGTTACAAATAATTGTGGTTCAAGCTTTGGACAATGAGAACGATCCGGTGGCATTGTTGCCTCCTGGAGATTATGGACAGTTTGTTTTTCGTATTCAGTTAGATGCGTCCAACAGTTTGAGAGAACAACTGGTTGCTAGCAGTGAGCCGGAATCTGAGTAGATAAAATTGAATTTTAAAAAATTGGATTTTAGTTAATTTATTTCGTTTTTGTGTGCACCTATTTTTGCCAATTCTTTCAATTAAAAATTTAAAAAATGCCAGTTTTTCTTCTTTTTTTAAGAAATAGTCAAAAATTTTCTATTCATATTTTTTTAATATTTTTTCAAATGGAACATTTTTTCCACACCGACTTATTTAACAAAATTAATTAAAAAATTATAATTTGGCTACAAAAATTTTAAACAACAAAAATTTGCTGGGGTGAATCATTGGAATGCTAGGTTAATTCCGTTAATTAATACAATTAAGGTTTTTTAAAATCATAATTTAATTTGAATAATAATTGAACTTCTTTCTTTTTTTGAAAAAAGATTCAAAATTTTTTATTTTAGAACTATTTTTGGACACCGACCCATAAAAATCATCAATTCGAATACCTGAACACAATGTTGGATTGCTCTGACAAGGTGACTGAGTCCAAGGTGGAACTTGTACAGCTTGCCAAACTCGCCGAACAGGCTGAGCGTTATGATGACATGGCAGAGGCAATGAAGAAGGTTACCGAATTTGGAGACGAACTGTCCAATGAGGAGCGCAATCTTCTCTCGGTTTTTATCTTTTTGATTCGTTAAATTTAAGTAATTTCAAAGGTTGCCTATAAGAATGTTGTTGGGGCTCGTCGCTCCTCATCGCGTGTTCTCTCATCTATTGAGCAAAAGGCCGAAGGGGAGAAGAAGACGAAGACTAAGGAATATCGTGAGAAGATCGAAAGCGTATTGCGTCACATTAGTAAAGGGGTTTTGGTAAGTTAAACTTTTTGTTGAGTTGATAGTTGGGAACTTCTAAACCAAAAAGCGCTTTTGAAATAGTTTGGATTTTCGGTAATCCTTAAGATGTTAGGAACGATTAAGCTTTTAACTCAAAAAGCACTTAGGAAGTAGTTCGGACTTTCGTTTTATTATGATGCTGGACAACTTCTTTCTGGTTCCACTTAATGTCCTGTTTTAGTAAAGTGATACCGTTGACTTTAGAATGCTTGAATAATTTCAATTCATTTTCAGAATCTTCTGGACAAATTTCTTATTCCGAAAGCTGGAACTCCTGATTCTAAAGTGTTCTACCTTAAGATGAAGGGCGACTACTATCGTTATTTGGCTGAGATTTCTTCTGGTGATGAGTTGACTGGTTTGTTGAAAATCAAATTATTGTTTAAAAATCATTTACTATTCAGATGTTGTCGACAAATCACAACAGAGTTACCAAGAGGCTTTCGGTTTGGTCATTTATTTTTGAAAAAATATTTTTTACTTAAAAAGATATTGTTAAGGACTAAATGCAGCCAACTCATCCGATTTGGCTTGGTCTTACACTTAAATTTTCGGCCTTCTGCTTTGAGATTCTCCACAATAATGTCAAGGCTTGTCAGTTGGCTAAGCAGGTTTTTCCTTATAACTAGTAATTTTGAATAATATTAATTTTTAGTCTTTTGACGAGGTTAATTCAACAACTACAGCAAATTTAACAAGAGGCTTCAACAACTCCACAGATGCTAAATCCAAAACAAACTCAGCTTTCAGAGTTGGGTGAATTGATTTTGGTATTAAACTAGATTTAGTTTCATTTAAAATCTTTTAAAATTTTAAGATTCGTTGCTTCCAATCTTTGCCAATAAATGAGCGGTTCAATATGGAACACGGTTCTCGCCTCTTTCAGTCGGCCTCTAAAAGGAGTTGGAACATCCAAAAATATTTAGTTGTTCCACTGGCCTTTCTGAAAAAAGGTTTTTATTTAATATGTAGATTTAAGGCAAGTCTTTAAACTTGAGAAAATAACACCCCCTATGCAACATTAATTATCCATTGATATCTCTCTATTACTGCAAATCCCTCGTTATCTCTTTAAATTCACCATAATCCTAGTAAATCACCGAAATCTTCTATACTACAACTCCACAGATTCTTCAATTTTCAGCGCCGCAGGCGAAAATTTTGGGAATTTTAGAAGACCAAGAGGCGAGATTTCTTCATTTTTTCTAAATGAAAATATAATTTTGTCAGAAAAATCTATCCTTAGGGGTGTAAAAATTTCCCGACTTAGTCGGGAATTGACACCGGGAGTCGGGATCGGGACCGTTTGGATTTTTTGTTCCCAATACAACAACGAATTTTCAAATTATGCGAGACGTAATTTAGACATTAAGTGATAAAACAATTATTTTTTAATTTGAAGAATGGACCAGAACATCAAGATCTGTTAGAAATAATTGTGGTTCAAGCTTTGGATAATGAGAACGATCCTGTGGCTTTGTTGCCTCCTGGAAATTATGGGCAGTTTGTGTTTCGTATTCAATTAGATGCGTCCAACAGTCTGAGAGAATAAATGGTTGCTAGCATGAGCCAGAATCAGAATAGAAAATCGAAATTTTTTAAAATAACTAAAAGAGTATTAAACAATCCGCAATATGGAGATATGGGTTAATCTTGAAATATAAGGGGACTAATTGTGTTAAGGGTAGTCTTAAGGGATATCAGTGATCGGAGGGAGATACAGGATTAGGGGTTGATTAGAGAACAATTAAATCCGCACCCTAGAGCTCTTTAAATCCCTTATTCCAATTTTCTACTTACCCCTTGATACCCGTGATATCCCGTCCACCTATATATATACTTTTGTAAATATTAATATTTAATGTATTTTCATTTTTAAAATAGTGAGATAATTTAAAAGATTTTTAATTATTAAAAATTAAATATTTATTTTGAAATATTTTGAATAATTTGTGTTAAGAAATGATTTTTTAACTGTTTAACTGATTTTTTAATTGTCAAAAACAATGCTGAGTTGGATTCGTCGGATCTCGCGGTTTTTTTACAATTCTGTTACTGCTGATTTATTGGTTACACCCTCAAACATTGTCCACTTAAATGCTGCTGGTGAAAATATTGTTATTAGTGTTCGGAATGTGGGAAATGTAATAAACAAATAGTTTAAAAAATCTTATTAATTATTTCAGAGGCGCTACGCATATAAACTACTCTGTACCAACAATACTGACTATAATGCTGCAAACCCGTTTGGATTTTTTGTTCCTAATACAACAACGAATTTGCAAATTATGCGAAACGTAATTTTAGACATTAAATGATAAAATAATTATTTTTTAATTTGAAGAATGGACCAGAGCATCAGGATCTGTTACAAATAATTGTGGTTCAAGCTTTGGACAATGAGAACGATCCGGTGGCATTGTTGCCTCCTGGAGATTATGGACAGTTTGTTTTTCGTATTCAGTTAGATGCGTCCAACAGTTTGAGAGAACAACTGGTTGCTAGCAGTGAGCCGGAATCTGAGTAGATAAAATTGAATTTTAAAAAATTGGATTTTAGTTAATTTATTTCGTTTTTGTGTGCACCTATTTTTGCCAATTCTTTCAATTAAAAATTTAAAAAATGCCAGTTTTTCTTCTTTTTTTAAGAAATAGTCAAAAATTTTCTATTCATATTTTTTTAATATTTTTTCAAATGGAACATTTTTTCCACACCGACTTATTTAACAAAATTAATTAAAAAATTATAATTTGGCTACAAAAATTTTAAACAACAAAAATTTGCTGGGGTGAATCATTGGAATGCTAGGTTAATTCCGTTAATTAATACAATTAAGGTTTTTTAAAATCATAATTTAATTTGAATAATAATTGAACTTCTTTCTTTTTTTGAAAAAAGATTCAAAATTTTTTATTTTAGAACTATTTTTGGACACCGACCCATAAAAATCATCAATTCGAATACCTGAACACAATGTTGGATTGCTCTGACAAGGTGACTGAGTCCAAGGTGGAACTTGTACAGCTTGCCAAACTCGCCGAACAGGCTGAGCGTTATGATGACATGGCAGAGGCAATGAAGAAGGTTACCGAATTTGGAGACGAACTGTCCAATGAGGAGCGCAATCTTCTCTCGGTTTTTATCTTTTTGATTCGTTAAATTTAAGTAATTTCAAAGGTTGCCTATAAGAATGTTGTTGGGGCTCGTCGCTCCTCATCGCGTGTTCTCTCATCTATTGAGCAAAATGCCGAAGGGGAGAAGAAGACGAAGACTAAGGAATATCGTGAGAAGATCGAAAGCGAATTGCGTCACATTAGTAAAGGGGTTTTGGTAAGTTAAACTTTTTGTTGAGTTGATAGTTGGGAACTTCTAAACCAAAAAGCGCTTTTGAAATAGTTTGGATTTTCGGTAATCCTTAAGATGTTAGGAACGATTAAGCTTTTAACTCAAAAAGCACTTAGGAAGTAGTTCGGACTTTCGTTTTATTATGATGCTGGACAACTTCTTTCTGGTTCCACTTAATGTCCTGTTTTAGTAAAGTGATACCGTTGACTTTAGAATGCTTGAATAATTTCAATTCATTTTCAGAATCTTCTGGACAAATTTCTTATTCCGAAAGCTGGAACTCCTGATTCTAAAGTGTTCTACCTTAAGATGAAGGGCGACTACTATCGTTATTTGGCTGAGATTTCTTCTGGTGATGAGTTGACTGGTTTGTTGAAAATCAAATTATTGTTTAAAAATCATTTACTATTCAGATGTTGTCGACAAATCACAACAGAGTTACCAAGAGGCTTTCGGTTTGGTCATTTATTTTTGAAAAAATATTTTTTACTTAAAAAGATATTGTTAAGGACTAAATGCAGCCAACTCATCCGATTTGGCTTGGTCTTACACTTAAATTTTCGGCCTTCTGCTTTGAGATTCTCCACAATAATGTCAAGGCTTGTCAGTTGGCTAAGCAGGTTTTTCCTTATAACTAGTAATTTTGAATAATATTAATTTTTAGTCTTTTGACGAGGTTAATTCAACAACTACAGCAAATTTAACAAGAGGCTTCAACAACTCCACAGATGCTAAATCCAAAACAAACTCAGCTTTCAGAGTTGGGTGAATTGATTTTGGTATTAAACTAGATTTAGTTTCATTTAAAATCTTTTAAAATTTTAAGATTCGTTGCTTCCAATCTTTGCCAATAAATGAGCGGTTCAATATGGAACACGGTTCTCGCCTCTTTCAGTCGGCCTCTAAAAGGAGTTGGAACATCCAAAAATATTTAGTTGTTCCACTGGCCTTTCTGAAAAAAGGTTTTTATTTAATATGTAGATTTAAGGCAAGTCTTTAAACTTGAGAAAATTTATTCTTAATTTTCAAGATTCGTTATCTTTTCCGCCTTCTGATGAGGAGATGTGCTCGTTATTGCTTAACTCTACAAATAAACTCAATGCTAAAACAAGAACGCATTTTTCTCCTTCTCCATTTGGGCTATAAAGTTGAGTGTCTCCTAGTGATGCTCGGGAGAAGAAAAAACCCGGGAAACGGGAGTCGGGTCGGGAAATGACCTCGGGAGTCGGGAATTAGCAATAAAAAAATTTTCAAAAATTTCAATAATTTTTGGCGCCTTCGGCGCCAAAAATTCCGATTTTTTGCACCATAGGCAAAAATATTGAAAATTTTGTAAGGTAAAGAAACCTTACTAGCGCCGCAGGCGAAAATTTTGAGAATTTTTAGGTCAAGAGGTCAGATTTCTTCCATTTTTTGCGCCGCAGCCGAAAATTTTGACTCTCATTGACCTTAAGTCCTTAGAATCTCTCCATTGGAGTGAAATAGAGGAAAAGTGAAACAGAGAAAAATATTTTTACGTTCAATTTTGGTGAAATTTTGGTGAACTAGCCACATATCTCTTTATATCCCCTCAATAGTATTAACACCCCCTATGCAACATTAATTATCCATTGATATCTCTCTATTACTGCAAATCCCTCGTTATCTCTTTAAATTCATCATAATCCTAGTAAATCACCGAAATCTTCTATACTACAACTCCACAGATTCTTCAATTTTCAGCGCCGCAGGCGAAAATTTTGGGAATTTTAGAAGACCAAGAGGCGAGATTTCTTCATTTTTTCTAAATGAAAATATAATTTTGTCAGAAAAATCTATCCTTAGGGGTGTAAAAATTTCCCGACTTAGTCGGGAATTGACACCGGGAGTCGGGATCGGGACCGTTTGGATTTTTTGTTCCCAATACAACAACGAATTTTCAAATTATGCGAGACGTAATTTAGACATTAAGTGATAAAACAATTATTTTTTAATTTGAAGAATGGACCAGAACATCAAGATCTGTTAGAAATAATTGTGGTTCAAGCTTTGGATAATGAGAACGATCCTGTGGCTTTGTTGCCTCCTGGAAATTATGGGCAGTTTGTGTTTCGTATTCAATTAGATGCGTCCAACAGTCTGAGAGAATAAATGGTTGCTAGCATGAGCCAGAATCAGAATAGAAAATCGAAATTTTTTAAAATAACTAAAAGAGTATTAAACAATCCGCAATATGGAGATATGGGTTAATCTTGAAATATAAGGGGACTAATTGTGTTAAGGGTAGTCTTAAGGGATATCAGTGATCGGAGGGAGATACAGGATTAGGGGTTGATTAGAGAACAATTAAATCCGCACCCTAGAGCTCTTTAAATCCCTTATTCCAATTTTCTACTTACCCCTTGATACCCGTGATATCCCGTCCACCTATATATATACTTTTGTAAATATTAATATTTAATGTATTTTCATTTTTAAAATAGTGAGATAATTTAAAAGATTTTTAATTATTAAAAATTAAATATTTATTTTGAAATATTTTGAATAATTTGTGTTAAGAAATGATTTTTTAACTGTTTAACTGATTTTTTAATTGTCAAAAACAATGCTGAGTTGGATTCGTCGGATCTCGCGGTTTTTTTACAATTCTGTTACTGCTGATTTATTGGTTACACCCTCAAACATTGTCCACTTAAATGCTGCTGGTGAAAATATTGTTATTAGTGTTCGGAATGTGGGAAATGTAATAAACAAATAGTTTAAAAAATCTTATTAATTATTTCAGAGGCGCTACGCATATAAACTACTCTGTACCAACAATACTGACTATAATGCTGCAAACCCGTTTGGATTTTTTGTTCCTAATACAACAACGAATTTGCAAATTATGCGAAACGTAATTTTAGACATTAAATGATAAAATAATTATTTTTTAATTTGAAGAATGGACCAGAGCATCAGGATCTGTTACAAATAATTGTGGTTCAAGCTTTGGACAATGAGAACGATCCGGTGGCATTGTTGCCTCCTGGAGATTATGGACAGTTTGTTTTTCGTATTCAGTTAGATGCGTCCAACAGTTTGAGAGAACAACTGGTTGCTAGCAGTGAGCCGGAATCTGAGTAGATAAAATTGAATTTTAAAAAATTGGATTTTAGTTAATTTATTTCGTTTTTGTGTGCACCTATTTTTGCCAATTCTTTCAATTAAAAATTTAAAAAATGCCAGTTTTTCTTCTTTTTTTAAGAAATAGTCAAAAATTTTCTATTCATATTTTTTTAATATTTTTTCAAATGGAACATTTTTTCCACACCGACTTATTTAACAAAATTAATTAAAAAATTATAATTTGGCTACAAAAATTTTAAACAACAAAAATTTGCTGGGGTGAATCATTGGAATGCTAGGTTAATTCCGTTAATTAATACAATTAAGGTTTTTTAAAATCATAATTTAATTTGAATAATAATTGAACTTCTTTCTTTTTTTGAAAAAAGATTCAAAATTTTTTATTTTAGAACTATTTTTGGACACCGACCCATAAAAATCATCAATTCGAATACCTGAACACAATGTTGGATTGCTCTGACAAGGTGACTGAGTCCAAGGTGGAACTTGTACAGCTTGCCAAACTCGCCGAACAGGCTGAGCGTTATGATGACATGGCAGAGGCAATGAAGAAGGTTACCGAATTTGGAGACGAACTGTCCAATGAGGAGCGCAATCTTCTCTCGGTTTTTATCTTTTTGATTCGTTAAATTTAAGTAATTTCAAAGGTTGCCTATAAGAATGTTGTTGGGGCTCGTCGCTCCTCATCGCGTGTTCTCTCATCTATTGAGCAAAAGGCCGAAGGGGAGAAGAAGACGAAGACTAAGGAATATCGTGAGAAGATCGAAAGCGTATTGCGTCACATTAGTAAAGGGGTTGTGGTAAGTTAAACTTTTTGTTGAGTTGATAGTTGGGAACTTCTAAACCAAAAAGCGCTTTTGAAATAGTTTGGATTTTCGGTAATCCTTAAGATGTTAGGAACGATTAAGCTTTTAACTCAAAAAGCACTTAGGAAGTAGTTCGGACTTTCGTTTTATTATGATGCTGGACAACTTCTTTCTGGTTCCACTTAATGTCCTGTTTTAGTAAAGTGATACCGTTGACTTTAGAATGCTTGAATAATTTCAATTCATTTTCAGAATCTTCTGGACAAATTTCTTATTCCGAAAGCTGGAACTCCTGATTCTAAAGTGTTCTACCTTAAGATGAAGGGCGACTACTATCGTTATTTGGCTGAGATTTCTTCTGGTGATGAGTTGACTGGTTTGTTGAAAATCAAATTATTGTTTAAAAATCATTTACTATTCAGATGTTGTCGACAAATCACAACAGAGTTACCAAGAGGCTTTCGGTTTGGTCATTTATTTTTGAAAAAATATTTTTTACTTAAAAAGATATTGTTAAGGACTAAATGCAGCCAACTCATCCGATTTGGCTTGGTCTTACACTTAAATTTTCGGCCTTCTGCTTTGAGATTCTCCACAATAATGTCAAGGCTTGTCAGTTGGCTAAGCAGGTTTTTCCTTATAACTAGTAATTTTGAATAATATTAATTTTTAGTCTTTTGACGAGGTTAATTCAACAACTACAGCAAATTTAACAAGAGGCTTCAACAACTCCACAGATGCTAAATCCAAAACAAACTCAGCTTTCAGAGTTGGGTGAATTGATTTTGGTATTAAACTAGATTTAGTTTCATTTAAAATCTTTTAAAATTTTAAGATTCGTTGCTTCCAATCTTTGCCAATAAATGAGCGGTTCAATATGGAACACGGTTCTCGCCTCTTTCAGTCGGCCTCTAAAAGGAGCCTCTAAAAGCTTTTTAAATTCAGGCCATCTTTAAAAATTTGCCACACTAATATATATAATTTTACTCCATATTATTGACTGTTTCCCTGATAAGCACTTCTTAAAACTTTTGTATCCTCTCTGGTTTAATTATGTATTTTTTTATCCCCACATTTTTTTAATTATTAATTTTATAATTTACTTTTTACTTTCAGTATTACTTATTATCTTTTTACGCTTAATTTTATTTCAAGAATAATGACGGAGACTATGTTGGATTGCTCTGACAAGGTGACTGAGTCCAAGGGAGAACTTGTGCAGCTTGCTAAACTCGCCGAACAGGCTGAGCGTTATGCTGACATGGCAGAGTCAATGAAGAAGGTTACCGAATTTGGAGACGAACTGTCTAATGAGGAGCGCAATCTTCTCTCGGTTTTTATCTTTTTGATTTGTTAAATTTAATAATTTCAAAGGTTGCTTATAAGAATGTTGTTGGGGCTCGTCGTTCTTCGTCGCGTGTTCTTTCATCTATTGAGCTAAAGACCGAAGGGGTGAAGAAGACGATGACTAAGGAATACCGTGATAAGATTGATGTGAATTGCGTGACATTTGCAAAAATGTAAATCCCGTTTGTCGCTAAAAACCCGGGATTCCGGGACGGGATCCCGTAAAATCCCGTACGGGGTCCGTCCCGTGCCGGACTCTAGTTAAAAACCTTTTAAACTTTCACTTAAATTTAATGTCAAAATAAGATTGGCATTGTGTTTAAATTTTCGACATTTTATCCATTTCCTTAAAATCTGTTTTAAAATTTTTGTGTTACTCATTTTTGAGCTTTCTTCATCCCGTTTTCTGATTTTTTCTTCGATTTGATTTGGAAATCTTCAGTCTGAAATGATAGTGATATTTAGATAGGTTTTTTATGCATTTAAGTTTGGCGCTAGTATAATCAATACCATTTATCTTTCTTTTGGTTTTGAAGTGGTTTGGATTCTTTGTTTTATTTAATCCTTGTATTCCCTATTTCGCTATTTAAATTCAGGCCATCTTTAAAAATTTGCCACACTAATATATATAATTTTACTCCATATTATAGACTGTTTCCCTGATAAGCACTTCTTAAAACTTTTGTATCCTCTCTGGTTTAATTATGTATTTTTTTATCCCCACATTTTTTAAATTATTAATTTTATAATTTACTTTTTACTTTCAGTATTACTTATTATCTTTTTACGCTTAATTTTATTTCAAGAATAATGACGGAGACAATGTTGGATTGCTCTGACAAGGTGACTGAGTCCAAGGGAGAACTTGTGCAGCTTGCTAAACTCGCCGAACAGGCTGAGCGTTATGATGACACGGCAAAGTCAATGAAGAAGATTACCGAATTTGGAGACGAACTGTCTAATGAGGAGCGCAATCTTCTCTCGGTATTTATCTTTTTGATTTGTTAGATTTAATAATTTCAAAGGTTGCTTATAAGAATGTTGTTGGGGCTCGTCGTTCTTCGTCGAGTGTGCTTTCATCTATTGAGCAAAAGGCCGAAGGGGAGAAGAAGACAAAGACTAAGGAATATCGTGAGAAGATCGAAAGCGAATTGCGTCACATTAGTAAAGGGGTTTTGGTAAGTTAAACTTTTTGTTGAGTTGATAGTTGGGAACTTCTAAACCAAAAAGCGCTTTTGAAATAGTTTGGACTTTCGGTAATCATTAAGATGTTAGGAACGATTAAGCTTTTAACTCAAAAAGCGCTTAGGAAGTAGTTCGGACTTTCGTTTTATTATCATTCTGGACAACTTCTTTTTGGTTCCACTTAATTTCCTGTTTTAGGAAAGGATACCGTTGACTTTAGAATGCTTGAATAATTTCAATTCATTTTCAGAATCTTCTGGACAAATTTCTTATTCCGAAAGCTGGAACTCCTGATTCTAAAGTGTTCTACCTTAAGATGAAGGGCGACTACTATCGTTATTTGGCTGAGATTTCTTCTGGTGATGAGTTGACTGGTTTGTTGAAAATCAAATTATCGTTTAAAAATCATTTACTATTCAGATATTGTCGACAAATCACAACAGAGTTACCAAGAGGCTTTCGGTTTGGTCATTTATTTTTGAAAAAATATTTTTTACTTAAAAAGATATTGTTAAGGACTAAATGCAGCCAACTCATCCGATTTGGCTTGGTCTTACACTTAAATTTTCGGCCTTCTGCTTTGAGATTCTCCACAATAATGTCAAGGCTTGTCAGTTGGCTAAGCAGGTTTTTCCTTATAACTAGTAATTTTGAATAATATTAATTTTTAGTCTTTTGACGAGGTTAATTCAACAACTACAGCAAATTCAACAAGAGGCTTTAACAACTCCACAGATGCTAAGTCCAAAACAAACTCAGCTTTCTGAGTTAGGTGAATTGATTTTGGTATTAAACGAGATTTAGTTTCATTTAAAATCTTTTAAAATTTTAAGATCCGTTGCTTCCAATTTTTGCCAATAAATGAGCGGTTCAATATGGAACACGTTTCTCCCTCGGCTAGGGTTTACCTTATCAACACATTCTAACTTTAGCCGGTGGCCGGTTCGAAAACAATTCGAAATATATACCATTCGATTCGTCTCGGAAAGCTGAGTCGAATATATATACTTTCGTAAATATTAATATTTAATGTATTTTCATTTTTAAAATAGTGAGATAATTTAAAAAATTTTTAATTATTAAAAATTAAATATTTATTTTGAAATATTTTGAATAAGTTGTGTTAAAAAATGATTTTTTAACTGTTTAACTGATTTTTTAATTGTCAAAAACAATGCTTAGTTGGATTCGTCGGATCTCGCGGTTTTTTTACAATTCTGTTACTGCTGATTTATTGGTTACACCCTCAAACATTGTCCACTTAAATGCTGCTGGTGAAAATATCGTTATTAGTGTTCGGAATGTGGGAAATGTTATAAACAAATAGTTTAAAAAATCTTATTAATTATTTCAGAGGCGCTACGCATATAAACTACTCTGTACCAACAATACTGACTATAATGCTGCAAATCCGTTTGGATTTTTTGTTCCTAATACAACAACGAATTTGCAAATTATGCGAAACGTAATTTTAGACATTAAATGATAAAATAATTATTTTTTAATTTGAAGAATGGACCAGAGCATCAGGATCTGTTACAAATAATTGTGGTTCAAGCTTTGGACAATGAGAACGATCCGGTGGCATTGTTGCCTCCTGGAGATTATGGACAGTTTGTTTTTCGTATTCAGTTAGATGCGTCCAACAGTTTGAGAGAACAACTGGTTGCTAGCAGTGAGCCGGAATCTGAGTAGATAAAATTGAATTTTAAAAAATTGGATTTTAGTTAATTTATTTCGTTTTTGTGTGCACCTATTTTTGCCAATTCTTTCAATTAAAAATTTAAAAAATGCCAGTTTTTCTTCTTTTTTTAAGAAATAGTCAAAATATTTTCTATTCATATTTTTTCAATATTTTTTCAAATGGAACATTTTTTCCACACCGACTTATTTAACAAAATTAATTAAAAAATTGGGGTCACTTTAGTACGTGGGTGCAGGCTTTAAATTACAAATGTCATATCATTTGAAAGAGCAAGTCGAGCTGAGTCGAATGCCACCAAAATTAGCTCTAGGAAAAATTTTTGAACCGAGATACAGGCGATTGAAAATCGAAAAACCATAGGGGGGACCAAGCACTTTTTTGGGGTGAAAAATTCGAAAATGCAAATTATACCTCATTCGAAAGAGCTCGTCGAGCTGAGTCGAATAACACCAAAATCAACGGAATCCGACTTGAATGGACCGAGATATAAACTCCTAAAAATCGAAGATCCAAAAAGACGATTTTTGGAATAAAAAATTTTTTTATACAAATAATACCTCATTCGAAAGAGCTCGACGAGCTGAGTCGAATGACACCAAAATCACCGTGATTGAACAAGATTAGACAAAGTTATGATACAGAAAACAAAAAACCTAAACCTATGGAGCGTCGGCGAGGCGCTTGTGCAAAACCCCGCGCTTCGCGCGGGGTTTTGAGGCACGCGCCTCGCGGGGAGTCTACGGGCGATTGGTCTGGGCTCGTAACATAAACCTATTCCTATCTCTCTTGCTCTGGCTGTATTTGGGGCCTCCGTAGCAGCAAAAATCTCAACAGATGCCATAGGTAAGGAGCTAAAATAAAAGATCATAACTATTTTTGGACACTGACCCATAAAAATCATCAATTCGAATACCTGAACATGAATTATGTTTACGTCAAGCTCCCGACGGAAATTCAAAATCTTATAGGGGAAATTGGCCCTACACAGCAAATTATCTTTGACAAATTCCTGAACCTCTTGGAACTATATCTGACACTCCTATAAGGTTTAGCTTTTATATTTGTTAAATTTTATATTTTTTTGTCACATTTTTATTTATTATTTTAGATTTACATCCTCTGTAAGTAAACCTATTATGTCCCGGTTCTTCTATATTAATTAAATTCTAAATATATTCTTCTTAATACTCAAATCTCAAATAAATCTAATTCAAATACTCAACAAATAATTATACACAAGTTTAATAAGTTTATTTGAATAAGTTGGGGTTTAGTTTTGGTAGCAAGTGTGATCAAGACGAGCTTGAAAATGGGTAAAAACAAATGAGTATTTATAGGACAAGTAAATGGGCGGAAGAAGGTCAGACGAGGAAGTTGTAAAACATAGATAAGAAAATAAATTATTTAAAATAAATGAGAGGAAGTTTTAGGATCAAAGTAAATGTTTGTTTTGAGGGAATGTTTTGAATATTTAAAATAAGGAAATAGATAACAAACATTTACAACATATTTTGGGGCAATAAATATTTGAAAGTAATGTTTTTAAAAATAAATAATAAATCTCAAAATATGGATCCAACACTCCTTTCCCCTTTAGAAGAATATTCGCTTATTCTGTTGAGACATGTATCCAACACTCCTTCACCTTTAGAAGAATTGCTGTCCATAATTTTCTTTTGTTGTTTTCATTTTTCTGTCTGTTGTTCCATCATAGTTATATACTCCAAAAACATGGGTCTTATAACGAAAACGATTATCAGCCAATTCTTGGCCTCTCTAACGGTTGAGTTGCACGCAAATTATGCATGTTTATTTCATCTCCATTTGGGGCTCATTTTATCAGTTATTATTATTTCCTTCTCCGCAAAGTTCGCGGGATTTTAATAAACCTATAGTTCTTTTAACCGTTTCACATATTGTATGAACTTTTTTTTATCTCTCCTAAAAAGGAGGTAGTATGTATTTTGATGAAGCTATGAGAAGTCAATTTTTAGAATTTTTGAACTATTCTTCTTTCATTTTGGGGCGTTGTTGTTTGTTGTTTATCTTCTTTTTGTTGTAAATCCAAATCTCATCATTCGCCATTTTAAATAAATTACAATTACAAAGAAAATTTACAAAATATAAATTAATATTAGGGGGCATAAAAAATACGGAAAGATAACAAACAAAACTTTAAATATTTGATAAATGTTGGTAAATGAAAAAAATATTATTTAAGGGATTTCTATTTTTAAAATCCCAGTCATTTCCGACTGGACTGGAGCTGCGAAATTCTCAACAAATG